GCAGCATTTGATTGGATTTTCCAAACAGCATTTCTAATGTCACTTTTGAGTATGTCAGTAATTGTAAGAAAAATAAGTCAGTGGAAGTTAAGTAAAAAGGTAATGACGTAAATACAAATTTTTCGCAGTATTGCGAATATTAATTTAGATTGATGCTGATTTAGACTTGCGAAATTGAATTTTGTAGCCTGCTGTTTCTTTGAATGCTTTTAATCATTCTTAAATTCACTTGATCAAGTTTAGTATTTCTAGATTAGATTTAAATTATATTTGAATTCAAATGATTGATGCTAATTTATTGGATAGGAAGTTTGGACTTTAAATCCTGTTTTGAGACATATCAGACGTAAACTTGAGGTTGAAATGATGCCATGACGACTGTTTTCAACATTTTCTTCTTTAATGATTATCTGTTCAAACAATTAAGTCTGCTCAATAGCAATTGAAAGTGCAATTCTGTCTGAAGAATCAGCTGTTGTTCTAAGTGCTTTGTTGAATTCACTTTAAAAGTACTTCTAAAACATTTCTGAAATCATCTCTTTTCTTTAAAAGCTAAGAAGTCGCAAGTCAATTGCCATTAATCATACAAAATCAATTATTTTTGCAAATTATTTGTCAGAACTGTGATCCTTTGATATTCGGAACTTGATAAGATTATTATTATTTTTCAGAAGGAGAAGCATCTTGATAAATTTTAATAATGATCATTCCATTGAAAAGGATTGATTAGAACATGACATGCAATTTAGCTCATTGATCTCCTGTATCTTTAAACTTTCAACAAATTTTGATCTTTACGATTGTTAAAAATGATTTGATGATTCCCTCGAGTTAATCATTTCTAACCACATTCAACATTCTGTGTTGTTAACTCAGACTTCCAGATCAGACATAGATCTTTAAATATACGAAGATTTCATCTCAAATAAACTACACGCTGTCTAATCTATAGAATTTTAGTTTAAGACTAGTTTTATCTGTAGCTCCTTCTAAATGAGGTTTAAAGATTGTAAATGAGGATTGCAATGTTAACCTTTGAATGATACCCTTGAAGAAGTAACAAACCACTTAAAATTTCTAACTCTAAAAAACATTCAAGTCTATAAAAGCACAACACAACACATAATTTATTTACAAGAAAAATTGCGTCCATATCATCTCATTGCAAATAATTTAATTGCTTACTTCTTCTTATTTGAGCTGAAAAACTTGCTCAATTTTTTTTCCCCAATTTGTACGCAACCGGAAAACATTATTAAAAAGTCAATATTTCCATAAATTTGGAATTCTTACTCTTTGCACCCGCTCCAATATTAAGATGCTGATAATAACTTTAAATTTTCAAGCGTGGTTTTTTTCATGGTCAACTCAATTCAAAGGCATGTGATGAGAAAATGTGAGATTTTGGAATTAGAAATTGCCGAGAAAAAAAATGAAAAATTGGCTCGTGTGTCTTTCGAACGTCCATTTAAGGAGATTATTTAATTAGTAATAGGATCGCAACATCACTTAATAAAAAATAAAGATAGTGTTAATTAAATGAATTTAATTGATGCACGATTCTCACGTCTGAGAATTCTTTATTTTGTGAGTTCATTATGGTTCTCATGATTTTTCATGTTTTGATTATTTTACCGATGCTTTCGATTATATTGTTTGCATTATCACCGACATCAGTAGCATATTTTAAAATTCATATTGAGTCGATTGTGCTTAAACATTATTGATTAATGACTTTTCAAGTCTTAATTTAATTAAGCTTCAATTAAAGCTTTGATGTTGTCGTTTTAAATTATTTACAATCAACATTATTGCTTTCGCTTCTTCCTTAACTGTTCTGATTTATAGTTTTAAGAACAATGAATATATAATTGAATTTTTTAAACTACTGCCTTAAACTTGAATATGTATATAATCTTCACGTGTCTGGTCAATCATTTCTGGACATAAATATTATGATTTATTTTAATAGGAACGGCTACTTGATGAAACATATTAAAAATCAGTAACAATTACAGCTTTTTTATGTAATTACCGAAATCTTAGTTATTACAAAATTTAATGTTTATAGTTGTTTAAAAGGTTCTGCTTTAATTCTCATAAATTGCCATAATTATTTAATCTTTGTTGAATGAATTAAGTACGAAAAGAGAATCCATTCTTTATAATGTTTATATTCGTGTATTATTGAATTCAATTCTATGTCAAATTAAGGAACTAGAATCTTTTTTTCATTATACATCCCTAACAGACAAAGAGCACGCTCTGAACATGCTTTTTAAAAATCAATTATTTAATTTGATGACGCTAAATTAGCGTACTCTCCCATATAAATGGAGATCGCAGTACGGTACCATAAAAATCACGCTCTCAAGAGTACGCTTTTTTTACTTGCAAGTTTTTCATGCAAGTAAAACTTGAGATCATGATCAAGAACATGTTCAGCTGATCATGCTTTAATTTCACTAATTAAAAAATTTTATGAGCTTGTGATTATGCTATTGATCATGTTTTTCAGAAATTGATATTTTTCTTCTTTTTTGGTGATTGCCGTGATTTGAACCCGAGTCCGCTGTGTTGTGGTATGTCCTAATAACTGTTCATCTTGTCTAATGCCTTCTGAAATTAAATAACTTTCAAATGGCGAAAAGACATATTTAAACTATAGAAAGTCCAAAATAATTTCTTATAATAGTGATTTCTGCTTTCTCTTGTGAAGTATATAGGACCTATACTAGTGATTTCTGCTAGCGCTTGTGAAGTATATAGCAAGGATAATTTGAGCATAATCTCATGAGGATGTCAATGATCATGCTTTTTATATACTCTTTTGATCATGCTCTTGAGAGTATATAAAAGATTATGAAGTAAAAACTTGCATACAAGTTCTTTATAATTAGAAGATGATTGAGTCCGCTATTGAACATGCTCTTTACTGGGATCTTGAGAGGATGTTGAAAAAGCGTATTCTCAACCGTACTCTTGATCAAGAGCATGCTCTTTGTCTGTTAGGGATCATTGACTGTAAAGCCACTACATATCGAATTTGTGGTCAAGACGATGAAAAACATTTTTTTTGCAATACCATAAGATGATTTAAAGATAAATTTATGAAATGACAGAGACTTTAGCTGGTGAAGAAATAATGACAATATTTAGTCATTAGCGATGATTGCACGCAATACAATTTTCCCATTCAGAGACTCTCTTTCCTCAAAAAAAATATATTACATGATGTTTTGCAAGACATCGAGAAATGTCTAAAGCTTATGTACTGGAAAGTGTCATGAAAATGTTGCAAATAGGCATCTTATCGATGTCTTTAAAATTTTTGACACTTGTACTTGGAAACGGCGATTAATCTTTACGACATGTTACAATTATTTTGTAAACATAATAAAAGTACGTGATATCCAGGATGTATTGCATGATGTTTAACATAAAAGACTTTATGAAATGTTCAATTGAATTTCGCTGATGTCAATATTGCGGGGTAAGAGGTTGTGACTTACTGTAAAGATTATAGATAGTTCAATTAGTTTTGTATTTGAGACAAGATTTTTTTCTCAAAAATCCTTTGAATGACTTAGGTTGGTCAAGACTTGGAACTTGCTTTTATCAATCCAAATGATTTGTTTACCGGAAGTTTAACTCTTTAATTAATTTTACTCACATTTCAATTTCTACTTAATATATTCTTGCTAAAACAAACACCTTAGGAAAGTTTTGAAAAATATTTTTATATCCATTAAAGGTCACTTGCCAAAATAATTTATGATATAATATATATCATAGGTAATTGCAAAAAACGACATTGGTCAAGATAAAAATATTATCCATGGCAGACAACTAAAGTCTTAATTTTTTTTTGCACAAGATATTTGATGTGTAGTAAATAAATTTAGACAACATTGCACGTAATGAATTAAATTAAATTAACTCACATACTACAAAGAAATTTCACAAATTTATTGTTTCAAATCGAGTTCTTATAAATCAGAATAATTAAAGAGTATTTAAAGAACATTTGTCACAAAGTAGATTATTAATCTTCCAATACCGAGATATTAGGATAGTCTACTTAATGTGGTAGAATAGTCCAAGCAACTATAAGAATTAAATAATATTGAAATTTCTATATTTAGCCAAAGATTCAATTGATTTTGAATAAATGGAAAAACCAATTTATCAAGTATCTAAATACGTCATTAGATCATCAGATAATGCAATAAACGAGAGCTTATTTCAAATTCACGTGATTTTGTTTTGTATGAACACCGACAAAAAAATAAAAACTTACATTTGTACAAACATTACAGAGACATTAGTCCTGGATAGGTTAAAGTCTCAAATGATTCATTATTTAAATTACAACTCTCGAATTTATTAAAAACTTCTTTGACTTCTTTTTTCTAATAGACATTATTTATAAATGATCCTTAACATTTTGCCAGGAATACAGTTACTATATCGAAGAAACTGACCTTAAAAAACACATTTAAGAATAAGTCATTCATTCAATAAATCAAGTTAACATCTGAACGATTGTTAATTATTGAGTCCTCAAAAAATATTTTACAGTTACTCAAAGCATTAATCCGATTAAAAGTTGTGTACATTCAGTCAAGTGTTCATTTGTCATTTATCACCAGTTATTGCAAACAATCTTGATTTCCAGACAGCCTTAAAATTACTAAAGCAAACATAATAATTCAGTTCTTAATTATGTCATATTTTAAAAGCTCTGAAAATCCAATTCTTAAGACTTTAACAACAGGTGACATTTAATTGCATCATAAAACTATTTTTATAGCCGAAGCAAAGAGAGCGATGACCTTGAGAGTTTTATTTCTGCAATAAAAAAATTGAACAAAACTTCCTTTATCGTAATAAACATTGTTCGATAATTTATAGTATGTGCTCATCATTGGCTTATTGCGAATTATATGTTGCGTAAATCATTAATGATGTAATTTAATTTCTTCCTATCTTATTTACAGGCAGTACATCACACACTATTTGGACATCCAGAAAAAGATCTTAATGGAGAGATAGCTGTCATTACTGGAGGTGGAGGTGGTCTTGGTCGGTTATTAGCTATGCGCTTAGTAAGATTAGGAACTAAAGTCATTCTATGGGATATTAGTCAAGAGGGTAAGTAATCAACTTGCATATTTGTACTAGATATTCAATAACAGACGTCGATGATTCAAGAAAATATTGTTTGTAAGAGTATTCAGCAAGTACTAATACAAGTGTCGGCTATTCATTTTCTTATACTTTAATTGAAGTTCTTTTGTAACAATGCTTTTTGCGTTTTTAAATTTATCTTATAAAGCTATTCGATTTTACTTTTCAAGTTCATTTACCTGCAACTTACTGAAAACGTGCCTCTTTTCTGTGGTTGGTTCATGAATAGTTTTGTAGCTATTAATTTTAATTTGGCTTCTTGTCAGGATTAACGTTATTGCTTTTTCACAAGTCCGCAACAAATTAGTATTTTTTTCAGCATTAAAGTTTAGTTCTTGGTTTTTTGTTGCTTTGGTAATATACGGTTATTAATATTTCTGAATTTGGTGATGAGCTGCAAGCTACAAGCAAACAAATTGATTGAATTTAATGTTCAATACTCTTTGTCAAAATTTATATTTTCAGAGTTTTGAAGCAAAAATTTTTTAAAAATTTTCATCACAATTTGAAACATTTTGACGATTTGAAACTCTTTCAAACCAAGCAACAACATCATTTCTTACTTGCTCTTTCATTATTCCTCCATTCATCAATTAGTAGCACCACATTACACTCAATACAAAAAGTTTACTTGATGGAAGCAAAGGTTCATTGCAAAGGACATTTGAATTTTTTTTCTTCATTATTTCCTTTACATTAGCTTTCTTAATTTCCTCAAGTTAACCTTGCCGGTACACTTGTATAGAAAATTTCATTCGAATTGAACGAATTGAATGAATATTAATTACTTTTGGAATGCTTAGTCTTTTATGAAGTGTCATGTTAATGACTGAATGTTGAAGAATTTTACCAGGTGTGCTTTTAGCAATTAAGTCAGGTTTCATTAAAAGTTGATAGTTAAAATCAAATTAATTTCTGCATTAAATAAATAATCAAAATTTTATCAATTTAACCTAAAATTTACAATCCACAGGTCTCGACGAGTCCACAAAAATAATCGAGTCAATGGGAGGCTGGTGTAAAGCACAAATCGTAGACATTTCGAGACGCGAGGAAGTGTATAAAGCAGCAGACGAAATTAGGAGTAAATATGGCGATGTAAGTATTGCAATTAATCAATGACTTTATAATGTTTGCTTACATCATGCGCTAATTAGTGAGTTGCAAATATGACCTGAATTTATATAGCTACGCCGGTTATTTGTTGTTGAAATTCGCGCCTTTAGAGTAAAATATTTACATTTCTAGATGTTTATCTTTGCACACGTGAGACTGATTAGAATTTGATTGAACTTTAACTATTGTTGCAGTTTTAAGGTTGCAAATTTATTTAAATTGCATGACTTTGATATTGATTTTAACTCAAACTTGTAATATTACATTGTTATGAATTCAATTACGTGCGGATAATTTGAGATGTTTTGAGTGCTTAAAGCTTGGGATTTCCCACAGAAAAGAGAAAGAATGACTTGAGGTTTTTAGCTGTTTTAGAACTTCATCATTTTGATTATGATTCTTTCTGATTTATGTTCTAAACATACAGTGAGTCTACATTATAAATATAAAAACCTTCATTTTTCTTTCTTTCTTTCTTTCTGTCATTCCGCTCTAAGCCACGCCCACTTTTTTAATCGTTTGCTCTCAGCCACCCATTTTTTCCAAAATTTTTTGTTATTGAGAATTTCAAAACAGTTTATGTTCTTTTTCCTACCTGAGATTTTTTTTCTTCATTAACTGAGATTCTTATTTACTGTTTTGAGTTTGACTGTATTTTGGTACTGGATGCTCATTTTTCTACTGGATGTTACTGTATCTTAATATTTTGGAAAATCCATGAAAAAAATACTTAACATAATTGAATTTTGTCGCCATTTTGGAAAATCCATGAAAAAAATACTTAACATAATTGAATTTTGCCGCCATTTTGGAAAATCCATGAAAAAAATACTTAACATAATTGAATTTTGCCGCCATTTTGGAAAATCCATGAAAAAAATACTTAACATAATTGACACAGGATTTTCTGCAAAATTTTTTCACTTTTAGTTCTTTCACTCTTCGTCACTTGAGTTGACAAGACGATAATCCACGTAAGCAACTCCTTTTCTGTACTTAATTTTCCCGCCATTTTGGAAAATCCATGAAAAAAATACTTAACATAATTGAATTTTGTCGCCATTTTGGAAAATCCATGAAAAAAATACTTAACATAATTGAATTTTGCCGCCATTTTGGAAAATCCATGAAAAAAATACTTAACATAATTGAATTTTGCCGCCATTTTGGAAAATCCATGAAAAAAATACTTAACATAATTGACACAGGATTTTCTGCAAAATTTTTTCACTTTTAGTTCTTTCACTCTTCGTCACTTGAGTTGACAAGACGATAATCCACGTAAGCAACTCCTTTTCTGTACTTAATTTTCCCGCCATTTTGGAAAATCCATGAAAAAAATACTTAACATAATTGAATTTTGCCGCCATTTTGGAAAATCCATGAAAAAAATACTTAACATAATTGAATTTTGCCGCCATTTTGGAAAATCCATGAAAAAAATACTTAACATAATTGGCTCATTTTTCTACTGGATGTTACTGTATCTTAATATTTTGGAAAATCCATGAAAAAAATACTTAACATAATTGAATTTTGTCGCCATTTTGGAAAATCCATGAAAAAAATACTTAACATAATTGAATTTTGCCGCCATTTTGGAAAATCCATGAAAAAAATACTTAACATAATTGAATTTTGCCGCCATTTTGGAAAATCCATGAAAAAAATACTTAACATAATTGACACAGGATTTTCTGCAAAATTTTTTCACTTTTAGTCAGAGGGCGAAGTCGACTCGAATTTTGTATGGAAAAGTCGACTTGAGTTCACTCGACTTCATACAAATTTCGAGTCGACTTCGCCCTCTGCTTTTAGTTCTTTCACTCTTCGTCACTTGAGTTGACAAGACGATAATCCACGTAAGCAACTCCTTTTCTGTACTTAATTTTCCCGCCATTTTGGAAAATCCATGAAAAAAATACTTAACATAATTGAATTTTGTCGCCATTTTGGAAAATCCTTGAAAAAATTACTAAACTTAATGCAATTTTGTATGTATTTTTGAATTTTTCACATTTAAACCCTTTAAGAAAGGGGTTTCTTTCTCCCTAATTTTTCAGTAAATAGTGTTTAACTCTTTTTTTTTGATTTCATGACGTTTTAGACAAACAATTAGACCATTGCTAATAGTGTACTAAATCAATAACCAATCTTTTGTTTCGGCATTATTTTTGCAGGTAAGATCATTTAATTCATTTTAATTTACATCAAAATATTAAATTTCAAAAATTTTAGACAAAAATTCTTTTTTAACGGATCAATTCAGTTCTTTGTTTCTTGAATTGCTTATAAAATTAACCATTTATGTAAGTTGCATTATTAAAAAAAATTAATATTATTTTAATCATAATATCTTTTTAAATTAGAATGGGAAACAAGAGAAGTTTTAATGAAGAGGAACTAAATAGGAAGCGCGAACTAGATAGAAATCGCAAGAGGCAGAAAAGTTCATTACTAACGGAAGAGCAATTGATTGAAAAACGACGTGCTAATATGGAAAGTCAAAATAAACTTAAAATAACATTAAAATATTCATTGCTCAAGGTGTATATCAAGGAAAGCTTCTTAAAAATGATAAAATTTTCACTCAAAATGTTGTTTATAAAGAAATTTTTAACATCTAAACTGTTTAAAGTTTGAAAATAAAATTGAAATTAATCGTTTATGTAATATAAATTTCGTAATATAAATTTTACTGTTTCAAAAGAAGAAAAAATGCCCGTCATGCTTGACGGGGTACTACACTAGTACTAAAATAAATTCGAAGTAAAATCACCTTTAAATATTCTTTTTTTGGAAATCCACATTATTACGCACATTGAATGCGGTCTTTGATCCAAACAAAGTATTACTAAGTACGCTCTTGATTCTCGACCAGCTAGCAAACTCTCGAGTTGATTGATTGACTCATTAGTTTAATGATTTAAGCTCGTAAGGTCGCTTTACTCTTACACTGCAGTGTAAGAGGTTGTTTAAATATTATGTAGATCTAAATGATCCACAATAATTTGTCGGTTATGTCATTCAGAACTTAAGAATGGCAAACATTTGATCTGTAGTTTGGACTTCATTCTTGAAAATCTTTGATTATCGCAACTTTACCTTCATTTCTAGACCCAAAAAAGAAGAAAATTTCGTTTTGGTTTCTAAATTCAAAAACAAAATTGAATCTCATCAAAATAATTTAATTCTTCATTGAAACTTAACATTTATTTTTGTTCAATCATTTTTAATGTCTGGTCGAGAAAAAAAAAATCAAATTCAAGAGTATTTTTTCGCAACTCTGCCAGTGACCTTCATTGTTAGACAAAAAAAAATTGAAACTACATGTGTACATAGCTGCAGTGCGCACATGTTGTTAAAAACATAAAAATAAAATCACCAAAAAAAACTAAGTATCTATTTTTGTTTTGTATGTACCTATACTATTGAGGCGTTTAAATCTTTCGTAGTTTATATTGATTTCATCACGGTATTAAAGGTGAATTTTTTTTTGGTAAGGGTTCATTTGGCTTACAAGGAATGACTTTGAATGTAATTTTTTATCGCACAAATTCAATTATTATTGCAAAACTTTTCTTCATGACTGTCTCGACACTTTATTAAAAGAAACATTATTAATAATTACTGCTTAATGGACGAATTGATTTAGTTGATAATGGATTTCAGGTCAATAACATAAAGTGTCTGTTAATTAAAAAAACAAAATCTTTAATAAATTGAGACATTAATTATGTTGGTTAATATAGTGAAAGAAATTAAATTCGAATTAACATTTTGAAACGGAATGTTTAAACGGATTAATATATTTTAAATTCAGCGAGCCTTATTGTTGTTGTTTTGATTCAGTTCTTTTTAAGAATTCAAACTGTAAACATCTAGAAATAGCTTTAACTTAATTATTAGAAATAAATCGATGCTTTTTGTACGAAGCAGGATAATAATAGAATGAAATCAAAAACACAAAGTGTATTTAATGCTTCCATTCGATTAATCAATTCATATTTCTTCCGCCTCAGAAAACAGCGAAAGTCAAAAGCATAAATTTATAATTAGCCAAAAGATTGTGCAAAAATAAACCAACAAAAGCACAATAGTGATCATGAAAAAGTGATTGGTGCGTCTGTATTCAATGTCATGTAAGATAACGCATTTTATCACTTTACTTTCCATTCCCGAGCGACATTTATCCGCTCCATTGCAGCCATAAGGCGGTCATAAGTCGTTGCCTACTGCCAACTGCCTTGAGTCAAGGCGAATCAATAATCACCATACGAATGCCTTATCGCCTTGATAGCAACTCCTGACCTCCATATTTCCGCGCGCAAGGCTATCTTGAAACTGCCACCGACTTCTGACCAACTTGCCTTGTAATCGCCTGGGTGTTGACGAGGTGGTGCTTACAAGGCAGTTATTATGGCAGCAAAAAACTGTTATAATTCTGTTATATTTTTTGATTTTTTGAATATTAAATGTTCGTTAGCTAATTTGGTTTTGTACTATAATTAATAAGAAAATGAGATTCAAAAGTTTAAGTCTTATCACGACTTAAGTCTTGAAAGGAGCACGAATCAGTTAAAGTTTCATGCTACAAAAGATTCTATTTAAAATATCTTAGGAAAAGTATGGAAACATTTCCTCGACTTATATTAGTCATTTCTGATTGTACTTGTGAAGTATGTTGCGACAATGCTGAAATCGGTGGCAGTCATATGACAGCCTTGTAACTGCCTTAGCAAGGCAGAAATTTTAGAAGAAAAAAATTTGTTTTTGTGGCAGTCGTATGGTAGCCACAAGGCAATGCAGTATGAAGCAGTGCCTTGAAATCGACTTGTTCAAGGCAAGGCAGTTTGGAGGCAATCACACAACTGCCATCGCCACAAATTGTCGCTCGGGATTACCTACCGCTTTTCCAAAATATTTCGTCTGCGTTAAGGTCATGGTTAAATGATTGTAGTGAAGAGAGAAGGCTTGAATTTTACAGCTAGGGATGTAGAAAGAACTTAGTAAATTTTCTTTAAAAAGTTTAGTGATTTTGTATGTTTTTTGTACTTTAAGTGAATTATTGATTATTTAAATGCAAATTTTCATGCGTATAATTAGGTTTACTAATGAAATACCTACTAATATAGCAAATCAATGCTAGTTTTTCAAGTCAATGTCAATAATTCATTCAACTCTTCAATAGATTCTTGAACAATTCATAACTCCTAGTATAAAACAAAACAAATAATTAAACTCGGCAAAAATACAAAACTCATTTATTCATTAGGTCAGTGTTAATACATAGATGTATTATTTGAAGAGCCGAGTCTTAAAAATTTACTGTTTTTTTTTCTCATGTACTTTTTTTACTTATTCTTCATACATGTTAAAATGAAAATTATTCGGAATGTATTGCATAATAATAATATCAAAGTCTTTTGGTCTAAAAGCTCTTGTATTCATGTACTGAAGAAAATAATGTTATTTCAAAGAAGTACATCTGCGTATCGACGTGTATGAACAATCGCATGGTATTTTTAGATGTATGATCATAGCTACTGTGTCGGCAAATGTTATTATGCAAACAATTTGAGCTTTAAATGTAGGCAAATGTTTAGTGTATGTTTATTAATTTATGCATAAATATTAATTCGTTATGATTCATTTGCTTTAACAAATGTTTTATGTTCATTACTAATTTATTTTCAGGTGACATTGCTTTTCAACAATGCCGGTGTGCTGAGTGGACGCGCTCTTTTAGATACGCCAGATCATCTTATCGAACGATCATTCAACGTCAATGTGGTAGCACATTTTTGGACAGTCAAAGCATTTCTTCCAAAGATGATTGAGAATAATCATGGTCATATTGTGACAATAGCATCTATGGCTGGACATGTTGGTATCGCAAAATTAATTGATTATTGTAGTAGTAAGTTTGCTGCTGTTGGCTTCGACGAAGCACTTCGACTTGAGTTGGAAGTAATGGGTATTGATAGTGTGCATACAACAGTAATTTGTCCGTATTTCATACAAGCGACTGGAATGTTTGATGATGTTAATTCAAGGTAACAACGATTTTTTTCCTCTAAATTAAAAATTTCTTCTTATTATTTTGTTTCAATATTTCTGCAATTCATTATTAGATGGGTTGGCACATTAAACTCAAATGACGTTGCTGATCGCATAGTTTTAGCTGTCCGACGAAATGAAAAGATGGCATTGATCCCTTGGTATTTCAGCTTCATGCTTGCTTTCAAATATATCTTCCCATGGGGTTGCACGTCAGGCTTTCTTCGTCGTCTAGTCCCAGACGCAACACCACAACATATTTTACCATCACCAGTCACAACGCCATCAATTCAAAAGCAGGATGAAATGAATTTTAATAATAATAATAACATAAATAACAATAATATCGATAAGGAGACAGAATTAATAAAGAGAATGTCGACGGCAATTGATGGCGAGCGAGTACTTTAAGAACAAGTCACCTTTCTTTTGTTTTGCTTCTTCGACATAATTCCATAATGTGAATTACTTATTCGAAAGAAGTGAACAACAAGCAAGAATAGGAAAGAAACCTTCGTGATTTTAGGTTTTAAAATTTTTATAAATTCTTATCTGCTAATTCCTTTAAATTTCTAATCATGGGTAAAGAAAAGAATTTTCGTTCAAATAAAAAGAAAATTGTAAATTTTTTTATAGCTTTATTTAACTCTTAATGTGGGAAAAGATTGATATATTTTGTATGTAAAAAATTGATAATACGAATGACTTAATAAAAATGTATGAAACATATTTACAATCGCTTTTACTTTTCATTTGCATAGGACATAAAATGTTTATTTCAGCATGATAGATGAGAATAGTGAAATTTGATAACGATCGGTTCTCTCAGTCGCTCTCACTTTAGCGTGATATATCGAATAGTTTGTTGTTCTGGCAGCAGTTTGGTTTTGTTTGACTTAAATATTAAGTTGATCAGGACAATTTGAATTTCTGGATACACTCCTGATGCTACTATCTACCAAGAATGTGCAGTCAAATTTAAACTTTATTTTTCTTCATATTACAGCTTTTAAGTTTTAATGATAAGCCTTGTGTTAAGCACAAGGTGACTATTTGTATTGATTTTGCATTTCTCGGGTGATTAAAGGTGAAAAATGTTAACATTTGCAAACATCACAGATAATGTCATTCATAATTACTGGCATTTTAGTCAGACTTTATGGACAGGTAATCTGCAAAATCAAAATTATTATGTCGAAGTTTAAATAGAAATTTTAAGAATCAAAATCAAAAGTGCGCTTTTAAAATTGAAATAATTAACTTGCTTACTTATTCTTGCGTTCTTCCATTTCTCTCATTCTACATTCTCATCCACTTAAAAAGAATCTCTTTCCTTATTCCAGAATTCAGTCTCAATCAAATATTTGCTGCGAAAAGTCAGTAACTTACACATCATAAACTCTAATAAGTGATGTGATTTTTTTTTTGGAAATTACTCGAAATTGCTTAATTCCCGAATATTTTGTGACCATCATTATTTAATTTCCGTCATATGCTATGGCATCTGTGTATATTTACGATAAAATATTGATTCTGTTGTGTTTTTTAACCGGTAAGATGAGATTATTAATTATTTATTCAAGATCGTCCACGACACAGCCCTTATATCGCTTATCATAAATTATTTAATGCTAAGCATAAGAAAATGAATTTCATTGATAACTTTATGACCTTCTCGAAATGTCTTTGACTCGAAAAGAAACAATTTAATTTTATTTTTATAATCAGCAACTTACAACTCTGTAGTTAAATGCAATTACGTGGACAAAAATAAAAGAAAGAGAAAAAGCGTTAAATCTGTTGAAAGAAGAAAGAAGTTTTGTCTGGAATTCTAAAAATAAAGAGAAGAAGTAACAAACATGAAGAAGAGAGGAAGAAAAAGTTTTCAAAGTCAATGCCCACAGTTATTTATGCTCACACAAATAAACCTCGTGTCAGCTGTTTTTGTTTCCAAAAATGATGAACTTATAGTTTATTGTGGAGTTGAAGAGATTCAAGCATGCTCAAAAATATTGATTTTCAACCGGTTTCATGTTGTGGTCTTTGAAAGAATCATCAAGAAATAGCTTTAATCATAAAGAACAGCTGATCTTCACAACTTGATTCTAATTAGAGTTACGGAATATTTTAAAATCGATTTAAAGTTTAAAACTAAAGAACCAAATTCTTGTATTCACTGTAATAACAAATCATTTCCTCTTTTCCACAACCATCAACATTTTGCAGTGTTCATCTACGCATTTGAAGTCGGGACAGATAGTACCTTTTCATTTGTAAATGATGTAAGCCTTTATGACCTCAAAACAGCGGCAGAGCAATCAGTTGGATATCGAATATCCGGTGATTTAAAGGTTTCGTCAATCTATGGTGATAGCGAAAATGGTTTTTTATTGCGTTTTAAGGTAATTAATGTGTAATTGATGCTTGATAGTGATCACAGCATTATAATGTTCTCAATTCTTTTACAGCTTATATCACCGCAATTATATCTCGAGAAATTCAAGGCAATACCTATTGACTATGAACAGAAAAAGTCAATTCTTGATGGACATGATAAGTTGATATTTTATGCACATTGGAAAGCAGGGATTGTTGAGAAAGCATTCATAAAAGATACCAAAGATTCTTCATTAAATAATTTTGTAAGGTCAATTTTAAGTTTATTCCAATTTCAAATGTCAGATGGTGAAGCTGTTGAAACAGATGTAACAGGAACATGCAATGTTAAATATATTGCAAAGTCATCCCGAAGATTTATGAAAATAAAGACTAACTGTAAGAATGAGAACTTTAATAATCATGAAAGAACTGACCAGCCACTTGGATGTGATACAAAAACCACACGAGTCAACATTGTTGAGACATCAGCTGATGGAATATTAGATTCCATTCATAGTTCTGATCATCACAAGCTTAGTGTAAATGCTTATAAGAATGTTGGATTCAAAACAGGATCACTATTCTACTTGAAACTTGGTCTTGTCAAAAGTTGTGAGACAATAAAAGCTGAGGATTTTGATGAGGCTTTCAAGACATTAGATGGCTTTAAAGAAACAACATTGTTACCAGAAGTTGAAGGGGATAGCTCTGAGGATGGAAATGTGAGTTTGAAAACGTATTTATGCTGAAGATATGTAGATTTATATTGATCGAAGATCAAAACGTTCGTAAGGAATCAACTTAAGTAATTTTATTTACTCTTTTAGCTCGTCAAACTGATCAAAGATGCAAAAGATAATCTCAAAAATGAGGACGTAGGAAAAGAAAATTCTGCATTAGCACTGCTTAATCTAGTTTCAAAAGGAAGAGAGTCAAAGGCCGAAGATCTCTTAAGAATCATCAATGCAAGAACAACAAAGGAGATAAGGGGACAACTAATGGATTTACTTGCAGCTATCCAAACAGATGAATCATATCTTGCATTCAGAAGTACTTACAACCTAACAGATGACGAGAATATTGACACTATTGAGAGATATTTGCAGTCGTTGTCAGTTGGAAATCTTCCACGTCAGTCAGTTATTAGTCATTTACTGCAGTCTATTGATCAGATAGAAAATGGAAAGATAAGAGATACGGTTATACAGACAATCTCATCAATGAGTAACAAACTTGCTAATTCACCTAATCAGAGTTTTGAAAATGAAGCTGTTGTTAATGTTAAAAATCTATTATTGAAATCTATTGATGAATGCGAGGACAATAGCTGCAAATTAATCTACATTCGTGGCCTTAAAAATCTTCAATCTCCTGACACAATTAGGAAGTTGGTCGAATTAGCATTAAGAGAACCTTATCAGATATCCGTTGGTGCTATGAAAGCTTTAAGTAGATTCCACAGAATTGATCTAGAAGGATGGAAAAAAGACTTCCAAAATATTTTTTATCAGATCAGAAAAAAGTTTGACACAAGCGCTAGAACAATAGCTTTTGATATTTTATTGAGTCTCAATCCTGAAACAGATGAAATTAAAGATTATGTTTCATTCCTCAAGTCTCAAGATCCAGCATATGAAGTTAAGCAATATATAGTTCAAAAATTGAGAATGAAGGCTGATAAATGTTCTGAATTTGCTAAGATTTTAAAGCTAATCGTTTCAAGTGATCCTGAAGTTTACAATTGGAATGTCTATGGTGCTCTTAAGGGTCTTTCAACAGCTTTAAAAAGGAAGTTTTCATCACAACCCTCGTTCAATGGATCATTACTAAGTGTACAAGAGATCAAGGGGGGTGTTTTAAAAAGAGGAAATGTCGATCTACTAATGGAATATGAAAGTGAGACATTCAGTGCATTTACATTAGGTCTGTTTGCTGGTGGATTGTCATCATTTGTTAGCAGCGATGATGAAGAAGTTGATCCAGATGAAGATGCCACTGCAACAGCTGGAATGGAAATTGCTGTACAAGGAAACTATCTTAGACCTTTGGTGTTCTTTAGTGGACAAGGAGAGCTTATGGGACATGTTTGGTCTGGAACTGCCTCTGAACCAACTTCTGGTAAATTTTTGAATAAACTAATGAAGCTTTAATTAATAAAATAACTTGCATTTACAGCATATCAAGGAATAACTCTCTTACAAGATCACAAGCAAATGTTTGTGCTGAATAACGGTGCACTATTAGATTATTCAACATTAGGTGCGATGTCAATGGACTTGAATGGACAGTTCACAATTAGTTTGTGGTATAAGAACGCAAATTCAGTAGTTCTTCAAAATATAGGCTTAGCATTGCTGAGTAGTGTAAAAATTTCATCACCAATTGTGTCAGCGGAAGTACAAACTTCATTGTCTCAAGAGCCGCAAATAAACCTTTCATCAAAAATTGACTTTTCATCAAAAACAGTTATGTGCTTACAGTTAATGCAGCCTAATATACAGTTGACACAAAAAATTACCAAAAGGATAGACATCCCGAAGACAAAGAAGGAGAAGGCATTTAAGAATGAAGTATATTTGAGATACAAAATCCCTGGTCACACACACGTATTAAATCAAAAGAATAATGATATGTGTAATGCAATAATGGATAATTAGATATTAATAATGTTAATAAAATATGAGTGAATTACCAATCAATGTCTATTTTATCATTCTTGCATGATCTCATTAATCCTACAGCTATTCTAAAGTAAAAGTAAGAAATAACGGTTTTCCAAAAATTTGAACTCAGTATCAAGGAGTCAAAAATTTTGAATTTTCTTTTTTTAACGGCTTTTTCAAATCACTTACACTAGCTTACGTTACACACACAACAAAAAACAATAAATAAAAAAAAACAGCAGTCAATCGATTAATTAATTCGTAGTTTGAATATAAAAGACTTTTTTAACTAATTTGATAGTAGTTTATTTATTTAAAATGGGAAGAAAAAAGAAGAAGGTAAAGTTCTCGTGTTTTTGCTAGAATTAAGTGCATATTTTCATGAAATAAAATGTTTGTGATGAAAATTTCTTTTAAAACGATTTTATCTGTAATTCTGAAGTTTTAATCATTTCTGTTTGTTTATTTAACTTTCTAGGCTCAAAAACCATGGTGCTGGTAAGTTCTTAAGTGAAAAAAATGTGTTTTTAATAATTTTTTACATGATGCAACATAATTGACTCCCACACCTTTTTCCTACTTTTCTATTCATGTCTATCCATTGAACATCCACATAGGTATTGTAATCGAGAATTTGATGACGAGAAAATCCTTGTACAGCATCAAAAAGCTAAGCATTTCAAGTGTCACATTTGTCATAAGAAACTTTATACCGCGCCTGGATTGTCAATTCATTGTATGCAGGTACATAAAGAGCAGATAGATAAAGTTCCAAATTCACTACCGAATCGGTCAAACATTGAAATTGAGATTTATGGTATGGAAGGAATCCCAGCAGAAGACTTAAAGAACCATGAAAGACAGAAAAATGGAAATAAATCTGATTCAGATGATGATGAGCCGACAAATAAGAAGCATAAACTGGATCCACAAATTACTATGGCTCAAGGCATGCCACCTCAAATGATGATGCCCAATATGGTACCTAATATGGCTCAATTTCCTCCCATGATGATGCCTCGTAAGTATTTCATTGCATTAAATTGAGTTTATCCCTTAAAATTGAATGTAAATGTTTTATAGACGGCTTCCAAATGATGCCAGGAATACAGTTAATGCCTCACATGATGGGTCACAGGCCGCTATTTCCCGCTGCAGCTGTACAATCACCAGCTATGAATCAACAGAAACCAACTTTCCCTGCATATAGTAACGCGACAATTAGTGCACCTCCAAAAACAAATACTGGAAACTCGACAAGTTCAAATTCAACAGATACTCAGAAACCTCCAACGATTCCGCAACAGAATACAGGAACAGCATCAAAAATAATGCATCCAACAAATGATTTAAGTCTTGAGGAGCTTAAAGCGAAGAGACCGCAATATAAAGTAATTAAGGCTTCAACCATATCACCTCAAATATCTGCTTCCATAACACAGACAAGTACTAATTCGTCTTATAGTAATAACAAGCATAATGAGTCGAAAGCACTAGCTGCTGCACATGAGGTGAGTTAATCCTGATAAACATAATCTGTACCTTACGATTTTCTTTTTGTTTTTCATTATGGAATAAGTTGAAACTAATTTGTTATGAAAATTTGCTTGAGCCTGATATTGATGTGTGTGTCTTTTCTATACTTTTTAACATTCCAAAGATTTTTAAAAGAAAATCTTTTTGAAAAATTAAATTATTTTCCTATAATTCACTCACATGCAAATTTTCAAACTTAATTGCACTTGATTTTATTCCTCATTAATTAAAAATTATGTATGATTGGATTTTTAAGACAAAATTAGTTCATTTTTGATTTATTAACAATTTTGAATGCCTGGTGATTTGTTTAATTAATTTATTCTTTATACTTTCTCATGTATTTTTATTAGTTCCTTTTTTATTTCATTACCCATTCGTTCAGTCTGTGATGATCATTGAGAACTGTAGATTTAGATTATTTATTAACATTTAATTAAACTAGACACTAATAAGCTTTAAAGTTCTCAATGATTGTCAGTCCTTTCCTTTTTGATTTGTCGTTTTTTTCTTTTGATAAAATTTAAATACGTTTTCTTTGATCGTAAACAATTAGCATGCTGCTATGATGGCTCAAGCAGCCAATCAACAAAAGCAAATTGATGATATTAATCGTGCTGCAATGTTTAGTAGATTTCAATCTGCTGCTCGACCAACTGTACAACAACAAATGGGAATGGTTAGTTTTCTTATTATACATTTGATGTGTCTATCTAGAATGTTCTTTAAATCATTATCGTGAATGGATTGTGAGGGAGGTTGGTCGTTGTAAACAATTTAAAGATAAATCTAATAATTGTGGAATTGGAATTTAACAAGCAATTGATTATTAACAACGGATATCTTACCAGATCAATCCATTCACAATAACATTCTGTTTTACATTCATGATAATCGTCTCTATTCTCTCACTTTTAACTTTAACAGGAAACAGGAATAAATTGTTCATTATTTTAGTCACTTCTCACTTTAAATGTATTTTTATATTAGATTGATTTGATATTTTTCTAATTGTAATTTATTTTGAATAATTTTTTTTATATAATAATTGGTGGAAGAATTAGATTTTTGAGAAAATATTGTTCGACTACAAAGCTTTTCTTTTGAAGGAATTTCGTTAGATCGTAGAACAGAAAGATTTGATTTGATTTGAGATGAAATTTTGTAGATTGATAAAATGGATTTTACTTTAGTTTAATTAAAGAAAATGTCTATAAATTTCTCATTTTAGATACCCGGAATGCCACATCAACAATTATTGCTTCCACCAATGATGCGTCAAGCAATGCCAGGACATCATCCACAGCTAATGATGATGGCACAGCGTCCAGTTTTACAGCCAGGTAAGTTGATGTCAAAACATTAACAATTATCAAATTTATTTTAAATTCGTCGACAATTCTTTTTTGACTTACATTCATTTTACTTCTCTTTCTTTTTGTATACAAATTTCATTCATTTATGTTTTTAAGATGAAAAATTAATGATAAGACATTCCACAATGGTGTATCTGATAAAATTACTTCTTTTTTCCATTTTTCTTATATTTTTATATATATTCAAAAAAATACAAATTAAGTTTCATGAAAAAAGACATCTTTTCCTATATTTCTGAACTCTCAGAGATGAAAACTATAAAAATGTTTATGTTGTTCATAAAAAAAACCGAAAAACGAGGATTTGTAATTGTTCATTACTTACTATTTTATATGTAGACGTATTTCTTGGCATTTTGTAATGTTTATATTCTAATAATTGCGTTTAGTAACTCCTTAATGCTTGACAGTTTACATTTGAATTTAACTCATAACTTAGTTTAATTTGAGCAAAATAAAAAAGTGTGTAATTAAGTTATTTTTTATTATGATTTAACGCATGCTTGATGTAAAATTGCTTAAAGAAGACCCGTGATCGGAATGATGCTGTCAATGCATCGATCACTATTAATTAAATGATCAGTAAAATGGCAATTTCAAGTTTTAATTCAATTATCAATTTTAGATTGATTAATCAAGTTGCTATTTTGCTTGTTTATGGAAATTCTTGAACTTGTTGATTTTAAGTGCTTCAAATGCTTTGTTTTGCAAACTTTTGGTATTAATGGTTGATCAGTTTCACACTCTCCGGTATACTTAATTAGATTTTAGGAATTTACTTCACTTACAAGTTTAACGTACAAGTTATCAAACAAGAATTTTTCTTACAAGAATTGCATACAAGTCTTTAGTCTATTTTATACAAGTTTTAATTTAAACAAGTTCAATCAACTTTTAAGTTAAAGCAAAGCAATTGAAATACTTAAATTTCACAAACCGCTCAAATACTTAATCGATAAGCTTATTACCATTCTTAAAACTCATAATTCTCAATTATGAATGATGTTTTTGAGACATCAACACTCATCTTTTTTTAAAGCATTTTTTTTTTTTAATTTTTTTGTATTTTTTTCATTCTTCAAAATGTTTTTCTTTTATTATATTTGTTTTTTTAGTTTAAGTGGTGAGTATTTTTCAATATTCCAAACAATAAAAGAAAAAGAATTCGCTTATGAATGATTTGCAAGAGACTTTCATGCTTGCTTGTAAATATTCAATGATTATCATTTAACACAAACGTTTTGTTCATTTGCTATGCTTCATAAAGAGCAAAAATAATATCTTAAATTGAGAAATATTTGAATTGGTAGTGGGAATAACAGATAAATTCAATATTATATGTTTTTTTTTACTTGATTGTGAATGTCTCAAATATTGGAACAAAATAAATATTTTACACAAAGTTTCAGTTTCACACTTAAAGCAGTCGGTAGTTAATTAATTAATTTTTGATTCTTATTTTTAATGAATGATATTGGGGGATGTGATTGAAAAATTGAAGATTCATTTGCACACTTTGGATGCGTAGATGACAGAATTATCGTTTGTTGAAGAATAGTCATTAGAATTTGATTCATAAATGCTTGCTTGGTGTTAAATATAAATCCTGATTAATTCTAAGCTTTGATTTTGTTCAATAATATACAAATAATAGCCAAAAGTTTTATTGTAGAAAGTAAAATATATAAAACTGGAACAATTCTCTAAGTTTAGTAAGAAAAAGTTAGAATTTTCTCTAAAAATCAATCTTCTCAATTGACATCCCCCAAGTGCATAATTGACTTTTTAATTCAAATTAGTTGGATAAGTTTCTATGTGTTTTAGATTAAAAAAAATTGTTATTTTTATCCAATGATCTTTAAATCGTATTTTTCTTTTAATTTTTTTTTTCGTATTTAAATTAAGAGATGACTTATGAGCAATCAGTAATGCCAAAAATAAACTACTTAAAAAACTGTATTAGAAAATGATAAAAATGACGTAGGTACATCAGCAGGAAAGTTAATTTTTTCTTTTAAAAAAATTAATAATTTAAGTTAATTTTATTTTAATTAAGTGGTTATTGGGCAATTGATAATGGTTGATTATAAAAGCTGTTTTGCATCACTTAATAACATTCATTTTGTTTGTAAAAATATCTTTTTTTTATCAGCAATTTCATATTCATGTAGAGAAAATCTTCATTTTTTAACTGTTTGTCTTCAATCAACACGGAAATCATTTTTTGACATTCTTTTTTTTGTAGAAATTCTTGTTCATTTTAATTGTACTAATTTCTAGTTTGAATTGAATTCTGCTAACATTAATCGCCTATATTTATTTATTTATGTGTTTAATTTAATTATATTAATTTATCATTGAAAAAACTAAGAGAAAACTTCTTTTCCATTCATTTTTCTAGAGATGGTTTGGAAAATGATTAAAATGAATTCATTCGATATTGTAATATTCCGATTCGTAACATTGTAATTTCCTCTGACAGAAAAGCTTAGTTTATCGTCCAGGTATAAACTAAGTGTCACATTATTTTTGAATTTTGCTAGTATTTAAGATTTATTTTTAAATTCTTTTGGAAAATTTTGATTTAAAAACACTTTTGACTTAATTTTAATGGAAGAAAAACTCACTCGTTATGATTTAAACTTTTTCTTTTACAATTGTTAAAAGAACACACTTAAATCTATTTAGAATTGGTCGTTAAATCATATTTGATCAGTTTTCATAATCATTCAAATATGGTTCAACAATCAGTATAGCTGCATCAAATTTATATTTATTAAGATACAAATCAATATTTTTTTATGGTTATGTTTAAGTCTTTAACTGTTTTCCCTTTCCTCAAAAAAACTATAAACCAAAAATCTATCAAGAAAAATGATTTTTTAAATTAGTATATAAAATTAATAATATTAAGAAAATTTGTTGACTGATGAAATATTTGAAATTTTGCTATAATAATGAATTTTTCGTTTCTTTTCTTCTCATTTCTTTAATCTCTCATGTGAATTTAAAAAGGAGGTTTCATACAGGCAGGGCAATTTATACCACATGGAATACAGGGAATGCCATTAATGCCAATGATGCCAATGCTTCCGCCTCGTTTTCGGTGATTTCCTTCATTTCAAATGATCAGACATCCGATACTAATGGCAAGATCAGCAGCAGCATCAAATGGAACATTGTTAACAAGAAACGTAGTGAAAATGAAACAGCTACCAATCATCTATCCGTAATTACAAAACAGAATTTTTTTATTACTATTATTAGATTCATAATAACGCTAATTAATTGTGTTTATTGAATGTTATTATATGAATTGATGGAAAATTTAAGAAAAAGAAGAAAAAAAAAATAACAGTGAAATTAATGAAAAGACCTTACTGGTTAGATGAAAGGGATATTTTATAAATTTTAAAGGCTTGTACATTTTATTTTATATTTTCTAATGTTTTTTTGAGTTTACTGATATTGAAAGTTATAGTTTTAAAAAAACTGAAAGAAACTACAACAATATAATAATTTATTGTATGAATATTAATGTCTTAGATTTTTCATCATTATTATCATCACATAAAACTTTCTATCATTTAGATTTATTGAATTTTACTCTCTTAACACTTCTTATTTATTTTGGTGATGGGAAGGTTATTAATGGTTGGCGTATCTAGTTGTGCACGCAATGTTAAGCATGGAAATGTTGAATTTCCTAGAACAGCATTCGAATTACTATTGCAAATGATTTTACTAATATTGATGTTCTGTCAATTTTATAGGAATGATTTTACTCTTATAAGCAATGAGCACAGAACTTGACTAGTGAACGTAACTGAATAATTTTTGAACAGTTCTACAAGAAGTTCTTAAAAGGTTTCTAAATTCATCTGTTCTGCAATTCAGGCGGAATAATTGAAATATTATAGAATTAGAATTGAATTCTTAGAAGTAGATATAAAGACTTCTTTATCATATGTGCCCCATATGTTTAAGAATTTAGGATTAGTTGCAATGCAAATATTATTTGAAGACAACTGGTGACATTTTGACCAAATCTTGATTTGGTTTTCAATCTTAAAATTAAACGATTTAAATCAATATCAAGACTGGGGAACTGATAAATTACATTTTAATCAATTTTATTTGTCACTTTATGTGGTTTTTGATAATTTTGACCAGTTCCACATCCTTGATTCATATAAAGTTCCTGGATACGCCAATAATCCTCTTTTATTTCTTGAGCTTAAAAGATATTCACAGGCCTTTTCTTCTTGAATGAATATCAAAATTATCGTAAATATTACATCAGAAAAGAACATTAACTTAATAAGTTTCATCAAAAAAAATTAAAGAAAAATATCAAAAAGTCAAAATAAGATTACTCATGTATTTCAACAACTACAAATAAAAGTGGATTTTTTTCTTTCTTTTGTAAAAAAATTCTCATATTTATGCGTTAATTTCTTGTCTAAAAAATACAAAAAAAAATTTCTTCTCTTTTTTTCTGTGTTATTTTTAGACATTTTCTTATTCACATAAAAGTTTTTTCATCTCATGAAAAAATTCCTTTTCGCAATTGTTTCGACAGGTGATTCTTGCTCGATTGTGAATAGTGCGAATGATAATGTCTTAGCCTTAATAATCTAATTGAAAAATGATAATTGTGAGACTTGAAAAAATAATAATAAATAAGGAAGACTTTTTCCTTGTCTTGTTGTCAATTTCCTTCTTTTCTAGTTTGCTAGTGATTTTTTAGATTCATGCAGCATGCAAAGTTCTCGTAGAATTTTTTAAAAATAAATATGACTTTTTCCACAAATATGCAATGAATTCTTAAAATAGAATGAAAAATTTTTACACAACCTAATTCCTTTTCCCCTCACATTTTAAAAATATATATCATAGTAAATTAGTCTTTTACCTATAGTGATGGAAAGGAACATTTTTTTTGTTGATCGAATTAGCACCTACACACATGCTTAAGAAACTAGGAATATTCGAGTAAATTAAGATTAGTGATTTTCTAAATTTTGGAAATGTTTTGTTGAGTTTTTGGTGAATTTTATATCTTTTTAGGGAAATTGTGAAGGATTTAGAGATTTTAGGAAGTTTTAACAATACCATTAAAGTGAAAAATACGTAATTAATGAACTAAGCACATTACAAAGTTATCTGAGTGACGTTTTCTCAGGCTTAAGTTTTGAGAGCTGAAATTCACAAGTGCTAGGATGTTCTCAAACATATTTAAGTAATTTACCATTCACAAACCCCCAAAATTCCTTAAAAACAACAAAATATTCTCAATCTTTAAGAGGCATTTTCGAAAAATCGAGAAAAATGATTATTGAATGAAAATTTAAAATGCCGGCAATTTTCACATTTGACGACAAATATTTTAATTTTGATGGCATTCGAATGTTTCTCGTGAGGTCAGATTGTTTTTAAACTAAGCAAGTAAGAAAATTTTATTTTTTCCCTCATTGTTTTTAACAACAGTCGTAAAGAAGATGTTTAGTCAGTTTTTATAGTCACTAGCAATTTTAATAATAGTAAAAATAAATCCTTTACATTTCAATCTTTGAATATCTGACGTAATAATAATAATAACAGTGAAATAATGAAAAATAATCAGACGATAGTTATAGCGTAAAAAATCAATCTGATAGTACAAGCATGAACTAATCAAAATACCTTTATGAGTAATAATTAATTAAATAGATATCTTAGGGGCCGTTCATAAATGACGTTTGATGCGGGTATAGAATTTTCTGACGGTTCATCTTGTGACGATGAAGTGGAGTTGGTCTGAAAGTTCTCGTTTTTTGATCGACGTTAACAGCCCGTTGGGGCTTTTTCACTTATTATGCTACACAAAAACGAATTTTCAAACCCTTCTCCCACTTTTTACAAAATTTAAAATGCTTCAATCTCCTAGACCTTCTTAAAATGCGAACGTAACATGAACGGCACCTTGTGTGATTTTAAGAGGAAATTGATAATTATTTTGTCAGGATTTTATAGAATTATTGAGTTTGACATCCTTAAAAATAAGCAAAATAATCATAAAAACTTGAAAACCCCAAAAAATAATACCAATTTGCATCAGCTGATTCTGACAAATTGAAAAATTGAACCATTAAATAAAATCAAAAAATGAATCAGATTTTGTAAATTCATCAAAAGTTTAAAGAATTTTGTAGATTTCAAGTTGCTTTTGCAAAAGTTTAGTATTTTACAATGCCGTTAAAAAGGCTAAATGTTGAATGTTTAATTACTGACAAAGCACTCAATTTCATTGACTTTTATTATCACATGTAGGTACAATGGAACTTAACGTAACTTTAAAATAATAACACAGCATAATCTCATTAACCTATTAACATAGCTTTTATGTGTTAAAATCTGTCACAAGATCAAAATCTTACTTAATATCTATATTTTTTCCTCTCTATCTCTCTATTCAATGCTCTATCTCTATTTATCGTATTGTTTAGAAATACATAAACATTTAAAAATGACAAGAGGAGATGCTTCGCAATAATAATAGTAAAGTATCATGTTATTCAATGAAATTCCAACCAGCATAAAAGATATTTCCGTTGATTATTGTAAGTAGAAATGCAAGGTGCGTTCTATTAATTCATTTTTTAATTCCAATACCTTGTGCCGTCAATTTTTATCGCAATAATAAATGTGTTGTTATTAAAACTAAGGTCGGTTAATCGGGGTTCAAACTTAGTCTAAGGACATCCCTCAGACTTACTTTTAAGTGTAGATTATGCTATACCTAAAGTATGTGAAGAGGAGAGTTTAACCCCGAAAAATCTCACCCCAATTAAATTACGGAGATGAAATATAATTTATAGATGAACGACCTCGACATTTATCAACGCATATTTTTCATTAATTTATTTTGCTGAAAGATTTTCTTTCTTTAACTGGACAGAAATCATCGGATCAGCATTTATTTTTGTCTCTCGGTGTTGTATTTTCTCATAAATTATTTTTAATTTGGTTGAGGATTTCTTTTTTGCACGTCTGAATTGAATCGATAGGAAAATTTTTTTTTCATCATTTAGCTTTGAGTAAATCTTTTTTCTTAGTTTTGTGCATCAGCAATAATTTAAATTTTATTTTAATTTTTCTTCTCTCTCATGGACTGAGTTTATTTCAAGGAGTCTGTGACTCAGATTGAGTTTGAGTGATTGAGCAAGTCAGAACTTAAAATTGAAGTAAAATTTTTATTTGACAAAGTAAATTGTAAAGTTTCTTAGAGATTTGAAATGAAGAAGGCTAGTTGTGGAATAAGAATCAGTTCAATTTATGATTGAAATGTTTTTGAATTGTCAGATGAAGTATATAGGAGAAATTGTAGTTTTCTAGTTCCACATTGGCGGTCTTTGAGAATACTCACCTGTTCCTGACAGAAAATGGTCTCAAATCTGGAAAACCTGACTCAACCTTAGTAAACAGTAGCTAGTTTAGTTTAAAGTGGTTCAATCTTTATATAGCCCAAATGGCACAAGTCTGTTAATCGATCAGAAATCAAGCACCAAGCTGGTGTGACTCTGGCATCGACTTATGCTATTCGGGGAGGCACACGTCGTAATGATGAATCCTTAAAGTCAAAAATCGAATCGATGAAAGAGTCTAATGATCAGAGCCAACAAATTAGTCTGTCATTTAATTCTTAGTATAAATTGATAGATATAAACACGAATTAATTGATTCTTAATTTGACCAGTTAATAAAAATTTCTTGATCTTAGAGTATCAAAATTATAGAATTTGATAGAACGTTGAGACCAGTTTATCTATCATGACCTATGTTGTTGATTGCTTAACGTTCATGTCACACAAGAACACGTTCTCAAAAACACAAAGGCTTGGTCTAAAGGCACTTAAAAAATTAACATAAATTCTGTCTAAGAACTTGTTCTTTTAAGATAAAATTTTGCTTCAATTTATGATTTTTCTAGCACAAAAATGTTTTTTTTTTTCTTTTGATGTCATACGGAAGGATTCAGAATTTAAGTCTTCTTGTTTGTGATCTTTTTTGAGGTTTTTTTGATTGATTTAGCTTTTCCCATTATTTTATCACACATTGAGTAAGGAATTGGATATGAAATTCATCATTTTATAGTTGTGTACACAATAAAGGTGAAATTGTCATGAAATAATAACAAATATTAAGTAATCAATGATATATGATAGCTCAGTAATTGATATAAACTATAAAATATGTGTGTGATTTGACGACAGGTGATTACAAATGCAACGAATTTAGTTAAGAACTTTATTATTTAAAATGATTATATTAAGTATGTAACGAAGTTATGATGTAAACTGCTTTTCTTCTTACTTAATTTTCTTTTCTTTAATTTTATTTTTAAACTTTAATTTCTTGTGTAAGTGTCAATGATGGTGGTGGCTGGATGGTTTATTTGAATTTTTGAGTAGAAATTTCCTTTTATATTTTTTTATTTTTCCTTTAATTCACTATCTTTCAATTTTATTGGAGTATATTACATTGTGCAATGAGATATTTTTGCTGCAAAACAAATAATTTTGATGATGAACAATTCGTTTTTGCATTTGTGGTCACAAAAATTAATGTTGGATTCATTTTCATAAATGATTTGGGTTCATGGGGATGTTGGTTTTGAGGAATTGAGTTGTTACATTCTGGTTGTGTGTAGCTAGGAAATGTAAATTTTCCAAAATTAGGAGTGAAGATGGAGTTTGGTATTGACGGCATAGTAGGAGGGAGACAGGGGTTTTAAAAAGCTCAAGAACAATATTGAATTTCTTGAATTTATTGATTTTTTTTTGAAAAATGATCAACATTTTTGAACGATCCCTGAGAAATTCTTTTGTTCTAGACCTTCTGACACCCCATCCCCCATTCTTGATACGTAAAAAGTTAACAGCTCCTAAATTAATGTCCATTAGGTTAGGCATAAATTATTTCCTTAAATTAAAAATATCTCAATTTTGTGGTTAAAAACTTAGAATCTAGGAAGTTAAACTAAGGATTCTTTTAGACTTAGTTTGGTATATAATAAATCAAATTAAAAATTCAAAATGTTTAAACTTAATAAAACTTCTTTTTGATTTGATCCTTTACCTTAGATACAAACCAATCTTTCTAGATTTAATTCATGTAACAACTCAACCCAAAAATCAACCTTAATATTTTAAAAATGAAAATGAATTCCTTGTTAAGGCTGATTAAATATTCGATCATGTAATGTCTTATTTTGGATATTTCTTCAACCAAAAACAGGCGACAAATTAAATGAAGTGATACAAAGAAAAAATTAAATTAATAATATTTGCATGAATGCAGCTAATTAAGTAGTAAAGCTCTCACTTCAACACATGAATTGTAATTTTATTAACATACAAAAAATAGAAATTGAGAAATTTGTCACATTAATTTTGTTGAGTGAATCGGCCCCTTGCAGATCTATAAATGCAAGTGATAGTCTTGTGCTATCGCAGTATAATTTTTCTTAAAAGTTTCATTGAGAAATTTAAAAAACATGTCTCAAATTTTGCAACTTTAAAAAGTCTAAAATTTAAAAAAAAAAAACATTTAAAAACACCCGAAAAAAAGTCATTTTTTGATGAAACTTCGAAGAAAAATGAAAATGCTGTTGGCGTTGGTTCACTTCCTGTCGTCATGAAATAAAAATCACATGAAATTTGAACTTCATTATTTTAAGCGAATTGAATTTAAACAATAATAAAAAAATTATCTTCTATGAAAAACAGTTTTTCTTTGTTGAATTGAAATTAAAATAAAGAAAAAGTTTCAGAAAATAAATGTGAAAAATCAGATAAGTAAAAAATTTCTTATTTTATTTACAATTTTTCTTATTTTTATAATTCACAATTTTTTTTTTCATTCATTGCTTTCTTTTTCTTGAAATTAAAATAAGCCTTTATCTTCAGAAAATAAAAAAAACAGTTAAGTACTAGTTGTAGAGGATATAAATAATTTTTTTGAGGGAATAATATTTCGTCGTTTAGTCAATCGACTTAGTAGTTCATTTTTCCTATTTGCTCTTCATTTCTTCATGTGCAAAATCATTTTGTTTTTGTAAAGTTTTTTTCTTTTTCCTGTGTTAGATAATAAAAAGTAATTCAATGATATTTGTTATGTGAATTCAATGAAAGTTTCAGTCAATAAAGGATTATTGAAAAAATTTAAATTTGTAGTTTAACTAGCTTTGATTTCAGAAAGGATAGGATGCAGATTAAAAATCAATTTATCGAGAAGGAACCTTGCTGAGATCGAAGCCAATTTTTTCGGCTCAACTCAATTTTTGATTTTTTTTTTATCAAAAAAAGTCATTTAACTCCCATTTCAAGTAGCTAAATTGAACTTTACATGCTTTAATATGATTCTGCATAATATTTTGTCAGCATGTAGCTATAGTTAAGCCAATCGGCTTAACATTGGCTAGGTTGAAATTGTGAGCTCACTATAGCTACATGCTGACAAAATATTATGCAGAATCATAGTAAAGCATGTAAAGTTCAATTTAGTTACTTGAAATGGGTGTTAAATGGCTTTTTTTGATAAAAAAAAATCAAAAATTGAGTTGAGCGGAAAAAATCGGCTTCGATCTCTGCTCGAACGTATTTTCTTTGTTACACATAAAATTTCTAAACCTCCATCCAACTTTTTCTTGAATTCAAATGTCGTCTTGATGTCAACGAAAAACCAGCAGTTGCTTAGAGTGAAGGCTACTCCCAGTTCTACTTCATCGAATTTTTAGTTGAGTTTGGGCGTTTTTTCACTGTTTTAGCCATTCTAAGTCAGTTTGCTTGATTAACGACTCATCAATCGTGGCTAGGTAAATTACAATTGATATATCCTTAGTCATAAAACTATTATTGTAATTACTAAATGTGAAAAGTTGCAATAATTCTATCGGCTTCATTGGCAAAGTTAAAAACAAAACCACTAAATGTCCAGTGTATCAAATTAGTAATTATTATCAACAAGTCAACATTAAAGACTAGAAAAGCTTAACTCGAGCCGACAATTTTTGAGTTTCTGAATCAAATTTGATTCAAGTGTCTTGTTGATTAAACTAGCTGAGTAGCAGATGCTTTTCAAGGTCAGGCTAAGTTCTTGTATAATGCGTCTTGATTTTGCAAATATGTATGTATGTATGTATGTATGATTTATTAAACCTTTGTCTCTTTGTATGTCCAAACTTTGGACTCCAAAGTCATCATAAAAACACATAATCATTTTTGAAATAAATTTTACATTACAGAATATGACAAACACCGGAACTGCAAGGTATCATAACTACTTTATTCTGCGAAATAATATCTATTAAACCTACCTCAAAGAATACTTAATTTCCATAAACGATTGAATACTTATCAATCAAATTTCAAGGTAGAAAAATAATGATTCATCATGCAGCATTACAAGAATCAATTCCTACATACATATTTTATTCATAACAGCACAAAATGAATTTCCTCGAGCAATCATTACCGAAATAAAAAACTATAACGAAATAAATTAAGTATGAAGCGAAGGTCATGAGTGGATTTATTTCTACCCAGTAAAACATTTCTCTTTGTAAAGCATAAAAAATGCCGGCTGCAGATGTTAATTTCCCATTAAATCTCTTATAGCTTCCATGAAGTGATTCACTTAATTTGCATAACGAGTTTGCAGATTTTTTACGGAATTAAATAAATGAAAGGTTTAATTGTGCTCTAAAATGTTAATAAAGGCACAATGGGGTTTGAAATGATGCTTGGTACGACAATGTACGTAGCACGTTTCAGAATTGAATTAATAAATTCTATTGTAAAACTGTTAGAACGTTGGTGGCTGGCTCTAGAATTTCAAGGTTTGATGAATAGAATCAATTATAATGGACGTTCCACCATGACTAACTTGATGAGTAAAAGTAAAAATATATGTTACACATCGAACGTGTTTGATGACGTAAAGCAAAAAGTCCACAGACTAACGGAAATTCCACAAAAAAAAGACTTGAGATATTTACTTACCTGACCAATCAATTAGCAAAAAAGTTGTTGTCTTAATAATCAAACTGACCCCTTATTTAATATGTAAAATTCTCAGCTAAAGAATTCCAACGGCACCGACATAAATGTAACAACAATACAATTCTTGTTCCAGTGATGAAGGTCAACAAGTTCTTATTTTGCAATAACGTTTAATGCTTAACTTTCGTCACATTCATCGGTTACATGATCGTGTGCCGATAATTGATGTCTTCTTTTCCAGTTGTTATGCCAATCATCACAAGTTTCTTTAACTTTAGTTGTAATTAACATTTGATTCGTCTTTCCATACATGACTAAGTCTTTTTAAAATGAATATAAAAGCATACTGCATTGGTGCAATAGTTGAGTTTTAAATTCATGCTCAGAATGAATAAAACGTATGAGAAGGTAATGGATAAATGGTAGTGCACCATACTAATGATGTCTTTTTAGTTCATTTATATTGAATAAATTCCAAATGTATTACTCAATTTATTGCATGAAAATTATTGGAATGTTTTGATTTGTTTGTGGAATTTTTAAAGCTTTTAATTGAATTAGAGTTGAATTTAAGATTATTAGTTTGAATGTTGTAGGGTTTTTCGCTTCAAAGATGCAGAATTTTAAAATCAGTGATGCAAATTATTTAGCTATAATTATTTGAGAATTTCCAAAATTTTGCTTCTAAGATTCAGAAATTACCTTTAAGATGCAGAAATTTGATAAATCTAAGGTGCGACAGTTTTCGATTCAAAAATATAAGAACTGTCTAGAAAATCCGAATTGTACCATTTTGGTTTGGATTTTGCATCTTTAAAGAATTTTTCGCGTCATTGTGTTAAAAGATGCAAATCAATATAGCTTAATTTAAAATTACTTCTTGAATCTTTGTATGATGCAAACTTTTACTTCTCAGATGCGAAAAATTCTGCTTCAAAGATGCAGAACTTTTACTTTTTGACTTTTAAAATTAAAATTACTATCTTAATGTCACAATTCTTAATATCGATGATGAAAAAAAATTGCTTTTATTTCCGCACAATAATAAGTGAGTCAAAACCCACTCGAAGCATCCGTTAATGATCGTTAAGACCGTTTAATTTTAAGAGCGATTTAACAACAGCATAAATCACACAAAAAGCATTCCAAGCATTTTAATTTCCAAAATTTCTCAGTGTTCTAACCGACGAAGTCACCAAAAGAGCGCGCAGAATTTTTCATCATTGTTTCAGCGACTGGAAACTTAAATTGAGTGAGTTAAAGTTTTTTATTTTATATTTTTGCTAAACATTAAACACAAAAGTCTTCCAGTCTAGAAGTTTGTCTGTATATGTGTTGATGTTGTGAGGTAGAAACAGCACCGAGTACACAGAGAGATTTCACAGCATGCGGGAATCTAAAATACTAGAGTTTAGAATGACGGAAAAATTAATTAAAATTTATATTTCGGGGGGAAATCAATAAAATAAAGCGCTGTGAATTCAGCACGCATAATTGAGAGTCCATTAACGCATCTAAATAATAAAAATGAGATATAGTTTTGCGCTAACGCTTCATCATCACTCATAGTCACGATAATGTAGTTGTGCTGTTGTGAATTTTATTTATTTTTTTTTTTATTTTCTGTTATTCTCTCTTCTTACTTTCCATTTCCAGTTGACTGTTTTCTGCTTGTCTGCATAGCTTATAATATTGCTGTGTGTCTCGCAGTCGATATTAGATCGCGAATGAATTAAGTTGTAAATTAAAAGGTCCATAAAAAAAATAAGGTTCAAGATTTGTGGACAATAAGTTTTTGTTAATAAAGTATTTAAATAAAAGTGGAAGTTACAGCATAATAGATTCATTGCGATCTAAAACTTAACTAGAAATAGAAATAAGAGAACGGAATCAAAAAGTTGTTGGCCTTTTGCGAATTGCTTGTGTATGAAAAAAAAAATATATAACAATTTATATGAGTTAAAAAAAATTGGAACTCATAAAAAAAATTGCAAGTAGTGAAGTGAAGTGCTGCAGATACATACTAAGTGATTTATCGAATTTACTAAACGACACGAGACCTAGATTCCATCAAATTATAGAAAAAATGCGGATTTTATTAGCATTATTTATCGCATGCAGTAGTGTGACAGCAAATGATAATTTGAGAGTCGTCTACCAATGGAAGCAAATTGATTATGAATATCCAAATATTGAGGAGCGACAAGCTGCAATTGCAAATGGAGATTTTATACAAGAAAATGTCATACCAGTCGGTATTGAGGTCTATCGAGATCGATTATTTATGACATTGCCACGATGGAGAAAGGGCGTACCAGCATCACTTGCATACATTGATTTGAATGGTAATAAGTCACATTAACTTTGTCCTCGTTTTATTAATTCGCATATTAAGATTATTTGCCGAATCTACGATTTATAATGACGAACATAATAAAGTTAAATTATATTGAATGTGTGATGTCGTAACAAGCAAGTCCACATCACATCACAACAGACAAAATACTTCAGTGTACATATGTGTATAGCTTTACTTCTTCTCTGTACCAATTGTTTGGTCTAGTAGTGAAAAGAAATGTCCAATTGAGATTTAATTTCATGCAAGCGTGATTTTCTGGGATTAGAGGAGATAAACTATTGTCATTTTGGGTATGGTGTGACTTTATGGAATAATATCTATAGATTATTGGGAATTTTATTAGTTTTAAGAATGCATGGAGACTCAGTTTTTATGAGTCATACAAATTCCTTAATTAACAGATGAAAATATTGATCTTATTATTGTTTGCCTTATAAGAGATGCAAAGTTAAATATTCAAAAACTGTCAAAAACAAGAATGAACAATTCATTATTGATATTTTTTCAAACCTTATTTAACAATGCCTCAAGTTTGATTATCACTTTATTATTGACAATAATTTCTTCAATGACAGGCATGTAAAAATCGAGATCTAAATACGAGACAGTAATTCCAGACTTAAGTTCAGTAACAGTTTAGACTTTACCTTTTAAATTTTTTTTACTATTCAGATCAAGGAGATTACTCCAAGTAAAATCAAGGAACAAGTTTGATTATTGTCACCACAACACAATAATTTTAATTTTAAATTTGTAAAAACTCCCAAAAATCCCCAAATCACCAGAAATGCATTTACTAACCCATTTTTCGATAATTTTCTTACCAGTTACATCTCTTCTTCTTTCATTCCATCTATGTCCATTGAATGTTTGTCTCGTCATGTGAATGTTTCGTAACTTTCGCTTTCTTTCATAAATGCACATATATTTCTTCTTATGATCTCGTCTCTGACTCTGTGTGTGACTTGTCTATTAAAGCTTTTCGTTACTTCTTTTGACTTTTGAGTCTCGTGTTTTGGAAAGCATGAATTGTCTTGCTGTAAAGAGCCTTTGTGTCATGAAATCACTTCAAATTGTTGTCGATTAATTTAGTGTTAAATAATCTTTTTAGATAAGTCTTAGATTAATGACTTAACTAAGCTAAGGTTGTTAACTTTTGTGATCATGTGTGACCCCAACTTGATTAGATTGCGAAAGAGATTTTTTGTGTGGATTCGATTTGGGATGTCTTTAAATGATGTGTGTGTCAAATAGTTGGATTTTCGGCACGTGTGACTTCTCAATGCCGGGTTGTAGTCAACAGAATAATTATAGGGACAAAACTATGCGCCCATGCCATTACATTGTATAAATTAGCCATCAAAGCACCGTTAAGAAAGTCCTCTTCTTAAATGAGAAACCTAATAAATAAATGGTTCCATCCATAACAGTTAAATAATAAGAATCAATCCAAATTAAATGAGTCACACTGCAAAAATACCCAAAACTTGCTTCAGGCTGCTTTTTTCAAACTTAAAGCCAATAAAATCGCGATTTACTTATGAAAATATTTACCATAATTATATTCACAATTACCTGGCATTATTGCCGTTTATGTGTTGAGATCGTAAAGAAAAATTGTGTGGTTTTTTGAAATGTGATACAAGGAAATTAAATGTCGTCCAATTTACTTCATTTACTAGTCTATATTTTAAGTCATTACAAACTTATATTGATAATAAATCACAACACGTGATTGTCTCGAGATCAGCATCTTCAGTTATGTGGCTGCAAAACCGGTTCCTTTATTATTATTTTCGTACACAATAAAATCTTCAGCAGCAGTTTAAACCATCACGATTTATGTTGAGAAGAGTAAATGAAAGAAAATGTCAATTGTTGGCCTTGCCTATGTATCATGATCCGCTAGGTAAATTAAGTGGATTTATTTAATTAAAAAAACATACACAGCAGTTCAATGAGGTTCAAAAACGTTCTCAATTTATTTTTTTTTTTCATTTTTTTTTTGAAAGCTATTAATTTATGCATGCATTAATTGAGAACTTATACTTATAGTTATCTAATATTTTAGATTTATTATTGAAAAAATTTAAATTGCTGTTGTTCTTGAAATAATTTTTTAATTTTAATTTTATTATCGAAATTATTCAGCTCATGATAATCGAGTGCATTGAGGTAAAAAAATCTATAGTTTTAGTGAAGGGGGAGGTAAAAACTGTAATAAACTGGAATAGACGTTGATTTATTGAGACCAACCATTTTGTTGTATGGTAAAATTTTAAGGCACCAAATGAAGCAAAGTAGGGTTGTTTTTTAAACAGTGCTGAGTTTTTCTAAGGATGCAATTTTAAAAAAGGGGAGAGGAGAGCATTTCCTCTGTAGATTCAAACAACTATCCGAAATACCCTTAAAAACTAAGGACCAATAATATCTTTCCAGGCTAAATTCAAAATCAGTGCTAATTAAGTTTTATTTGAGCAGGAATTATGAAAGAATGTGTCGCAAAAAATAGGTTGAGCAACACTGGTCTAGACCGAAGCTTTGTATATTATTTGAGATTAAAACAGTTTATAATCTCCTTAATACATCCTAAATAGAATTGAAATGATGCATCAATATTGTGAAATACTAATAAAAGTGTTAAAATTTTCAGTTTCACATAAAATGAGGCAAAATGTTTTAAATGTGAAAACGATGGAAATAAATTTGCATAATTGACTGAATAACAAATAGAATTTATTAACAGTCAAGTGTGACTCACTGTTGCATAATTTTCATACAGACTAATTCAGCAAGAATTTTAGAATGTTAAATAATAATGTTGAACATGTGTCGTGATTCTGATCTTATCTCCAATTAAAATCACTGCGTTTTGCACTTAAAACAATTAAAGTTTGCATGACGATTTATTAATATCTGCCAAATTAATGCCTCATCAAAATCAACACTTTGAAATCTAATTAAGCATTTGTCGTGTCGACTTCAAAATTGATGATATCATCCAGTCGCACGAAGAGTTCACAAAAATTGCCATAACAATGCTAAAAACAAATTCACATTCCCCAAAATTAAATATTTCATCAAAAAGCCATTTTTACACGACTTTTAAATTAATAAGCAAATACACATTTTATTACTCAACTACAATAAGGCACTGAGCCATAGCTGTGCTGCATTTTTTTCATATTTCTATTATTATTCATATTGAATGGCTTAAAAAAGAATGAAGACATAACATAATATAATAATTTATGTACATAGGTTTACAACAAGTGCAAAGATTTGTTTAGTGCCAACTTTAAGCCATCTATGTTTGGCGAATACATTCACTTAATAGAAAAAAATTATTCAGCACTTTAAAGCATGTTGATGGAAGACTTATGGAAAGGTTTCGAATTTTAAAGCGCATTTGATGAACAAAAATATGGTCTTGGTTTTGAAAAAAAAATATTGAAACAAACAACGTAACAAAGTATTATTTAATGTCTAGTAGGATTTGAACCCATTGTCTTTTTGAAGACGATCTCACTGAAAGTTTATTTTAATTATATTGTATCTTTAGAATGGCAAAATTACACATATAAATGTCAATTTAGTTTCTCAAAAAATTCAAGCATCCAAAATTTTTATTTTTTAAAAATTCTTAGAGATGTAGGAAGGAGCTAAATAATGAGGCTTAATCCGTAAATAACAAACGCATATAGCGCTAAAAATACCAAAATTTTGAAACTAGATTACCACTTTACAACATACTTGCCTAATGGTTAATCACTGATGATGACTCTCTTCAATGATAAAACTTCAAAGTTGAATGGTCTTTAATATGATGCCATTAAAATATGAGATTAATTCTTGAAAATATTTCTGAACGAAAATTCTGATGAATCCGTAAATCTCAAAATACAATTAAAAACATTTAAATTAAGGTTATTTCAATTCTCGATCACGACAAGTTTGTAGAATCACTTTTGACATCAAGAACCCTGAATTTACAAAATGCCAAAATGAAAACAAAACTGCACTAGCTACTACACAATATAAATAAGCTACAACAAAGCAATAACAGAATTCCATTATGCTTATGTACCAACAAATTCTTGATTGTATGCTGTCGTAGCTTATGGGAAAAAAATTAAGCGAGAGCATGTCGAGGAAAAACCTTCAAAATAATCAAAAGAATAAAGCAACAAAAAATCTATTTTTCTCCGACACAATCATGAAATTCAAATGTGACAGAATAAATTGAGAATCAAGAACGGTATCTAGCGTGATAAGCACAAGATTTAAGCTTTTTAATATGGAAATCAAATCGCGTTACAAAGTTGCATTGTTTTTTTATTCAAATCTATTTTTTATAGCTAATTTCAATATTTCATTTCCGTGATCAAGCAGCTCGGAAGTAAGTCAATTGCTGTGGCAAATTTGTTCATTACTTTTACTTTGCAAAAAAAAATATGTTCAAATAAACACGAAATTCAATGTCGCAATGAACTTGAAAATTGACATGCATGTCCACATCTGGATGAAAATATAGGAAGGATAGACAGTTCAGAAAACAGCATCAACCTCAACCTCTGTATTATGTAATTTACCACCATAAATGGAACTTTACTTCTTCTTGATTGATTGATTGGACCGCAATAAGTTCATTAAATTGGCTTTAACCTTGCATGGGGTTTTAGCATGACTAAAATTACAGCAAAAGCAGTCGGAAGTTAAGTGAAATGTTGTGCTTTAAAGCTACTTCATTGTTGTGATAAAATGAGCTAATTTGATCGTTCTGTGATTATTGTAAATTGAATCACGTGATTGATCATGAAACTGTTCTAATGGTGCTTCATTGTGCTCAATTTGATGCATTGTAGGATCTTTTGAAATGGCTAATTGGAATCAAAATTCAATGTATTGATGGCTTTTTGTATCGGATTGTTATTCATCTGCTAGTGCTTTAATTTTTGAGCATTAAAAAACTTAAATTTGTGTAATTCAAATACTTATGACATTGTAATCAACTGCGTTAATGAGGAGCATAGCTAGATGTTTATAAATATTAAGGTAGGGCTTCTAATCAAACGAGCGGTTGGGTTTAATATTTTGTTTTCAAATTAAGTCTCGAAGAGAGCCTGTGTCCTCTTGTTTACGATTCTGGCCTTGTCAAGCTAAAGCTTCATCTTACTCACTACTGGATCTTAGACCTCATTTGTCTAATAACCTCCCTAAAGCTCGATTGACGTTATAAGAGAACATTTAAATTCTGCTAAAAAGCAAAAACGATTGATATTTATGAAAAAAATTATTCATAACAAAAACTTTCCATTCACAAATTTAAATGCAGACGATTGAAGATAAAAAGTCTTTAATTTACGATTATTTTGAAGCTTTTACGATTTTGTTACGTGTGGTATATCTGAAACATTCTGCTGAATAATAATTTCAAGTGTCTTTCGGGAACTTAATGCAAAAATACGGGTTTATCTAGAATAAAGAATTATTATGTGTTGCAATGACAAATTTGTGCAGCTAGAAAATAAAGTTGACTTTAGAAATTGTTGATGCTTGATATTTGTTCTAATTAGAGTTGTATAAATATTTTAGGAAAAATGTAGTTTCATTAAATGGTTGTTTAATTACTTCGCTTGCTCATTAAGGGGGGTGGGGGGGGGGGGGGGGTGTGAAGTTAATGTTGTGATCCTGATAGTTCGAGAGAATGATATGTAAAGTTCTTGTAGTCGATTATTTCGGCAATAATGGACAACACTTAGACAATCTACTGTCTATCATTTTGACAGTGCATGAGTTCGATTCTCACAATCATTGTATTAACTCTTAAAAACAAGGAACATCAAAAATCATTAAAATCCATAAAATTTATAATCCAGAAATAACAAACCAAAGTGTAGTTCAATAGCTACAATCTAATTAACTCGTGAAGTCATTAAGCAAACAGTCTACATTAAATCCAATTGAAACTCAAGCTACCTCCAATAACCGAGTAAAAAGCAATTAATTTTACTTCTCTTTGCGGCGTTTCACGCTCTGCTGAATTAAAGAAAATACACGAAAAAGACTTGCTCATTTCAAAAATAATACAAGCATTAAGGCGAGGAAGAAGAAAGAAAAAAACATTCGGCAAATAATGAAATTATAGCAGCGATTAAATTGGCGTGGGAATTTTCTTGTGTTTATGGGAATTTTTGGCACTTGCTAACATTAAATTTTCATGTTAATTCCTTTTTTTTAGATAACATGACAGATAAGTCACCTCAGTTGAAGCCATATCCAAGTTGGACAGCCCATCAAATGTCTGACGATGAACCACCAGTCATTGTATCTCCATTTCGTGTACGAGCTGATGCATGTGGACGATTGTGGATTTTAGACACTGGCGTTGCTGATCTTCTTGGAAACACAACAGTTTTGACAAGAACTAAACTTTTGATCTATGATCTTCATGATGATGACTTGCTGAGAAGCTACGAATTTCCAGAAGATCAAGTTAAGGATAACTCATTTTTTGCCAGCATCGCCGTTGAGGATGATGACTGTGAGAATGCATTTGCTTACAGTGCTGATTTAGGAAAGCCAGGTCTCGTCGTTTACTCATGGAAATCTAAAACATCATGGAGAATTCAGCACAACTTCTTCCATCCAGATCCAACAGCTGGAAACTTCAGCATCGGTGGAAATAACTTTGAATGGGATGATGGATTATTTGGACTTGCATTATCAAAGCCACAAAGTTCTGACAATGAGACAGTTTTGTATTTCCATCCATTTGTATCCAAAGATGAATTTAAGGTTCCAACAAAGTTCCTCAAAGATCAAGCAGCAACAGAAAATAATGCAAATTATCATGAATTCAAGCAACTCGGAACTAGAGGCGAAAATGCTCAATCAAATGCTGAATTTTTAGACAAAACCACCGGAGTTCTGTTCTATACACTTCCAAATCTCAATGCTGTCGCATGCTGGAAAACAACAACAAAAGAATATAATTTAAAGTCTCAAGGACGAATCTTTATGGACAAGGTCTTGATGGAATTCCCAAATGATGTGAAAGTCGATGATAAAGGTCGTCTTTGGGTCATCTCTGATCGTCTTCAGAAGTACATGTACGACAGTTTAGATTCAAATGAAGTCAACTTCCGAATCTTCATGCAGACTGTGAAAGAAGCCATTGCCAATACGGCATGCGATGTTAAAACAAAACCATTGCCAGATATTATCACACATTTAAATGACTATATTAAGCCTACGACTGTAGCACCAACCAAAGGTTCAGCTTGCAAATTGGAAGCAACTGTGATGCTCTTTGTCTTGGCAATTGTCAGCAGGTTCCTGTAATTATTTTGTGATTGAAATTTTAAAGTGTGCTGAACTTTTATGATGAATGAGTATGCTTAATAGATGTAGACTATGTCAAGGATAGACGGTTGCACTATTGAGCATAAATTATTGTATACTAAGAGGATTAATGTAAAAGTACAGTATTTTTGCCATTATAAATTAATTTATTGTCGATTTTTTGAAAAGATAAAGGAATGTATTTAGTTAAGCTTAGTAAGAAATTAATTATTTTCATTTAAATTAAAAAAGAATTCCAAACTGAAAATATCTGATTTATTTCCTAAGGTTATTGATAAATCTCGAACTAATCTCATACTGAAATTCGCTATTATCCGGTTTGGTTATCTTAATTTGCTAAATGATGAGATTCTTGAGGATAAATACAAAAGAGTTTCATTTATATGGACTAGCATCATATAGCATAAATCCCGCTACTCTCATAAAGCTCAACATCATTTAAGATTCATTATCATTGTCGGACCTAACCTAGGATTTTCTAGTAATTCCTAAATGACTTCAGACCCATGAATATTGTAATTTAAAGTACATTTTTCACATAATGTCTGAATCTGAAAACTTAAATTTAAGTACGATGAAAATATAAAAAACTTAATACATTAGGGGCCATTCACTTATTACGTAACGCTTTTAGGGGGAGGGGGGGTCTAAGATTTTGTTACGATTCAAACAAGGAAATTTTTTTTTCATACAAATTTTGTTCCGAGGGGGGGGGGGGGTCTAAGAAGTCATTTTTTCGCGTTACGTAATAAGTGAACAGCCCCTTACACAAAATTTGCGGAAAATGAAACTAAAAGAAATAAAGATCATTAGCTATGAATTACGAAAATGTGTAGGAGAAGCCAAAGAGTAGCAATGGAAAGAGTAGATTGCACAAGCTTGGTATGTGTGAGAAAATTTCGCTCAATAAAATCAGATAAAATTAAACAATTGAATCATGCGGTAGGTTGGATATGGAAAATGTCATTGATCGCGTACAGACATTCCACAGTCATTGCTAATAAGGTATGACCTAATAAGCATAGCTAAACATTTCATTTGAAGATTAAATTGTAAATTTTATGAAAAGACCTAGAAAATAAATCAAGAGGAATAACCAGTTGACAATTTAAGTCATCCAAATTTATATTTAATGTCTTTATTTCATATTTTGTAATTAATTATGCCTTAAGCAAATTTTTGATTTTTCTACATTTAGATTTTAATATATAAAGTATGTAAGTTTTAAGAGAATTTGAATTACCAATTGTATACGTAAGTGATTAGGTTTTAATAATATAAATATAAGCACCAAAATTTGACTCATGAATTCTCAAGTGTCATAGATAAAACTGCTTGAAATTCGTCTTTAGAATTGGAAAGAGCAAATGATGTTGATCAGATTTGCGATCTGTTACTTGCCTGTCATTGCCGCTCAACCTATGCCCGTTGACAAGTGAGCTATCTCGCAACTCTGATGTCTCAACATTGAAATCTTTTGGACATCCCATATAGTAAAGTACTGGTGATGATGGTCCAAAATGCACATTTAAGGATTTAATTTACATCAAATGCTCTTTTTCAATATCTTTTTCTCACATTTTTTTAAATTTTAAGTCTTCATTTATGAAAGCACTCAAGGTCATTTAATGTATATTCTTTCATGTAAATCAAATGCCATTGGATGTGATTGAACATAGGAAAGAGAACAAAAGTGACTCATTGCTATCTATGAGCTATATCCCTTTTGAAAATCAAACTATAATTCATATTTCTATATTCATAAATATCTCAAAATGTAAACTTTAATCTTTAATTTTATTACAAACAGTTTCTCATTTTTTTTTTTCAAATTTATTCATGTTTAAAGCCACTCATTTATAATTTACATCAAATTTATTTTCATATCATTCCCATTTTATGCTTGAAGAACAAATAAAAAAAAAGGTCTTTTCGAGTTTAAATCTCTGCGATCTTACTTTTAATTTTAGCAAATGATTTAATTTTTTGTGATTTCAGCAAGATTTTTTTGGGTTACCTTTTCATAGCTTATACTGCTGGTTCTGGAATTTAATCCAATGTGTGAGTCTGATTTAATATAGAATTTAAATTATGAATAATGATTATTCAGGTCTTGAAGGTTGACTCCCTAAATAGAACGAACCCAGTGCTTTACCCATTAAAAACGTCATCAGACAGCCAGCTATCCAAATAATAAACTCCACTTCCGGCACTTTCCATCATCACACGACTCCTGTCATCCATCAGTCTCAACAATATCCCAATTATAAGTCAATAAATCTTATCAGCACGTAAAAGTATTGTACTCGATTGTCAAAAATTCGATCGACATCTTGTTAAAGCATATCAGCAATTACACTTAATGGATTTTATCAATATTGTCATGATAATGAATGTGTGATTCGATCATTAATTCACCGTTATGCCTCGTTTTGTTTTACAATCATTATTGCCAATATTTCGTGATAAGGAGCTTTTACTGTGGAAAATTCCCTTATCAGCAATAAATGTCCAATGTCATTTGGAAAGTGAAATGCAATTCAGTTGATTCGCAGCTGTTGAATGAGACACAATGAAGCTATTCGAGAAGTTTAAACACATTTATTTGAAAATTATTGATTATTGTATGCAAAGGCCGAAACGGATTGTTAGGCTTGTGGTACTTGCTGGATGTTGCATCATTGTTTTCTTTCAGTTATGGTGAGTGATGGGAAAGGTTTTGGGAATGTAAAAGTGGTTGATGATAAATTTTATGCCTCATTTTGTCTAGGGAATGTGTTAGTAAGCTTTTAAAGCCGCCGGTATCAACACACAGCAATTTTGAACTAAATGAAACCATGCACTATCCAGCAATCACATTCTGCAGAAATCCACCATTCAAGAAAGACATCATGGCTGTACGTATCGTTAATTTCATTGACTCAGTCATTAATTTTAACTATTTCTTCTAGGACTACAACTTATCATACCATCCAACACTAACTTCAGGCTGGAAAAACTTTCCATTTCACAAAAAAACGCTAGCAGATGTTTATGAGCAGGCAACTTACAGCAGCGAAGAATTTTTCCGTTCATTTTCACTTGAAAAAAATTCATCAAATATTAAAATTGTGATGTCTTTGCATTTCACTTATGGACGATGCTATACTGTAATTCCACTTGTGACCACTAAGATGCCGGTGAGATTTTTTGGGAATTTTCAGAATTGCGAAATTAAATTTGTTTTAAATGCGACTTAAGTAACAAGTTTTATACACTAATCAGTCCAATTTATACAATTTCAGTGGAAAGATTCTGGATATTCAATTAGATTGCTCAATGGACAAACTCAAAAAGAATTCGACACAGCTATGAGCGGAGATGAAGGATGGAACATGTTTCTGCACATGCCGATGTAAATTTTAATATTTTACAAGCTATATTTTGACCTATAACACATTAGCTGTCAACTTTTTTATAGAGAAGAATTCACGGAATATGGAATATCGTCATCTGGTCGAATTGAGAATTTATATGTGGAATTTAATGAAGAAATTGAATTGAAAATGTCAGTGGCTCACTATACATACGTAAGTATATTTTGATTTGTGGAATTGAATTTTCGTTGGTTTAATCACGTTCTATAAGGTGGCTTATAAGATTGCTTACTTACAAGAATCAAAATTCTCATCTTTGAAGACTTTCAGCATATCCATACATAAATTTCCAATTTTAAAGCTCTGATAAATGATTGAGAGATCAGAATATTATGGGAATCGAACCTCCGTCATCACATTGCCAATTTCTGGTCTTTTGCCTAACCACTTGGCTACCGAGGTCATACTTTTATAATAGCTAATCCACCTTCATACATTGCTGGATACTTCAAGTTCCATTCTGCTTTGATACAAGAACTAAAATGGACTAAACATTTTCTAACCTTCCAGTTTAGAGGACGTGGAACAAAATGCTCGGATGATCACCTTAAAAGCACATCAGTTTGCATAGAAAATTGTATTTGGCGACACATTGAAGAAAAAGTCAACTGTTCAGGTCCATGGATGAAGCATGCGGAATTTCCATATTGTGACAACTATGAATCGATTAAAAATCTCATCAATGAATATGACAAGTAAGTGCTGAAAAGCTATTTTATAGATTCGTACCTAAATGACTTTTGTTTGTTGTTAATTCCAGCATGATCAATTCGTACGGAAATGAGGATTCTTGTGAATGCTTAAAGCCTTGTGACACATCAATTTATTCTTCATTTGTTATGAATCGAAAGTCACTAGAAGGATTGGGATCTTCACAGATTTATGTCTACTATACATCTAAAATGGTCACAAAACTCTCTGAAAAATCCGGATATGATTCAACGCAGTTCCTAGCTGACATGGGAGGATCTCTTGGATTTTTATTAGGCTTATCAGTCATTGGATTCATAATAATTTTAGAAAAATTCCTTGGCTACATGTTCCTTGATAAAATGGTCGAGAAATATCTGAAAAAGAAGAATGAAGCGGAACAGATGTCCAAGAAAGAATCTGAAGGTGTAAAGGAAGGAAAATTTTTGGATATGTAATAAATCATCCGAGCTTATTAATTGTTTATACTTTTATATTTTATTAAACATGAATAATAAATGTATTTTATGTGTACCGCATTCAAAATATCCATGATCGTTGTCTACATTGTGTGAATTTATGATTTGTTGACCTAGTCTAGATGAATTTTTATATTTCTCCATTTTCATTTAACTCAGTTTTTCTTTTTTCGTATGGTGCTACAAAATTCTTTTCTACACTTGTTTCAAACTATATAAATATTTCTATACAGCTATTTTTAGAATCAAATTTCTTTCTCATGATCTGATGTGCAGATTTAGCGTGTTTTTCTTTCTTTCTGCTTCTTCTTACTTCTCTGTTTTATTATTATTGAGGAATTATTGAACAAAATTGTGGTTTTGAGCAGCTTTTTAAGAAAGTTTCTAACAAATTTTTTTTAAGGTCCACAAATAAACTGAATAATAATAATTTGTCAAGGTCGTAGCCTTTCAGCTGGAGGCACTATGATTCAAATTAGAATAGAATCTATTGTACCACACCCTTTAGATCTGCAGTTTATAGTGAGATCTGAACCACTTGCAAGCAGTGCACATTGCAAAGACACGTGTAAGTCATAAGACCTGATTTACCCTGCAATTTACCTAGTCACAATTCGTGTGCGCAAGATGCCGTAAGGAAGTCATCCAGATGCTAGTATATCCTTGTATACCTATCAAAGGAGGCATATTCTGTGCCAAAGACCTCAAAAATACACCCAACACACGAACCGAGCTTCGTAACTAGAACGGTGAAATGAAATAAGAGCTTCGAAAATTAAAATAATTGACCAAAAAAATAAAGGCTGTTCCGATAATTTATATAAGTTAAGTGAGACTCTTAAACCGTATTAATTTCTTAATTTTTGATTTTACTTTGGCTTATGTGATTGTGGCAAAATTGCTAACATCAGCATCAAGAGGGTGGAGGTAGTTAAAATAGTCCAGGATGAAGTAGGAAGCCTACCCTAGTAACCATAATCGTCCATATGTCTAACATTGATGTTCGGCTTCTTAAATGCAGCAGTTGAAGACTTTAAGGTAAGAATTATACAAACCAGAGATGAAGAAACAGGTCAAGGATTATGTAGATAAATTTTTGGAAGATACAAGAATTGGAATGGACCTAGAAACATTGTGATTAACTGAAAATTGGAACGAAAACTGACATGAACACTTGATCTAAGATCTAAAGAGTTTAATTGGCTGCTGGACATACAACTACTGAATAAGGACTAAGCACTATATACTGAGCTAGTATACATAATAAAGGTTTAAGAATTGTTGACTGAAATCATTATTGTTCTGTACATTACTCCATAGCATATGAGATCTCTCCTTAAATGTTTTTCTTCTATTTTCGTCTTTCTAATTGTTAGAATCTGAGAAAAGTTTGATATAACATTAAATAATCATCATTTTGGTCAACTAGTAGCTAATTTTTCATTTTAACTGAAATGGAAGAACTTAAACTTTCAAACTAATGAAATTTGACACTTCTTTGAATAAAATCATTTCATTGTTAACATCAAGTCACAGTCAAGATTATCTAGCCATATTTACTCAAATTTACCAGTGCACTGCTGTGTGCGAGCAGCTTTTAAGCAAAAAATCTTAATAATTTAATCTTCTCTTTGTTGAGGATTCGAGTTTGATTCTCACTATCAAAATTGAATCTGTATGACAAAAGACACCTGAGAAATGATCATGACATAAACATTAGTAATGATTACTATCTAAATCCACCCTGATTTCCATAGACTTAATGACGATTCAGATTTAAATCACATCTTTTTCATTCACTATTTTCATCTAAATGATCATCATCAACTGGAAAATAGATGATAAATAAATGAAATATTTCAACACATGGCGCTGTCTATTTAAATTGGCAATCTTTACCGTATGGAAGGATTTGCATTGTTGCCAATTTTCACTCACAAAATCTCAAAACTTTTTCTAGAAAATATTTTTATTTTAAAATCTTCACGAAGTTAAAAAAAATTTCATCTTTATTTTTCAGCTCCGAGCAATGAAAAAGCAAAAAATTTCGTAATAAGTGACTGTGTAGGCAAAAACACAGAGTTTTTCTTTCTTATTGCGAGAAATAAACATATATTCCTACTTATGGCAAAGTACGAGGAATGAATTTTCTTCACACCAGAGCAATTTTATGCCAACATGAATAATTGAAGCAAAAAAAAATTGAGGAAAAAAGATGAAAATATTTTTGGTGAAGGCAGTGGTTGTTTTTGGATTGTTCGATGTATTATGACTCATGGAATGTGATAAATATATTAGACTTCTTGATCTTGAGATATTAAGGCTTAAAAATGAGCACAATGATTGTTTTATTTTTTGGCTTTTTAAGAGATTTTTATTGATTTTGTTTATATCGATTAAGAATTGATTGTTCATGAAAATATGGCTGTAGATCAAGGGGAAAGCAATATGATGGGAAAAGGTTTTTAAAAATTTTTCCACCAATTTTGATGGGAAAACTAAAGAAAGTTGCCTTCATTATGAGAATTAAGTTGGAATTTCTCATCATGTAGTTATCCCCTTGGTATAGATTTAATTACTAAAATTTGATTTCAGAAGGCTTGATTGGTCTATTAATCAGGGTTAAGAGGTAATCTAGACAGCAATGCACGTTGATGTGGGTTAAGACTTTTGTAATAGCAATAGCACACGATTAAAATTAAATCTTTAAGGTTTGCTCTTAATGCAATTAAAATTTATTATTTACGCATGTGTAGAATGACCATCTGTGCACTTTGTACTAAGAAAATGATTCTATTTATTTTATTCAAGCCCATTAAAGCTTGGTAGACTTGTGTCTTCCTTTAATTTTCGTATATTTATTATAATGTAAAACAAATTCATTTGGATGAGAATTGAACCAGCGTCCTTAAAAGAGTTTATTACTCCGCCAAGTATATGCCAATTTTACACTTATTTCCTTAATTGAATTCCGTTCTTCACATGCTTTGTTCAATTGTATGTAGTAGATCAAAACGTGATTTATCAGATACGTACTGCGATTCAATTTGTAAAGAATCTATTGTACCACACACTTTAGACCTACAGTTTATAGTGGGATCTGAACCACTTGCAAGCACTGCACATTGCAAAGTTACGTGTAAGTCATAAGACCTGATTTACCCTGCAATGTACCTAGTCATAATTCGTGTGCGCAAGATGCCGTAAGGAAATCATCCAGATGCTAGTATATCCTTGTATAAATAGCAAAGGAGGCACATTATGTGTCAAAGACCTCAAAAATACACCCAACACACGAACCGAGCTTCGTAACTAGAACGGTGAAATGGAAAAAGAGCATCGAAAATTCGGCATGAGCTGGAATTGAACCCAAGACCTTTGGCACGGAAGATGCCATTTCAACGCATACGCACTCTTAGTTTAAGTATATCTACCATTAATATGCTCTTAGAGCCATATTTACATGTCTTGCATTTTTGTCATGTTTATTCTAATCAGATCAGCTAATTCAACGTTGAACCAAAACTCTTTCTGGCAAAGATTGTTTTCTTTTGATTCTCTTAAATAATGTTTCATTTCATTTAAAAAGTATAACTCTGTCAATAGGTCACAGATTTGAAACTCATGAATAATTTTCTTTTAGCAACTAAAATTTAAGTCAAGTCTAACCTTATCGAAATCTCAAGTGTGTCAACAAACAATCTAAACTATGCCATGAGACAAAAAAGTTTGAGAAATTCTGTCCCAATAATTTCATAATACTCTGTCTGAACCAATAACCCATTTTGCTATTACATCCGCAAAAGAATATTCATAAATCTGCTAGTTACGCAAAATACGACATTTTCGGTCCACTGAAGGTAATTGTAATTAAAGTATTTCAAAGGCACACTGCCAAACAGAGTAAAACGCCGATTACCCGGTAGAATTTTTCTGTATTCTCAAAAAATAATTATTTCGATTCCACTTCCGACATGAAAATTCCTCAAAAAATTTTTTTCATGCATCTTAAAAATCATCAAACAAAAGTTTTAATTAAAATTTGTATGAACAGGAATGTAAGCTTCAAGTTACTCAGTTACACTTTATTGGCACTAGCTTTGGATTACTCAATCGTAAAATATTTATTTTTTCCGCAGCATTCATAACTGTGTCTGTTAATCATCACACTTAGATGCATTACTCGACAGCCGACACTATATTTATCTGCAGAATAATATCTTTTTTTTTGTTATTTTTCTCATTTTTGTGTCCTTTGACTTTTTTTTTAAAAATTTTTCAGCACAGCAATTATTCAGCTCGTCTCGTATCGTTTAATAATTTCTCATATCCCAAATTAGCGACAGAAATCATTAACATGGCGTAAAATTAAATTAAAAGAAGTTGAAGAAAAAAAAAATAATTTCTTCATCGTCTTCGTTGTCGTTTCCTCTCGAGTCCAAGTGTTTAGCATGTTGATAATGGCAAGAAGTAAATATATATAAAAAGATGTTGAATGGTTGACAAAACTCAAAAATGCTACTCGCGAGTATTTTGTGAATGCTCAACGATCTATTAAAAGATCAAATGAATAAAATAAAATTGTCAGGTTAGGGAAGTCATGAAGTTTGAGGAACTAAAACGCATATTTCTGGTGCAATGTTATGAAATTCATGAGAATTGGGTTCTGAAAGGGAATATAATTTGGAATTCTGAATGAACAGGATTTGGGCAGTTTGGCTTTGAAATAAGCACTGTGACAACAAGTGTGCATGATCTTAGAGCCGCGGTACTTAAAGTATTGACAACACTGCACTTATCAATACTGAGAACCTAAGATCTAATAATCTCGACTTTCAGACGTTAAAATCTAATTCAATGTTTCTCTTCCGCTACAGAAGCTGCTCTTACTGACATTTTGAGGATTTTCTCGTGAAATAGTTGAGAACTAATCATAATATCGATTTCCAGCAAACCATCTCGAAACACGGATCACAATTCATTGTCAAAGTCTTGACGACTCATCATTCCGAGCACACATCCATGTAGAGCACTGATTGAGGAGCCCTGCCCAAGCTTCTCAATTGATATTAATTTTTAATCAGCTTTTAAAATCTAGGAATCGAACGTTCTTATGATACCAAATGATACTTTAACATCACAAAAATCAGACAAAACACACAAAACTCCACTTCTTCCTACCTCAAAAAATCCGCTTCATCTTCAAGAAAAAGAAAAACAAGTCAAAAGAAGAAGCAAGTCAAGAAAAATCAGTTGAGAAAAAAAAATTGTTTTTCTTCTTGAAACTATATACAGAATAGGTGTGCTTTAAATTTATTTATAGTCATGCAGCACACAGTACAGTGGCAGTTATGAGGAGTGTAAAGCATCAAAATGAAAAAATTTTCATTCGTCGACACAACCACTGACTCGTTGCCTCAATGATCATTTTCATCTGTCTCTCTTTCTCCGTCCGTAGAAAATTTTTCATGCTATTTTCAAATATTGTTACTCAGATTTGTGTATATATGCTTTATAGAAGTAGAAATTCTCGCATAAATTGACTCGGAGACTAATTTTTCCCTCAGGATTGATGGGCAGCCAAAAAGCAACATCCACAATATGTGTAGAATGAAAAATTTGTGTTGGCTGTTGGACGAGATATTTTTAAAAATGCCGAGCTTATTACATAGATTTTTTTTTGTTGAGTATGAGGACATCATCGTCATTGTGATGATAATCGTTGGCAGGGCTGATAATCAGGTGGTTGTTGCTGAATAGATGTGCCTTTTATTGTTGTTGTCTACTGACCTGAATGCTATGTTTGGGCAATGTTTATTTGCAGCCGACAAAGTCTTGTGTTGATGCCAAAAAAATCAACGTCATGTCTTCGCCTGAAGTGCGTGGCAAGGGAGTAGTGGTCTGACAGAGTGTTGCATCTTCAAAAAGTAGACATTCATAACTTGGACTTGTTTTTTAGGACTGTCCCGGCTAGACCTTACCATTCAATCATAATAAAAAATTGACTGTTACTAAGGAAATTCTAGAAGCTGATCCTTGATTGCTCGTGAATTTTTTAACAGAAACAATAGATCTTTATACCTTCCACACACTTCAGTCCCCCATATATCTGGAAATTATTAAGCATGCTCATAGACAATTCCTTTTGATTATCTTATGTCTCATCTTATGTTGATTTTTTTGTTGATGTAAGTGCTCAAAGCAACCCTGGTCAGGGTTGATGTGGGACTATTAAGTATCCATATCTGCTAAAATCTACTACAATCTACATTTTCATTGATCCAGGTTCTTAACTATTCTCCTGTCTTACCCAATCATCAGATCTCAACCCTGATTGTCTGATAACATTTTTTATGATCAATTGATTAACAGTCTAGACTGTCAGTAGAAACAGACTGGATCAGAGTAGAAAATATTCAAGAATTTTGTATAAATTTCAATGGAGAGACTTAAAATTGAGTTGAATGATCGATAATTCACTGGACCAGGAGCTGCACGAAAGCACTTGAAATAATCAGAAATCAAATTAAGGAACAAGCCAATTTTTTTCGATGATGAATGAGGAATGAGAAGTTTCATTGGCAACAATTTACACACCGAACAGGTCATTCAAATATTTCAATGACTTATCACATGTTGCACACAGATTTTTGTACGTGGTTAAATCTACGATTTTCATTGCATCTGTATTGGTCTTGGTGTTCAAAGCAGTCTTGCTGGTGTTTGTCGAAAATAAAAGAAAAAATCTGAAAAAAAAATTCAATATCGAAGGCAACAAAATTCATCGATTAATTTATGAGGACTTACAAATTGCTAATTGAAAATGTCAATTCATGAAAAATCATAATCATAAATGTTTCAGCATTTCAACCAAGCTAGAGTATTTTCTTCACATGACATTAAAAATTGAGAAAAAAAAGCTAAGCAAAAATTTATTTCCACCCACAAAACCTGAATTAAAAACTTAATAAGCTGAGTCATCGAAAATGCATTTCGATCGTCCACAAAATAGAGCAGAAATATTTTGGGCCATAAAAAAATAAACATTTTAATATATTAATTATATTTACTGCATCTATAAATTCATATGCAATGAGGCATCACTTGAAGTTAGCAGAAATTCTTTAATGTCTCCCACACACATATGTATGCACACATGTGGGGTATGAAAATGTTTTTTAATGTATTTGCGAATAGGAAAAAATAAGTATTCAGCATCAACATGTGTGTAAGTTGAACCTTTTTAAGTATGCGTGGAAATCATTTTTTGCATAAACTTTTCACATTTTCAAAAGGAAAATTCAACCTCAAGATTTAAATGTGTTTAATTCGGAAAATGATCGGCATTTTATGTTGTGTGCGTAACTACATTGATCATCGGCTGTTATACACTCAAAATGATTATGTGTATTAGTGAATTTGGACTAATTGGGAGGTATTACCCGGGCATTCTTCAAGCGATCAAATTGCGGCATATAAAAAGGCTCGTACCCACATTTTCTCACTTAGAACGGCTTTCGAACGCGTAAGTGATAACATCTAAAAGTGACTTTTTTGCTGCTCGATTTTTTTTTGCATCCAAAGATGGGAATTTAAGCTGATCACTGAATTTTTTTAGTGTCCTACTTTTTTTTTCTTGTACTGTGGATTACGTAACCGAATGAAAAAAAATAATTAATTAAATTGAGGAATCAAAAAGAAAAATATTAAGGACATTCATGGAAAAAAATGAGGATTAAATTGTGAAAAAGTGGAAAGTGGCTAGTTCCAAAAAGGATTATTCAAAAAAAAAACTGGAAAAAATAAATAAATTGAAATGGAATTAAAAATAAAATTGAAAAAAAAATTATGCAATCAGTTAAAAGACATGCAATTCACTTGTGCAATAAAATTCACGGCACACAAAATGAAAATGAAAAAAAAAAGAACTGAAAAATTTAAAATTAAATACAAAACGCCATATTAAGTAACATCCCGTGTGAGACATGAAAAAAAGAAAATTTCATTCAAAAAGCGAGAAAAAGTGATGAAAATTTTTTTATGAAGAAAAAAAAATGTGTGAAAATGTTTCATATTCGGAACCAGTTGCCGCATATATAGACACTCGCCTATGTGCAAAGCTTAAATAATTACGTAAAATATACAATCATCCCAGAAATAGATGCCCGAGACGAAAAATCTCTCGTTCATGCTATATCAAATGAAGATGAAACCCCACCTTACCTTTATACATTCACGATACTGCCTTGTGATTTTTCTTTAATTGCCTTGCTATACTTACAATAAGCAGAAGCAGTTTCAGTTCTCAAGTTGTAAATATTTTTGTAAAGTTCTTTTTTTTCGCGTGATTGAAAGTTTGCAGAAACTCTGAGATTTAAGAAGTAGTAAGGAACAATTTTAGACAGGGGAAGAAGTGAAATATTTAAAGTATTTTGTAGATAGCTTGAGAATGCACTTAGGTTGTAGATTTTTTTGAGAATTCTTATTAGAGGTGCTTCATATAGATAAATTGAAAAATAAAGAGGATATGATAAGCTGTCAATAATACTTCCAATTTGGATGATTTAGATGTTTCATCTTCATAATTTTAGAGTTTTAATAATTATGCCAACAAACAAGCTTAAAAATTGAGAAGCACGTTATGTTTTCTGGACATATAAGCTCCCAGATCTTCTTAACTGTCCCAAAACTCCAAATAAAGACAAACATTGATATAAAAATAACAAAAAAGCTCCACCAATTCTATGACTTACCGCCGTTTGATTTAAATAAGGTTAATTTAAATTCGTCCTTGGTATTTATGTAAATCAGGAACTGAAAGATTCAATTGTTTTCATATAAATCATGTATGTCGAAATATATTATGCGGCAACAGGTTATGATAGGAGACATATTTGGAGTTGATACTTAGGAACACTTCAAAACTTAAGATTAGAGCACTTATGAATACATAAAGTATATTTTTATTGAGAAAATCATAAGTTTGAGGTTTTGGAATGTTTAAATGTCTAGGGAACTGTCTAGTCTACCTTTCTAGACTAAATTTTTTCAAATCCTAAAACAAAAACCTTAATTTATCGAAAAATATAAGAAAACATCCAGAAAATTTTAATCTTCATTAAAAAAATTCAAGCAAGAGAAATTCCTTAACCCAAAAAATTCACAAATCTTAAATCCACAAATAAACCAAAAAATTCCACGAAAAAACATTCAACTTCATCTTATCTCCATAAAAAGCAACAAGAATAAATTGAAATTTTTCTCGTTCATCGATTGACGTAGATAAATGATACAATACAAAATATATAGACTATTTAAACGTTTAGACGTAAGCTATTAAGATTGCTAATTATAGTCAAAGGAATAAAATTTACGACTACAGGCAAGAAGAAGATTGAGGAATAGTTTTTACTCGAACATCCAGATGATTCGATTTGTCTTTGTCTGGAAAACATTTAAATAATCCAGTTAACCTATAAAACCAGGAACTCAGTTGGAACTGCTTAAAAAGTATAAAATTATGAAACATTTTCACAAACAGCATGCGCCAAGCCACAAGAATAACAATCCTCCCATAAAAAAATCACTTTACAAAATATTCTACGATAATTAATCCACAGACATCTCGTCTCTGAAATTTGGAGCAAAATAAGTCCATAACCCATGACAAAGCACAGCTCAGTTTCTAAAGCACACTAAATATAGCAACAGAAACTCGAGCATAAGTGAATCATTTTATTTTCACATCATCAAAGCAGTCAAAATTCTATTTCTATCGCCAGTTCAATGAAACTTGATTAATTTCCGTAAGAATTTCTCTCACCTGAAAAATAAAGTCAATTGGTGCTGCAAAAACAATACGATTGACATTTTCGTGACGTGATAAATTCCTCAATTTTATTTGCTCACTCGAAAGTTATTTTGAAGCATAACAGAAAGGAACAGAAAGAAAAAATTATTTTAAGAAATTTTCAAGAAGTGCGGCAAGGACAAGAAAAAGTTGTGTGTGCACATAAAAGAGGCATAATAAGAAGAAGTGCCAGTTTTCTACCTCGAATTATAAAAATAGAACTAGATTCATGCGTTGGACATCTTTTTTTATGTGATCAGCTTAAATGAAAAAAAAAATCGACATCAAATATAAATTTATTTTTTTGTGACTTTATAAAATTTAATTTTGTTTCCCAACACCTTCTTTTTTCTCATTCACAGGAGAGCGAATAGGGCTGAAAAAAGAAATAGAAAAATTACGTGTCTCTAATTAATCTAATTTCGCCCCATCTCGAATCGCTTTTTTATTTTCATACTTTTTTAATTTAATAAATAATTCATCATGCCAAAGGTTGAAAAGCAAGTCGGTGATGATCCCGATCCATCTCAATGGTTGTTTATCTCACTCGAACAAAAGCGTATCGATCAATCGAAACCTTACGATGCCAAGAAGGCCTGCTGGGTTCCTGATGAGAAGGAGGGCTATGTTATTGGTGAAATCAAGTCAACCAAGGGTGACTTAGTATCCGTTACAATTCCAGGCGGTGAGGTAATTAATCATATGCTTCAAGTACGCTGGTTATGAGTTCCTATGGAGCTAAAATAGTCTATTGATGTTATTTTGATGTTCCTTTTGGAATATCAATTCAACATTTAAAGATGATTTTTGTTACATGGGATTATGTCAGTCCGTATGTCCAAAAATGTACCCCAAAGATAAAAAAAAATAATAATGCAGGAATCAAGTCTTAAAGTTAACAAAATTACACATAAATAAAAACACTTTTTATTTACACAATTACACGCATTGAGCAGGAAAAAACTTTGAAGCGTGACTTGGTTAATCAAGTCAATCCACCGAAATACGAAAAAGTCGAGGATATGGCTGATTTGACCCATCTTAACGAAGCAGCTGTATTGCATAATTTGCGTCAACGCTATTATTCCAAACTTATCTACGTAAGTGCAGCCACTATAAACTTTACTAATATATTTTTTTTCTTTCTCTCTTTTTTTCTCCTCCAAAAAAATATCAAAACCCTGAAAAAAATTTGAATCCCTTAAAAATTTTGTTCGTTATTATTACATTCACTACCACCTTGCCTACATCTTATTTTAAAATATAAAAAAAAATCTTCAAAAATTTCTAATTTTAAAATAACGAAAAAAAAAATTCGTTGAACAAATGAAAAAAATGCGAAACACACACACTGATCTAAAAATAATCTTCTGACTTTACGTACTCCCATGAAAAAATATTTCAAATGAAAAAAAAACACATTCCCAAATTCTCCCCAAAATCTCGTACCTTTACGTTGAGTAAAAAAATAGACCAAGGATTTCAAGAAAGATTTCGTCACACAAGTCAACCCTCCAAAATACGAAAAATGTGAGGATATGTCCAATTTGACATACCTTAACGATGCCTCGGTTCTCCATAACTTGAGACAACGTTATCTTAATAAACTTATCTACGTAAGTATGCTCGTGTCACCGACCACATGGTGATCATTGCTTTATGCTTTTATTTTGAGATTTTAATCCAACATTCAAAAAATCCACAACTAAAAAAGTATTGTTCGTAAATAACCTCAAAATCCATTCTCATTTTTTAACAACTTCAAACTTCATCATCCTTATGTATAGACACCAAATAACACTCCAAAATCCATCATATCATAAATTAACAAAAAATCATAAGCACCAATTCATGATAAAAAAAAAGATTTCATCATAAATCATCACTGTAAGTGCTTTGCGTTTACAGATAGTTATAGCTGCATCGCATGTGGAGAACAAGATACTGAAGAGAATTCATATACAGCAAAATTGACATGCTGGAATTCTGAAAATAAATTTCTCTCATCAAAAGCAGAACCATCAAGCCGTTTTATGTCCCCAAAAAAACTCATTATAAATGTTTTGAATACACAAACATACTGTGCACATGTCCATAAAAAACACACATATAGTACGAAAGAAAGTCACACAATTGATTCATAAAAAAATCCTTAAAGAGGACGAAATGATTGTTGTGGTCTTTTAGATGCTGAAAACACCCCAAAAAAATATCCCATACCATACCCCATACCCCAAAAACACACACATGTAAATAGTGTCAAAAATTGTCATATTGTGAGATTTATGATAGCACAAAAGCTACAAATCTCGATTGAATTCGCATAATTAGATATAAATATAGAAAGCATTTTTTGTTCATTTATTTGTGCATCTTAGTGGCCCGAATGTAAAGTCTCTTGTACAGAACACTTTTAAGCCATTAATATTGAACCATAAATGATGCCCATGGAAGTAGAAACTATGATACTCTAGTCACTTCCACGAGCATCGAAAACATCTCATTTTATAGCATGAAAATTACTTACAAGAATATCCATTAATTTTGTGTCATTTTCTCTTCACCAAAAAAATATACAGACCTACTCTGGCCTCTTCTGTATTGTAATCAATCCTTACAAGCGTTGGCCATTGTATACCAACCGTGTCGCTAAAATGTACCGTGGCAAGCGTCGTAATGAAATGCCACCCCATCTTTTCTCCATTTCTGATGGTGCCTACGTTAACATGTTGACAGATCATGAAAATCAGTCTATGTTGATTACTGGTGAATCTGGAGCTGGAAAAACTGAAAACACGAAGAAGGTTATTGCCTACTTCGCCACCATTGGTGCCTCCACCAAGAAGCCAAGTGAAGCTGATGCCAAGAAGGGATCATTGGAAGATCAAGTCGTCCAAACCAATCCCGTTCTTGAAGCTTTCGGTAACGCTAAGACCGTCCGTAACGATAACTCTTCTCGTTTCGTAAGTGTCTAAAGACTCAATGACTTGCGAACATATGACATGATACTAATTGATGTCTTAAAATTCTAGGGTAAATTCATCCGTATCCATTTCTCTGGATCTGGTAAATTGTCAGGTGCTGATATTGAAACATACTTGTTGGAGAAGGCTCGTGTCATCTCTCAACAAACGTTGGAACGTTCATATCACATCTTCTACCAAATGATGTCTGGATCAGTCCCTGGACTTAAAGGTATATTCTACAATTCAATACTATACACACCTACACAAATTAAATTATCTTACATATCTTACGTCTCTATAAACTCTTGTCTTTAGTCTCAAGTTACTTTATAGTAAGAAGTACAAAATATTATTTTAAATTTTACTATTCAAGCGGCAACGATATTTTTAAAATCTTATTTATAATTCTTTTTTACCTCCTTTACATAAACACAACTGCGTATTTTATCCACCTTATTCTTGGTATTCTTCTGTACCCCTTCCTTGACTGAATTTAAAATACGCCAAAACGTATACAAATTTACATAAATGTAGACATTTGTTTACTCTCCAATGACATTATGGACTACCATGTCGTTTCCCAGGGTAAAACCACAATTCCAAATGTCGATGATGGTGAAGAAATGACTCTCACTGATGTAAGACATCAAACAATTCTGTTTTACCTTTTCTTTTTTGAATCTTTAGAAGTAGACATTTTAAATAGATTGATACCTACAAATGTTTGCAATTTTTTTTTTAAATTGAAGACCCATACCTGATACGTTGGAGTCTATCTTATTATATACTTTTTGAAACTGCTCTTCATCTACTCTACATAAGCAGCGTGAATAGAATCTAGATTATCATTGATTATATCTTAACTCTACATAACGAGTTTGAGTCTATAATCTCGACTTTAAACCTAACCTCACTTCTACATCGTTTTTTGACCTTAACCCAACATCTAACCCTTAAATATGATTAGACTTATATAGCCGATGCCACTACAAGTCATCCATTTATAGGAGCTTCATAGTTTGACATATGGATGACTTAGCTATATGAGGAATTAATCATGATAAAAGTTAAAATAAAAGAGACCGATAAAATATTTTAACTTTTGTTATCTTACATCATAAATAAATATTTTTATCATTCCAATCCTTAGACATCTGTTTATTGTCCAATAACATTATGGACTATTATATAGTATCTCAGGGTAAAACCACCATTCCCGGTGTTGATGATGGTGAAGAATTAACCCTGACTGATGTAAGAACCTACTAATCAACTATCTTCTTTATTCTCAAGTGTGATCTTTTGTCCCTTACCCAATTGCACTCTTAAGACTTGACTGATTAAACTTACTTCTACTTTTAAGTCTTTGTATCTATATTGCATATTTTGAACTTTTTTTTGAATACTATCCTTTTGAAAAGTAGATTACAACCCTCCAAAAATTACCCCAATACGCAAACGACACCTGTTTTCATTATTATAAGTAGAAATATTTACAAAACCGCTTATATCTTAGAGCTATACACATACACATACACATATATACACAGATATTATATTAATCCTTTAGAAAACAATTAATCTATAGTTACCATACCCTTGAACCAAATGTAAATTTATAGAACAATGTTTGCTCTCAAACAATATCATGGACTATCATAATGTTGCACAAGGAAAGATTACAATCCCCAACGTCGATGACGGCGAAGAATGTACTCTTACAGATGTAAGACATTTTTTTTAAAAAAAATTTCAATCTTTTTGAAGCCTTTACGATATCAATCAGGCACTCAAATTGGACTCTTTTCAAGATTTTAAAAAATTCCACATTGAAGTTACTTTTCACGTGTGTCAATTTTTACTCTAGAACGAAAAATCTTAAGACCCAATCTAATTTTTTTATTTTTGATGTACCCCTATCCCAAGATCGACAATCGTTCAAAGCAATTCTGATCTTACTATTCTAAACCCCCCTTTTTGCAACATTTTATTTACTTTAGCCCCTTGCATGACATATTGTTCTTATTGTGCCTCTTGAACTGAACCACAATTCCAAATGTCGTTGATGGTCTCAAACTCTCGTTACCAACGATTTTGCCATCTTCTTTACTTTTTCAACCCCACATCTAAATTATTTTTAACCCACTTTTTTTTGCGATGAACCCCAAGCACCCCCCGCCCCCCATAAATTACTACTGCATTATCTATGTTACTTCATTACCACATTATTGCATTTATCTCATAGTTGAACATCGTAGTAAATCGCCCTCCAAACCCCCAAACTTAACCCCCTGCCCCATACAACTTTTAATCAGTAGTCAATAAGCTAGTGTGAATCAAAAGATCAAGTTTTAGATTATCTTTAAATTTAAAATCTTTTGATTCGCACTAGCTTATCTCATTAGATTTTACAACCACTTCATTATCATTTTACTTTTAATTTACTTTCTACCATGCACAACAATATAAAAATTACAATAATCTACACGCAATAAATCGCAACCATCCAATTTTCTCACGTTCAAAAATGGTTAATTAAAACTTAAAAAAAAATTATGAAAAAATTTAGAAAATTGCTTGCTCTCAAGCAACATTATGGATTATCACAACGTCTCTCAGGGAAAGACTTCTATTCCTGGTGTTGATGATGGTGAAGAAATGGTTGGAACAGATGTAAGAAAAATTGCGATTGAATTTTCCTTCAGTTTTTTTATCTTTACAATCGCTGGATTAAATTGATGGTTATATTGAGTGTTAATTGGTATTAATTGTTCCCTCGTCAAAATTGGTTATGTAAAAACTCACTTTCGTTACTACCGATTTTATTTAAAATTCCATATGTTGTTGAACCTCAGCACCCAAAAACCCCATTTTTAAATAGAATATAAAACCAAAAATTCAGGAAAAATATATATTCTAGTGAGCTCCAAAACTAACCACCAGACCCATACCATTCATAATGTATGGACAGTAAGTTTGTGTGAATCAAAAGAATTTTTCGAATTTTACATATCAAGAATGTGAACCTAGTTAATTTACATTTGAGTTACATATCAAAAATGCGTATGCATTTAATTTACGTTTGATTTACATATCAAAAGTGCGTACGCAGTTCATTTACATTTGATTTACATATCAAAAGTGCGTACGCAGTTTATTTATATTTGATTTACATATCAAAAATGCGTATACAGTTAATTTACATTTGATTTACATATCAAAAATACGTACATAATAGTTTTCATAATTGTTAAAGAAATTTTTTGATTCACACCAACTTAATTAATTTGATAATAGAAATACTTCATTATCATTTTATTTTCATATTTCTCTACAATGCACAACAATATTAAAATTACAAAACTTGAAACCATCCGATTTTTTCACGTTCAATTTATAAAAATATCGGGATATACATAATTAGAAATGTGTATTCTCAGTGATAACATTATGGACTATCACGTTGTATCTCAGGGAAAAACTTCTATTCCCGGTGTTGATGATGGTGAAGAAATGGTCGGAACTGACGTAAGAAAAATTTCGATTGGATTTTTCTTCAGTTTTTTTTTCTTTCATTTTACAATCGCTGGATTAAATTGATGGTTATATTGAGTGCGAATTGTTCATTAATTCTCCACTAGATTTAAGATACTCCATTCCTCTTGAGACTCAAATTATTTACAATTAATTATCAGCTCTCAAGTTCTCCAAAATATAATTTTTTTTACACACATTCTATTAACTACATTTTATTTTAAACAACATCCTATCTATTGAAATCCCTTCCAAAACTCTAGACATTTGTTTGCTCTCCAATGACATTATGGACTACCATATAGTATCACAAGGCAAGACTACAATCCCCAGTGTAGATGACGGTGAAGAAATGACTCTCACTGATGTAAGATATTTTATAGAAACGGCTTTGACGCCCCTATAAAATTGTCTCGTACCAGCTTTATTGTCCTTACTGTCCCGTAGTAGATTTTGAATTAGTGTAGATTAATTAATGGAAATTCTTGATTCGATAGACATTTACAAGATTTTTCCTTCATTATTGGCATTTTTAATTTTTTCAATAAGACATGAAAGTAGATTAAATTGCCATCCATACCCACCCTCATTACCCTAATAGTTTATAGAGCACCAAACCCTTTTTCTTGCTTTTTAATTTAATATTTACATTTTTTCCTTATACACATCATAAATTTAATCATCCAACCTATACACAAACACACACAAAACCTGTGCCATAAAAATAATCATTAGACATTTGTATGCTATCCAACAACATTATGGATTATCATATTGTGTCTCAGGGCAAGACCACAATTCCTAGTGTTGATGACAATGAAGAAATGCTCTTCACTGATGTAAGACGCAGTATAAATGCTTGACAATTAGGCTTAAAATGCTTTCACTCTATCGCTAGATTAAATAAGAAATATCGCTGCTTAAAATATTAATTGGCATACATTTTATAGATGTTAAGATTAAGGTTTGGTTGATGTTTAAAGTTGGCTATAGATTATGGACCTTTAGACATCAACCACTATAATTATAGTTAAATGAAATGGATAGAAACGAGCTTTTTACATACATTTTAAATAGAAATAACCTTATTGTCGTCACGAATGTCCGACTATCCAACAATAACGCAAGGAAAAACACGTATTCCCGGCATCAATGATGGTGAAGAGTTTGAAATCACTGATGTAAGTTAAAGGCCAAAAATAATTTCATGTGTATATGAAGACATTCACATGTAAAAAATTATACAGCACATGACTTTTGATTTTCTTTTAAGTTTTTTGATATCCTTTGTAAAAAGTGAGTAATTTGTACAAAGACTTGTAAATGATAGCTCGGAAGCGTGTTGATTTAATTGGATATGACAAAAAAGTGTAGAGAAAAGCTCGCTTCTAGCTATAAATTCTAACTAGTATTAAGACAACGAGATGATGAAAAATCGAAAATCAACGATAAAAGTTTCACAAACAATACTCATTTTACAACAAGACAGACCCAACCAATAATAATAATTTAATTAATTAATGATATATTCTTTAAAATTATCGCAAACAGATATGTGTTTCCTTTCAAACAATGTCTATGACTACGTTTTCGTATCACAAGGTAAAATTACAATTCCAAATGTCGATGACGGTGAGGAATGTACTCTTACTGATGTAAGTTCTCGATTTCAAATCGAATCTATTCGTCAATCAATTGTTGAGTGTCCCCACCATCTACCTTATGTTTTTTTTGGAATCACCAATCTTTTTTTGTGATTTCGCACAAATTTTTCAAATGTAAATATTCAATTTGATTAGCACTGATCACAATATTATTTTGGAACTAGATTCATAAGCTGGGATGTGGTAATTGGATGATAAATTCAAAATGCCAGTCTCAAGCTAGAGTCAATCAAAATAATTCAAATTTCGGATCAAAAAAATTATTTTTGTTGCCCCAAATCCTCTTTCTTGATGACTTTATCACTTGATATCTCTAATCATCGAAATTGAAAGAAAATTCTGTTTAATATCAGAAAAATTCACATTTCTTACTTCAAATTTTGACTTTTGGACATCCCCAAAAAATTTTACCGTACATTCCAATTTTTTTACGTAAGTCCACGATGAAAATATCAACGAAAATTTGTATGGAAACAGATTTTTCATCACTTATTTTTGACTAATTTAGTAAATTAAGATTGTAAAATTTTAACAAATTTTGTAAACTCTTTTAGTTAAAACCATAAAATTATAATCTATAAAATTCATACTTTCCTCATTAATTGGCAGTTTTTGATGTTTTTGATGCTTCAAAAATTTTGTGTTTTTCTTCCTTTTTTTTGTGTGCAAATTTTCATGTTTGTAGTTTCAATTTTTATGTTTCAAAGAAATCATTTCCTGAAAGACAGAACCAATAATTCTCAGGAAGAGATTTTAAGAATCAAACTTAGTAAATACTTCCGATATCTAATACAAATCTTCTCTCCCCTAAAAACATATAGCAAGCCTTCGATATCTTGGGTTTCACACAAGAAGAGAAGGACAATGTCTACAAAATTACTGCCGCTGTTATGCATATGGGTGGTATGCAATTCAAGCAAAGAGGTCGCGAAGAACAGGCTGAAGCTGATGGTACTGAATCTGGTGAACGTGTCGCCAAATTGTTCGGTATTGACACACAAGATCTTTACAAGAACTTGCTTAAGCCAAGAATTAAGGTCGGTAACGAGTTCGTCACACAAGGTCGTAACAAGGATCAAGTATACAACTCCGTTGGTGCTCTCTGCAAGGGTGTCTTCGATCGTCTCTTCAAATGGCTCGTCAAGAAGTGTAACGAAACTCTTGATACAAAGCAAAAGCGTGCTCATTTCATTGGTGTCTTGGATATTGCTGGTTTCGAAATTTTCGACGTAAGTATCTTCGACTTTGGATGATTGCATAAGTACAATCATCAGATTTTATATGAAAACTTTTTAGGAATCAACAATTTATTATTATTATTTTAATTTTTGGGTTTAAACGGTTTAAAGAAAAAATTCTCACCTTTTGGTCTATTGCCATAAAAAAAATTATCTCTTTTCGGTCTATTACCACAAAATTCTTATGGGAATCTCATTTGTTGATCTATTAATGAATCTTTTTATAGTACAACGGTTTCGAACAATTGTGTATTAACTTTACCAATGAGAAATTGCAACAATTCTTTAACCATCACATGTTCGTACTTGAACAAGAAGAATATAAGAAGGAGGGTATTGACTGGGCTTTCATTGATTTCGGCATGGACTTGTTAGCTTGTGTCGAACTTATTGAGAAGGTACCGCTTTTCACGTCTGTTCATTGTTTCAAAAAGTCTCATGTTTCAATTATCCTCCTGTTAATTTCCAATTTTGTAAGATGTAAGCTTGTTAGCTTGTGTCCAAATTATTTGAAAAGGTAGCGCTTTTCAACTTCTGTTCAATGTCTGATACATTCTTTTGTTTCAAGTATCATTCTGTTACGTTTCAATTTGTAAGTTTTGTCAAACTTATTGAAAAGGTAGCGCTTTTCACTTCTGTTTATTGTCTGAATCAGTCTCATGTTTCAAGTATCATTCTGTAAAGTTTTGATTTGTAGACTATGTTGATATGTCTCAAACTTTTTGAAAAGCAGAGCTTTTCACTTCTGTTTAATGTCTCAAGTATCATTCTGTTTCAACCTGTAAGATGTTACACTGTAAGATCAAACTGTGGATCAATCGTGTATCAAAATTATTTGAAAAGATTTAGCTTTTCACTTCTGTTAAATGTCTGATGCAGTTTTAAGCATCATTCTGTTAAGTTTCAATATGTAGTAATGTGAAACTAGGTTTTCGGCCTCAGGATCCAAATGAGAAACCAAGGAAGTAATTACTGTCAAAACAACAACTCTTATTTATCTTTGTTAAATGTTAAATTCATCACGAATATCTTTCAATTTAAAATAAATGTACAGTTCAATGGCTTCGAGCAGCTTTGTATTAACTTTACCAATGAGAAATTGCAACAATTCTTCAACCATCACATGTTCGTACAAGAACAAGAAGAATACAAGAAGGAGGGTATTGATTGGGCCTTCATTGATTTCGGCATGGATTTGTTAGCTTGTGTTGAACTTATTGAAAAGGTTTCTATCAGTTTATTATTCAATGTCTCATGTCCCAAAAAAAGTTTATTTCTGTTAATTCCAAAACTTGTTATTTGTTGATAGAAAAAAATTAGATTTTTTTTATTGAGTCTATGGAACCAAATGAGAAACCAAGGGAGTAAAATTTATGATAAAAAAAATATTTTGTAAATTAATTTTTTTTGTTACCTACTCGTTAAATGTTGAATTCATAAAAATATCTATCAATTGATATAACATATAGTTCAATGGCTTCGAACAACTTTGTATTAACTTTACCAACGAAAAATTGCAACAATTTTTCAATCATCACATGTTCGTTCTTGAACAAGAAGAATATAAGAAGGAGGGTATTGATTGGGCCTTCATTGATTTCGGAATGGACTTGTTAGCCTGTATCGAAATGATTGAAAGAGTAAGATGGAACTTCATAATCAAAGATTATCAATTTTCCCCACATACATACGCTGCTAAATGTGATTTTTAAACGTTGTTTGATATATACATATCCCCATTAAGGTTAATTCCCATTAAGGTTTAATTTGGTGTTGATTTTTAAATGTTCATGATCAATTGGTTAAAAAAATTCAAATCGGCATTTTGACAAACAATTCTAAAGGATGCATTATCAAATTTCAATGTTTCTTACACAAAATAAGAATTATTAAATGTTCAGTTACTAACTTGTTTTATATTTCTTTCTATATGTATTTATAAAATTTAATATCTACATTATGTAAAACAGTACAACGGTTTCGAACAATTGTGTATTAACTTTACCAACGAAAAATTGCAACAATTCTTCAATCATCACATGTTCGTTCTTGAACAAGAAGAATACAAGAAAGAGGGTATTGATTGGGCTTTCATTGATTTCGGCATGGACTTGTTGGCTTGTATCGAAATGATTGAGAAGGTTTGAAGGAACAAGTTTTCACATTATGGTTCATTTAATTGTCCACAATCCTTATGCAATCGCAGTGTGATTCTTTATCGTAATTTACTTTATGGTTTGTACCTGCCACCTCAAATATCATTCGACATTCAATTGAGATTTGAGAAATATTTAAAGCTAAAGTATCCAAATATTTAAATTAAATTAAATTAATTATGTGCTCTTCCTCAAACAAACTCTATAGAGTAGACAATATAGATGTAGAAATACCTCTCTTGCATATACCGATTTCCAAGATTCTTCCAAAATATTCATATCCTCTAGCACAATTTATATACTGAATGCTACACGATAAATATTGGTGGAATCGACGCAAATCGAGAATCAACTTCTAATGAACGTTTTTGTTCTCGACTCTTGTGTCTGAAGTTATAATTCACTGCTAACAACGTTAAATTCCTTTCTTGCCTTTTTACTACTACTAAAGAAAATTTTTCACGTTATGGAATTGATAAATAAGTCGAAAATGCTGATGAAAACAAAATTGATGGGATAAACATTTTTTAATTTTATTGTTGATTTTATTTTTTTCAATTTTAATTTTTAAATAATTTCATACAAGAAATTTTAAAAATTATTTTTAAATGTTTTATTAATAATCACAAAAAAACAAACCTCATTCCTCCCGTTTTAAACTAAAAATACCGCAGTACAACGGTTTCGAACAGTTGTGTATTAATTTTACCAATGAGAAATTGCAACAATTTTTCAATCATCACATGTTCGTACTTGAACAAGAAGAATACACCAGAGAAGGTATTGAGTGGGCCTTTATCGATTTCGGTATGGACTTGGCTGCATGTATTGAAATGATTGAGAAGGTACTTTGGTTAATTCATCATGGAAGATGAAACAACATCTACAACAATAATTAATAAGAATATCCTCCTGTGTTGCAACATCATAGTTGTGTTTTTTTCTGTTTCACCTTTTGTGATCCTCTATCCACTGCAATATAAATATTTATTACCGTCTACGAAAAAGCGAAATTGTTTACAAAGTTGCTGTCATTAAGCACTATTTTTTTGGGTTGGAATTTAATTGTTTCTTTAATATTGTTTTTAATCAAACTTGAATTTTTACAAATTTCCTAGAAGAAATGTAAAAATTATTTTTTAAATGTATTAATCACAAAATCAACCTCCTCCCTTTTTAACCATAAACACCGCAGTACAACGGTTTTGAACAATTGTGTATTAACTTCACAAACGAAAAGTTGCAACAGTTCTTTAACCATCACATGTTCGTTCTTGAACAAGAGGAATATACCAGAGAAGGTATTGAATGGTCTTTCATTGATTTCGGTATGGACTTGGCTGCTTGTATTGAAATGATTGAGAAGGTATTTTGGTTAATTCATCATGGAAGATGAAACAACATCTACAACAATAATTAATCGATATTCCCCCAACCGCACAAAATATAGTTTCCGACACAATCCGATAAAAAAGACATACTTAATCGTGATTTGTGTCGGAATTGTCTTTAGTTGCAACAAAATAGTTTGAACTCCCTCTTTATTGTAACCCTTTTGCTGTTTGTTATTTATATTACCAATCGTCAAATTTATGCGAAACTTTTTACTGAACATATTCATGGGTTGTTGTCATAATTCACACTTTTTTGAATGGATTTTTGTTTATTATTATTATTATTATTATTTTTTTATCATGAAAATTTACAATTTCAAAAACAAATGTAAAATTTTTATTCTAAATGTTTTTAATAACCTCCTTCCTTTCCCAAAATCTAATACACAAATTGTGATTCCGCAGTACAACGGTTTTGAACAATTGTGTATTAACTTTACCAATGAGAAATTACAACAATTCTTCAATCATCACATGTTTGTACTTGAACAAGAAGAATATCAACGTGAAGGTATCGAATGGACTTTCATCGATTTCGGCATGGACTTGCAAACATGTATTGACTTGATCGAAAAGGTAGCCCCATTTGAGTCGGGTCGTACCGTCTACATAACCTTTTTTTTTCTTTAACAAAATCTACTAAATTCAGCAGCAACTTGATCAGCAATCTTGTGATTCTCAAATCCTTTTATCTTTGTTGTTGTTTACCTTCGATCGTGAAAATTTTATTAATTTTATTAATTTTCTTACCACAAAATTTTATTGATTTAATTAACAATAATTTTTTATAATCTTTTCCTTTCCTTCATAAATGTTTTACATAAACACATTGTACATTGTGTCCCATAAAACATGTTTGTAACTCATTAAAAAAATCATATCTAGTACAACGGTTTTGAACAATTGTGTATTAACTTCACAAATGAGAAATTGCAACAATTCTTCAACCATCACATGTTCATTCTTGAGCAAGAAGAATACAAACGTGAAGGTATTGAGTGGACCTTTATCGATTTTGGCATGGATTTGCAAACAACAATTGATTTAATTGAAAAGGTAGAATTAAAACTAAATTAAAATTGGCAAGTGCGACAATAGATGCTATACGCAGCATAAATATAAGTCAAAATTATAGTCGTCATGTTTTCAAAAAAAAAATTCTGTCAGCCAATAAGCTTTAATTGCTATTAGAAAAAAAAGTGTTACTGCAATATCTTGTGATGGTCAAACTGAACAGCCTATATCGAAAAATATTATATCTTAAACATTAGTTGCCATAGCTCATCATTATCCATTTGATTTTTCTTTCTTTTTCCTTTTTGTTCATGTCAATGCTTTACAATCCAATGTGTATACAAAACATGTTCATAATCATGTCCACATTGGAATTATCATTCAAACATTATTGTGTCAAAAATTATAAAAAAAAAATTCACATAAAGATGAACGGCTTTGAACAATTGTGCATTAACTTCACGAATGAGAAATTGCAACAATTCTTTAATCACCATATGTTCATACTTGAGCAAGAAGAGTATCAACGTGAAGGTATCGAATGGACCTTCATCGATTTTGGAATGGATTTGCAACAAACGATTGACTTTATTGAAAAGGTAGAACAAGCACGTTTGTTCCATATTTTAATTGGATAAAGATAAAGGAATTGATTGTTGACGAATGCAAAATTATTATTTTCGTTTAATTTTATTTTACCGACTCTCTTCAGCCTGATGACTCTATGTGAATTTTAACTATTTCCATTAACCATTCCATAAATTTTTTTTTTATTGTATTTTATTTTATTTTATTTTATGTTACATATTTCTATGTTCAAATGTGATGTCCTACACGAAAAAAAAAAATATATCACAATCGCATGTCAAAAAATGTACAAAAACATGATTGTGATCATCGATTCACTGGATACTGTAAACTTTATATCCCCTATAAAAATAATAATCAGTTCAATGGTTTCGAGCAATTGTGCATTAACTTTACGAACGAACGTTTGCAACAATTCTTTAACCATCACATGTTTGTGCTTGAACAAGAAGAGTACGAACGTGAAGGTATTCCATGGGTCTTTATTGATTTTGGCATGGATCTTGCTCCGACTATTGAATTGATTGAGAAGGTATATTGGATAGTAGTTATTATTTGAAATTATAGAGTACCAAAATTTAAACTGTAGACAATCGGCATAATTACTTCATACTCAAGTAGACTAATTTAATTGTTCTCGTGACTGAAGATTCTACTAAAGAATTTAAATTACGAGAGTGAAAATTTTCTAATGCACAAAATTACAAGAATCACATGCCAGTGAATTTGTATCACAGTAGTCAGTTGAGAACTCATCAAGTAAATGTAATAAAGTAGAAAGTTCCGTTAAGTAGCAATTTTGTAAAGTATAAAATTTGTCCAGTAGAATGTAAAAAAAATTGTATGTAGACCAAAAACAGGACTTGTAACATAGAAGAAAAAAAAAGTTGTTTGCATGACTAACCTCACATCTATCTGTTTGTGTTTGTCCATAAAAAAACATATCTCTCAAAATGCTTGTAAACTCGCTGAAAAATGGTAAGCTTTAAATGTCACACAAAGTAAATATCCCAAATAATGTAGATTTTGCTTAAACGCTTTATGAAAATATCAAAATATATCCTTGTATATCCCATAATAGTAAAATATCCAAAAACCAAACTAACACTGAAATTAAATCTATCGAATGAATTTTTCTAACATATTTCTTATTTATTCCCCTCGTCATCTGCACATGATTTTTTGTCTGTGCTTATAAATATATAGCCTATGGGTATCTTGTCCATTCTTGAAGAAGAATCTATGTTCCCCAAAGCTACTGATCAAACCTTCGCTGAGAAGTTGATGGTCAATCACTTGGGCAAATCAGCTCCATTCTTGAAACCAAAACCACCAAAGCCAGGTTGCCAAGCCGGTCACTTCGCTATTGCTCATTATGCTGGTGTTGTAACATACAATATCACCGGTTGGTTGGAAAAGAACAAGGATCCATTGAATGACACAGTCGTCGATCAATTCAAGAAGGGTACAAACATGCTCTTGATTGAAATCTTCGCTGATCATGCTGGTCAATCAGCTGCTCCAGATGCTGGTGGCAAGGGAGGTCGTGGTAAGAAGGGTGGTGGCTTCGCTACTGTCTCATCATCATACAAGGAACAATTGAACAATTTGATGGCTACATTGCGTGCAACACATCCTCATTTCGTCCGTTGCATTATTCCAAATGAATTGAAACAGACCGGTCTTATCGATGCCAAGCTTGTTATGCATCAACTTACCTGTAACGGTGTGCTTGAAGGTATCCGTATCTGTCGTAAAGGTTTCCCCAACAGAATGAACTATCCAGATTTCAAGTTGCGGTGAGTATCACTTAATAAAATAAAAATTTTTTTAAAAACTTTTTTCGGCAACTGAAAATAAATTCAAAAAGAAAACTTTTTCAAATAAATGAATTAATTTTCATCTTCAATGCGAACATCCAGTTACAAAATCTTGGCTCCAGCAATCATGGATGCTGAGCCAAATCCAAAGATTGCCACACAAAAATGTTTGGAAAATACAACCTTAGATCCAGATTTCTATCGTATTGGTCACACAAAGGCGAGAAATATTTTTTCAATCTTCTTCGTGTCTTTTTCATGTTCTATGTCAATCTACAAATGTAGAGTCTACATGTTTATACAGTTTTTAAAAATAATTTATATGTTGACATTCCAAACATATTCGTCGGATTTACTTTTTTTATATGAATTTATCATGTGACTAATTTTTCTTAAATTCCTTTCTGTGATTCACAAAAAAAATGTTCGTATACAGTTACCAAATCCTCGCACCAGTTGAAATGTTCCATGAAAAAGATCAAAAGAAAGCCGCAGAGTCGTGCTTTAATAAGATTGGATTGGACCCAGATCTTTATCGTATTGGACACACAAAGGCGAGCGAAAATACCCCCTGAATAGTTGACAATATTATGAGTCTACCCCGATTTTAAAATAATTATTTAGATGAATGCAAACCCCCCTTTTTGAGTCTTGACATATCTCTTGAATTGCCCCAACCATTCTTTTCATTCATATTGTCTTCATTTATACCTTGTTGATTCATACGTCGTACCATAAACTTTTCATGAATGACTCCATCCCCCCATTTCACAATCATTTTATTTTGTAAATATCAAACGTGATTGGCTTGCCTTTCAACCCATTCTCTTCATCTTATGCACAATGTCTTGAATTTTTCTGAACCACTCCACAACCACTTTTTTGAAATTCCACAGAATGTGGATAGAAATTATATTTGAGCTCCCAACCAATGCACACAAATGTCTCCGTACATAATTTTTTTATTTGGTCCATCACCTTCGATTATTTTTACATCCATAATTTTACAAAATTTTTAATGTTGCACCTAAAACCATACAAACAGTTATCAAATCCTTGCCCCTGCTGCCATGCAAGCCGAAAAGGACCCCAAGAAGTGCGCTGGTGTATGTTTAGAAACAGTTAAATTGGACCCAGAGAACTACCGTTTGGGTCACACCAAGGTCTATACCCACTTTTTGAAAAATTCTTTACCATTTTTTTGGTTTTTAAAAAATTAATCTTAACTTAGACAAACAATTGAATCATTAAAGTTCTTAGAAAGAATTCATTCAATTGATAGAAAATCCCCTCATACATATTAGATGTTCCATAAAGGAACCGATAGAAATCCATCATGACTTGACCATATTAAGACATCCAGTCATGAAATCTCATCCCTCATAAAGATTTTAAAAGACCAAAAAATGTGAAACATAAATCTTTTAATCTACTCCTCCATTTGAAGTCCCCTTTACATCTGTAGTCCATAGTCGGAACATTCAATCTGCAACATACTAGTCCACTTTGATGTTCTCTCATTCCAGAAACAACAAATCATTAAATATTATTTTAAAAAATAATTTAATTTGTTTTTCTATTCCCATTATTACATGTCAACCATAATCATACACACATAATTCCCATAAAAAATGCATACATACGAAAATGCATCAAATCCTCCTGAAAAAAAAAAATTATGTATATAGTTACAAAATCCTCAACCCAAAAGCTGTCGAACAGGAAAAAGATCCCAAAAAAATAGCCCAAGTCATTTTGGACGCTGTCCATCTTGATGTAGAAAACTATCGATTGGGAAATACAAAGGCATGCAAATCCTATTTCATATTATGTGTTTTTATCATATGACACCCTGTTTTTAAGTAGAATTTGAAATTTGTTTTGTTTGTGAAACCCCTTAAATCTATATTTCCTACTATTTATCTAATATCACTGTAAATACTATGAGTGAATCCCTCAAAACCTACCCTACATAAAAATCTCTTTAAAATGTAGAATATTTAGTAATAATCATCTCCAGACTTGATTGATTTTTACCTCCACACAAAAAACTGTTTACCTTCACATTTATCCACCGTCTTTCATCAATTAACATCAAGAACGATAAATTGATGAAAAGTTCCCACCTCAAATTTTTTGTAATTGGATCAAACCCACACACCAAGTTGCCAATTCAAAAACAATTGGAAAATTTTTGATTGATTTCTTGAAGAGGAATTAAAATGAATTGCATGATGTATTTTGGAAGTCAGTTATAATCGTCATGCAATTTAAAAATAGAAATAACTCTTCAAGCAATTAGTATATCCATAAAACATATTGTCCTATTTTATAAATTAAAAATTTTATTTCTTTCCTCATAATAAATCCATTCCATACCCACATAATCACAATGACAGATACAAAATTCTGTGCATTAACTTGATTAAGGATGTTCCAAAACCAGAAAAAGCATCAGCCATTATCCTTGATCACCTTAAATTGCCTGAAGAAAACTTCCGATTGGGTAAAACTAAGGTATCATTAACATACACAGTCCACAATCCATATATTATTAATTAATAAGTTTGTATAAAAGAAATGAGATCCCTACTAATGATTCTCAAGTAGTTAGAACCTTAAACTTGCATGTTGTAATGACTCAATAACCAAAAAGTAAGAGAACACTTTTAAGTTGAGTTTTTAATTAATTCTTAACCAAAAATTAAATCAAATTTCTGCGACTTCACATTCTAATATTATCAAATAAAATAATACAGGTCTTCTTCCGTGCTGGAGTCTTGGGTCAAATGGAAGAATTCCGTGATGAACGTCTTAGCCGTATCATGTCATGGATGCAAGCCTGGGCTCGTGGTTACCTCACACGTAAGACTTTCAAGAAATTGCAAGAACAACGTATGGCTCTTACCGTCTGCCAACGTGCCTTGCGTAGATATCTTAAACTCCGCACATGGCCATGGTGGAAGTTGTGGCAGAAAGTCAAGCCACTCCTCAACGCATCACGTGTTGAAGATCAAATTGCCGTAAGTTGAAAACTTTTTCACTTTTTTTTGATATTTTTTCATCCTGGTTGGAAATACTTAGTCACACATGACTAAGAGCACGAATTTGAAACAAATTAGTTAAAATGTTTCACATGATGAAAGGTATTTCAAGTTACATCATGCAATGACTATGATGACTGACTTATTAATAAAGTGTAAAATTAAATCTTGCACTTTTTATGCTTCTTCTTGCTCAGCACACACACCTCGTTGGTGTTTGCTGGCGGAAAATATTTTTCACTATTCCACATTTATGGAGATGCGAATAGGAATTCAATTGCTATAATTCTTTCAACGCAGACTATGAAAATAAAAATATGACTAATGGATGGAGATCTTCGGTTTATTGAGATCGGTCCGATGTAGAAGCATAGCTAGGCATAGCAAATGGAAATAATTTTAGACAATAGAATTAGCTTTTTACAAAAATAATTAATAAGAATCACGAGATTATAAATGGAACCATCAAGATTCTGACGCAAAACTTAATTTTCTATTTTTGTGAACTTGATGAAACATTTTTAATATCCATTCTCGGATCTCACAACAATCTAAATGAGAAAAAAAAATGTGAGATCACAAACACACAAAATATTTTCCAGTTAGGATATACAAATTTCCACTCACTCTCACATCATCTTCATCATCATTAAATCGTGGGTGGAATATTCGTAATATGAAACGAAAATGATGATCATCTTATGCTCTGCTTCTTATTTCAATTTGCTGCCGTTGGATGAAAAATAATTTTTTATTCTCCAGTTATCTTTAAGCTGTTGCGCGGACCTCTACCTGAGCATTCATAGAAATTTTTATAGTGAACAGTTTTTTAGGATTGTTGTTGGTCCAACGAAATAAATTTTTTTACATACATAGAAACGAATTAATCGAATTGAGTGAAATTAAAAATGGAAATTAGTGAAGCAGTTTTAATTGCACCAGAAACGACACTTTATGTTGATGAAAAAATACCAAAAAATATTACAAATGGATATAGTGAACAATTAGAATTGATCGATAACGGTCCAATTACTTTCCAGAAACTTGAAGAGAAGGCACAAAAGGCCCAAGAAGCCTTTGAAAAGGAAGAGAAGGCTCGCAAGGAATTGGAAGCTCTTAACAGCAAGTTGTTAGCTGAAAAGACTGCTCTTTTGGATTCATTATCCGGAGAGAAGGGTGCCCTCCAAGACTACCAAGAAAAGTGCGCTAAGCTCACAGCTCAAAAGAATGACTTGGACAACCAATTGCGTGTAAGTAGATGAATTAAAAAATTATTACAAATTGAGCATAAAAATAGCTAATGGATGGCAATTAAGATGAACAAATTTCACAATCTTTTCTAAATTTGTCATCGCTCGGAGGTAAAAAATTTAATTTTACCTGCCTTCGACATTGACGCCTCCTTCTCGTCACATTTTTTATTAAAAATATTTTGGACATCTCGATTTCATCTGTAAATGAAAAATTCCACAGTTCGTCACATTTGGCAAGCATCCAAGATTTTATCATTGGATACTCCAAATGTTTTCATTACGGACGAGATCATTTTAATAAGAAGGAAAAGAATTCATTTTTATTTATTTTACCTGAGCCGAGTTAATTGGGCAAGACCGTTTTTCGATTAAGTGTCAGATTTTGCTATTATTTCGTTTATATCTCTGTAACGAAAATACTTACAGTAAAACTAAACATTTTGTTTTATAGAACTTTTTGATGCCTATCTTTTGGTATATAACTTTTTATTGGAAGTACTATACTTAAGGCTGTAGAGCCTGAAAATAGGCAAAATCTGACACTGAATTTTTGGGAAGGGTATTTGAAATTTTACTAAAACTAGTCTATCTCGCTTAGTTTTACACCGATTTTGATAGTTTTTTCAGCAATAGTTAGTTTAAAGCTACAGTTATTATTGAAAAGTAATAAAAACAAAATGGCGACTTAATAAGTTAATTTAATTAATGTTTTTAACCTTATTTTCCTATATTTTACTATCAATTTTTAACTTACTTAACTTTTTTCTTGACACAAATATAGTTTTAGACCTTGGCTTTATGATAGAAGCCAAAAATTTTTGAAAAAAGTAGTATAATTAACTTTTTTTGGTCATTTTTTAAAATTGCCTTTAAATGGCAATTGAATAGATATTCTTTTAATTTTATGATGTAAAATGATAATTATACATCAAATATGCTTAGTTCTAGCAAAATATATCACAATATAATGTTATAGAACAAGAAAAAAGCAAAAACTTTAAAAACTTTAACCAAAAATTTTTAACCGTTTTTGAAAATTTAAATTTTTGAGTTGATTAAAGAGTTGTAAAATAAACTTTTAGTTAAATTAACTAAATTAGAAGGCTTTATTGCAGTAAACTCTTGCAGGAAAGTTGTAATTTATCATTAATTAATGCTTTTTGAGGGACAATAATGAAAATTTCATTAAATTTATATGTAAAATCAATTTTGGTTAATTTAACTAATTTTGTATATTAATTTGAAAATGTGTGTATGATAAATGAAAGAAAATAAGATTCTCAACAACTTTTATGAACATATCAGCTCCTTTTACAGCTTCCTTCTTGGATAAAAATCACTTTGAATGTTTGATTTAGAAATTAAACTAACTTATAAAGTCGCCATTTTAAAATTATTGGGTTAAAAATTAGTTTTTATATTTGGCTATAAGCCACTGAAAGAATTGTGACGATTGAATAACTAAACTCTGAGTAAATAAACTTTCAATATTTGTTCACTTTTTTCGCGGTCTTGCCCAATTGCTAGTCCGTGAGATTCTATTTTTGTCAAATTACGTTCCTGCATTATGAGATTAATCATCAAATTATTTTTTATCCATAACCTAATATAGGACACACAAGAACGCTTGGCCCAAGAAGAAGATGCCCGCAACCAACTTTTCCAATCAAAGAAGAAGTGCGAACAAGAAATCGGTGGATTCAAGAAGGACTTGGAAGATTTGGAATTGACTATCCAAAAATCAGAACAAGACAAGGCCACAAAGGATCATCAAATCCGCAACTTGAATGATGAAATCGCTCACCAAGACGAACTCATCAACAAGTTGAACAAGGAGAAGAAGATGCAAGGTGAGACCAACCAAAAGACAGCTGAAGAATTACAAGCTGCGGAGGATAAGGTTAACCACTTGAACAAGGTTAAGGCTAAGTTGGAACAAACCCTCGATGAATTGGAAGATTCATTGGAACGTGAGAAGAAACTCCGTGGTGATGTTGAGAAGTCCAAGCGTAAGGTTGAAGGTGACTTGAAGCTCACACAAGAAGCTGTTGCTGATTTGGAACGCAACAAGAAGGAACTTGAACAAACCATCCAACGTAAAGACAAGGAAATCTCATCTCTCACCGCTAAGTTGGAAGATGAACAATCCTTGGTTGGCAAGCTCCAGAAACAAATCAAGGAACTTCAATCACGCATTGAAGAGCTCGAAGAAGAAGTCGAAGCTGAACGTCAAGCTCGCGCTAAGGCTGAGAAGCAACGTGCTGATTTGGCTCGTGAATTGGAAGAATTAGGTGAACGTCTTGAAGAAGCAGGTGGTGCCACTTCAGCTCAAATTGAACTCAACAAAAAGAGAGAAGCTGAATTAGCCAAGTTGCGTCGTGATTTGGAAGAAGCCAACATCCAACATGAAGGTACATTGGCTAATCTCCGCAAGAAGCACAATGATGCTGTTGCTGAAATGGCTGAACAAGTCGATCAACTCAACAAATTGAAGACCAAGTGAGTATAAAGTTTTTGGATATCCTATAATCTTTTTTACAGGTGTATTTTGGAAACTTGACATTAAAAAAATTCACGAAAATGTCCCATAAAAAAATTGCTGAAAAAAATATCTAATTATATAATAATAATATAGAGCTGAGCACGATCGCGCAAATATGTATAATGAACTAAACAATACCCGTGCAGCCTGCGATCAACTTACACGCGAGAAGGTAAACAGAACTAAGAAGAGTTTTCACATTCCACGTTATATGTGTTTTTTAATGTTCCTCTACGTGTTCGTTTTATTTTTCCGAGATGAAAAACAAATAATTTTTCAAAGCAGTTTCCAAAATCAGCATGACGCATCCTCCCGAAAAAAAAAAAAATTTCTTAAATGAAAAAAAAAAATTATTTTTTTTGTAAATTTATGACAAATATCCATGAAATTTTTTCACTTTACCCATACAGAGCTGAAAAGGAAAGATCACAATATTTCGGTGAAGTTAATGATCTCCGTCACAGCCTCGACACAGTTGCTAACGAAAAGGTATTGAGTTGCGAAAAAAAAAATAGAAAATTTCTGCTTAGTTATTCACATTTGGCTTCTAAAAACAGAACTGAAGATGGAGATTATTAGATTTGCATTTTTTGCAGCTCATTATAATACCAAACAATATCATAATATTTTCACCATGCTTCCTCATGATATAATAAAGTATAAACCCATCATCAAGTGTGTTATTGAATTAACCCAATTAATAAAATAAAGAAACATTAATCCTCTCAATTATTTTTGAGTTATGAATGGATTGAAAATATTTACAATACTAACAGATCTATTATTAAACCAAAGTTATAGTGCATGAAACAGATGGAATTTCATAATTTTTTAATCAATTCTCAAAGCGAGAAAATTTATTACTGAAAATGACTAATGTCTTCCTTTTCCTTTCTCTCATAACCAATAATGACGCAACTTTTAGGCCGCCCAAGAGAAGATTGCCAAGCAATTGCAACACACACTCAACGAAGTTCAAGGCAAATTGGATGAAACCAACCGTACATTGAACGACTTCGACGCACAAAAGAAGAAGTTGTCAATTGAGAACTCAGATCTCCTCCGTCAATTGGAAGAAGCTGAATCACAAGTTTCACAATTGTCCAAGATCAAGATCTCACTCACTCAACAATTGGAAGACACCAAGAGATTGGCTGATGAGGAAGCTCGTGAACGTGCCACACTTTTGGGCAAATTCCGTAACTTGGAACACGATTTGGATAACCTCCGTGAACAAGTTGAGGAAGAAGCAGAAGGCAAGGCTGATATGCAACGTCAACTCAGCAAGGCTAACGCTGAAGCTCAATTATGGCGTGCCAAGTACGAGTCCGAGGGTGTTGCCCGCGCAGAAGAATTGGAAGAAGCCAAGCGCAAGCTCCAAGCTCGTCTCGCCGAAGCAGAAGAAACCATCGAATCACTCAACCAAAAGTGCGTTGCATTGGAAAAGACAAAGCAACGTCTTGCCACAGAAGTCGAAGACTTGCAATTGGAGGTTGATCGTGCCACAGCAATTGCCAACGCCGCTGAGAAGAAACAAAAGGCATTCGACAAGATTATTGGCGAATGGAAACTCAAGGTTGATGATCTCGCAGCTGAACTTGATGCCTCACAAAAGGAATGCCGCAACTACTCAACAGAACTCTTCCGTCTTAAGGGAGCATACGAAGAAGGACAAGAACAATTGGAAGCTGTTCGTCGTGAAAACAAGAATCTCGCTGATGAAGTCAAGGACTTACTCGACCAAATTGGTGAGGGTGGACGCAACATCCATGAAATCGAAAAGGCACGCAAACGTCTTGAAGTTGAGAAAGACGAATTACAAGCAGCTCTTGAAGAAGCTGAAGCAGCTTTGGAACAAGAAGAAAACAAGGTTCTCCGTGCTCAACTTGAATTGTCACAAGTACGTCAAGAAATTGACCGTCGTATCCAAGAGAAGGAGGAAGAATTCGAAAACACACGCAAGAATCACCAACGTGCCCTCGACTCAATGCAAGCTTCACTCGAAGCCGAAGCTAAGGGTAAGGCTGAGGCTCTTCGCATGAAGAAGAAGTTGGAAGCTGACATCAACGAGCTCGAAATTGCATTGGATCATGCCAATAAGGCTAATGCTGAAGCACAAAAGAACATCAAACGTTACCAACAACAACTCAAGGAATTGCAAACCGCTCTTGAGGAAGAACAACGTGCACGTGATGATGCTCGTGAACAACTTGGAATCTCAGAACGTCGTGCCAACGCTCTCCAAAACGAATTGGAAGAATCACGCACACTCTTGGAACAAGCTGATCGTGGCCGTCGTCAAGCTGAACAAGAATTGGGAGATGCTCATGAACATCTTAATGAACTCTCAGCTCAAAATGCCTCAATTGCTGCTGCCAAGAGGAAGTTGGAAGCCGAATTACAGACACTCCACTCAGATTTGGATGAATTGTTGAATGAAGCCAAGAACTCCGAAGAAAAGGCAAAGAAAGCCATGGTTGATGCTGCTCGTCTTGCTGATGAACTCCGTGCTGAACAAGACCACGCACAAACACAAGAGAAGTTGCGTAAGGCACTTGAAACACAAATCAAGGAATTGCAAGTTCGTCTTGATGAAGCCGAAACCAATGCCCTTAAGGGAGGCAAGAAGGCTATCCAGAAACTCGAACAACGTGTTCGTGAATTGGAGAATGAATTGGACGGTGAACAACGTAGACACGCTGATGCTCAAAAGAACCTTCGCAAGGGAGAACGCCGCATTAAGGAACTTACCTTCCAATCAGAGGAAGACCGTAAGAACCACGAACGTATGCAAGACTTGGTTGACAAACTCCAACAAAAGATCAAGACATACAAGAGGCAAATCGAAGAAGCAGAAGAAATTGCTGCTCTCAACTTGGCCAAATTCCGTAAGGCACAACAAGAATTGGAAGAATCAGAGGAGCGTGCTGACTTGGCAGAACAAGCTATCAGCAAATTCAGAGCAAAGGGACGTGGCGGTTCAGTCGCTCGCGGTGCCAGCCCAGTGGTAAGTTGCTAATGATTTTCACATCGTCAGTCATTAGAATCACTTTAGACTCGAGCATACATTCTACTATTTCTCATATCAGTAAATTTTCTCATCATTATAGCAACAGCCCGCAGCAGGTCGTTTCAGTGTTTTGGAATAAATTCTTTAAAATTTTATATCTCATAAAATCTTTTCAAAGTCTTTCTCAATTCCAAACTTTATCCAAAAGTCAAATTTCATGCTATTGTCTTTTGTATTAAAATTAGTAAGTTATTATATTTTATTTCTTTATTTTATTTGTTTTGTACTTCCATTTTGTGTTCCATACTTCACATATTTTATTGTCTACACAAAATGTGAATTCAATTAGGCTCTAGAAGCTATTCTAAAATGATACACTGCACACAATTACACAGTACTTCCTTAAAATTGTCCTTGCACATTCGCATTGATGTATTGCACATCATATCTGCTGTCCGATCCTGCAATGTTACTACCAAAAATTTGAAAAGTCGTTAGGAAATAATTTGAAATTTGAAACCTTACAAATTCTTAGAAATTGACGGGGTTTTATTTGAATATTTTTTAACGGCTTTTTAAATAAATTTTTGAAAAGCAGATTTCCCCTATTTAAATTACCATCGCACATTTAATTGGATTTATTTCCTTTCTTTTTTGTACTCAAGATTTCAAGGGATGTGATTTTTTTTCAAAATTATTAATATAGCGATAGATTATTTGGTTTTGGCATTCAATATTCAAATTTTAACCACAATTTACCATCCCTTGGAATAGATTTTTTTGAAAAAATACAAAATAATTTAATTTTTTACAATTTTATTTGTCCTTACAGCCCCAAAGACCCAACCGCCAATTGGCTGATGGAATGTTCGGATTTGATGAATAAATTAACATCTTCACGCTTCGACCTTGCTCAACGATAAAAACAAAAACAAAAGAAAATTTATAAAACACCTTTTTACAAACTGTCAAATCATTTTCGTTTTTTTATTAGTTTCGAGAGAGAATCTTTTTTTATATTTAATTTCAATTATTATTTTATTTTTAATTCTTTTTTATATATCAATTCAAACAAAAAAATTTGCGTCATTTTCAATTCATCTTTTTTTTATACATATACACCGATACTAGTAGCAGAATTTTTTGTAAAAAATGCAACTCGTAACACCCAAAAAAAAGTGAAAGAAAATTTTTTTCTTGTAATAAAATCAAAAAAAAACAGAAAAAATAGCAAATGAAAATTCCATCAAATTTTTCATCAAAAGAAAAAAATAGTTAAAGAAATTTTTTATATCACACACCGCAGAAAAAAAGGAAAAAACTCGAAAGCCCAAAATGCAAAGTAAAGAAAAAAAAGCAAATTTTCTTTATTATTTTATGTTTTAATTTTAATTTTTTTTGTCTTCTTTATTTTTAAACAAAAAATGCGCCGATGTACTAAGATTTTTAAAGAAAAAAAAAACTATAATTAAATGGGAAAGAAATGCTATATAGAAATTTTTAGAATCGCACTTTTAAAAGTGAGAAAAATTCTTCGGAAAATTTTCAATAATGTATTTATTTTTCTTCGTTCTTTTTGTAATTTTAATTAATAAAAAAGATTTAATTTAATATTGCACTTGTAAGTTCGGATAGAATGGAATTTGATGATTTTGATGAAAAATTTATTTTCTTTGAGAAAAAAAATTTGAAAAATTTTCACTTTAAATTTTCATTAAAAATAATTTTTAAATTTCTGCGATGATCGCCCAAAACAAAAAGGAAAATATCTATCAGAAAAATAAACTATTTACGCAGTTAGGAAGTTAGGAGACGACGATAATGTGGCAACACATATGAGAGAAAATAAAATAGAGACACAAATAAAATAAAATAAAAATCATGAGACACGTTTTAACATCAAATTCAGCCCACAATTTCATCAAATGACAACCTTTTGATTTTCTATTAGCGAAAAGTTCATTTTTAGTAAATTTAGGATTTTTCCTTTTTAAAAAGAAAAAATGAGAAAAACAAAGAAATTTAAAACCTTTTTTATTGTAAATTAATAAGTGAAATAATTTTTTAATTTTTAAATTTACAACAACATTCTCAATTTATTTGTATAAAATATCCTTATATCCGAATTTATCTCCGAGAGAAAAAAGTATGTGTGAACCATTGAACATCAAAAAAACATCTAATTATACAAAGAAAAAAATAAAAAATAAAAAATACTTATATTAATAAAATCATTTAAATTTTTGACTTTTTCATTCAAACTTTCACTTTTTCCAGAGTTTTTGAAACTTTCAGGTAGATACAATATGGAAATATAATCTAATTAGATTCTACAAATAGATTCTTCAGATTTAAGATTCCTGACAAATGCAGGATTGAATCTAGAATTCTTTTGAGGCTTAAACTTTGTTTGAATTAAAATTCAATATTTTTTCAATTTTTTTCTTCGAAAAATAAAATCTGTCAACAAAAAATTCTTATAGAGAAGACCCAATAATTAAGAATCTAAATTAGTGGGTCTAATGATGGTTATAATAAGTTTGATCAGTCTTGATTATTATGTTTTTTTTTTCAACAAAGTTTGAATTGAACTGTTGAGGCAGAAGCCAAATTAGAAATCAAAGAGACAGCTATTGAATAAGGATAAGAGAAAACTACTTCATTATAATAACTCACACATGAGTTGAACACAGGAAGTCAAACCCTCTTCTTTATAAGGCTATTCCTGTAAAATTCTTTCGACTAGGCAATCAAGAATACCTTTTAACTAAGCTTATTCAAATCTAGATTCAAGGTATGCTTTTATGATATATGTTAAGATGCAAATCTTAAGAATCTTAAGAAATCTTAAGAACAAATGCTTAATTCTGATGAATTATTGATTTTTCATGCACTGAAATATTGTGCGAAGCCTTCACACAGGATATTAAAGCACTTAAATCTATATCTTGGAGAAATTCTTATTAACGTTCAAAACTGATCAAAAGAATGCTCAATTTTATTTTTTATTAATTTTTGCTTTTTAAAATATTTTTAAGTGCTTTTATAAAACAAAATAACATTCACATTAAAATGTCATACATTTGTTATCACTATGGACATCTTTATAGCTTTTCATGCCTGAAGTGATTATTGCTTTTTTGTTTGAAATCTAGAAAATTTAAAACCATAAACTTCAAATATTGTATTTTTAGAAAATTGAGACTGACTCATACAATGTTGACATGAAAACTTTGAAATTTCCGGAAATTTCTGATTCAAAAATCAAAAAGAATTCTTACAATAATAAATAAAAATTAAAACAACATCCTAAGTCTAGTTAACCGCAGTTGATAAATCATGTACATATAAACTTTTCGAAAATATTCAGTTCACATCTCAATCTACATGTGTGTATTCACATTTTCATCCTTCTTATTCTGAAAAGATTTATTCGTTCAAGCATCCCATGAGTTAAATAATTTACATTTTTTTGCACGCTGCATTTTCATGACAAATTGTAATTTTATAGAAACATCTTTGTAGAAAGGAAATCATTTGAATTTTACGGTGCATGAATTAAGAAAACAAATCAAATGAAAAATTAGCGTAATAAATTTTATACATTGAGGACGTAATTGCAGATTTGCATATTAAATTAAAATTTAAATAGCACAAAATAATTAATTGATGTAATCAGTGCTTAATGCCGTGAAGGGATCATCAATCTACTTAATATAACATGATCCTCATCTGGAACGTTACCAGAAATGACTGTTTCTAATTATAAAAATTCGCTGTAGGTTGTTATTCATTGTCGTATTAAGGGATTCTGAGGTTGAGGACTAAATCCAGCAGAAAAGAATTCAACCTGTCAATTTTAATTTTTCGAATTCAAAGCATCCCTACGTCACTGTATGGAATAAACTACTTAAGCTATTAAAAAATATTTATGACAAGTTCAGACTTATCTTTTTTCATGCTCTAAAGTTGCCATACTCATTTAAAAAAGATTTTTCATTGGATATCCAAAAAATAAAATATTTTCTTCGGTTTTCGCACACAAAATCTATAAAAATTTTCCGTCATCATAAGTTCTGAACAGATTAGATAATTTCAATAATATTTCATTTTATGGTCAAACTAAAATCATTTTTTAAAGTCAATTGTTACAAGTTGAGTCATTAATAATTTTATAATTTGTGTCTCTTTTGTAAAGTGAAGAAAAATTTCTTTTAATTTTTTATGTCGACAATATTATTGTGGCCTTGAAAAAGATGAGAAATGAAAAATTACCGCTATATTATGAAGGAATTTTCACTTTTTTTTCTTTTCTCTTGGGAAATGGAATTTGAATGATTTAAGGAATTTTTATTCAAAAAATAATTTTTAAATAGAGACAAATATTTATTTTTTGATGCAACGAAATGTTGCATTTGGTATGATGAGTGATTGTTGTCAGTTTTAACTTTGTTTTGGATATGGATTACAACTGCGATTAATCAAAAAGAGAAAATGAATCGATTATGATCGATGGTCGGTTCGAATCCAGCCATTTCCAAAATTATTTCTTTTCAGAAGTTTAGATACTTCGACTGCTTAATGTACGAGATCAAGCCATAATTGGGCATTTTGGGCAACGTTGGATTTAGGAACGGATCAGGAACTTGAAGTGAAGCGGGAGAAAAAGGAACGAGAGCTACAAGATTACCTTATAATGGAATATTGTCAGAACGGACCTGAAATGTATCACGTCACGCCCACAGAAGATTGAAACGAGAGCCTGAATTTAATCGAAACCTAGATTGAAAGATTAGAAGCTGGATTCTACGTCACCCATAGTGATATGAAATGTATCACTAATCAATGTAAAAAGTAAAACATGTTTAAATACTAATTCTTCCGGACGGTAACGTCGACAAATAAATAATAATAATATAATACCTAGATATGTTTTAAAATGCAATTCAAAAGATTTTTAAAAGATTTTTTTATTAAGAAACAATTTTTTAAAAAATGTCCGAATTTTATTTAAAAGAGCTTTGAAACCAAATATTAAGTTTTAAATTACTGAAATAAACCTTTAGATCATACTTTAATGCTTTTATTTATCATGACCTACCTTTTAATGTCTAATAATTAAATTGAAGTTTTTTGATCTAAAAGTTTAAAAGAAGAGTTGAGAAATGAAACAAACGGGGATTGCAACTTAGTGAAAGCTTGCATTTGAATATAATTTATCCGTTAAAGATTCTTGATTTACTTTTTCAGGAAAAATTCATTAAAATCTACTCAAAGTCTATATTATCAACAGATGTTGTCAAAAATGATGAGTCCACAGTTGTCAAACAGTCAACAGCCATAATTTAAAAATTAGTATCTCATCAAAATTAAATCTAGCTCTACCAAAAAACCATCTGCATGCAAACTTTTCGTAAAAATAATATTTTCTTTTTCTTAATCTGACTCAAAACATCGTCAAAATTGCCAATAAGTTCCCACAAGTGTCATATGATGAGCATATTTACAATTAACTTACCTTTTTACGATCTCTCAAATTACACGTCAAAAATTTTACGATCTTACTTTTCACATACCTAACAGCCATCAATGATCACAGCATAAAAATTTATTTTCAATTCAGTTAAAATATCCTTGAGTCGTGGAAACATCAGGAAATGATGCGAAGAAAAAGAAACAACTGAAAACAAAATCTTTCATAACTTTAGCGTCAAGTGAAATAATCTCGTAAAGAAAAGTATAAATCAGCCATCAAGATATTTATTCGCATGAAAAGAAATAAAAAAAGGAGAGGAGGAGATGATCAAAGTTGAGAATTTTCTCTTTCATTTCCGCTGAGAAAACAAATTATTTTTCTTGAAAAGAGCCAGAAGACGACCGAATTTACTCTTTCCGACCATGATCATGATGATGATGATGACGAGGATGTTGAATTCAATTTCTTTCTGTCCCGAGCAGCACACGAGAAGTTTGATGTTGTTTTTTAACAAAGTCATAAGCACTTAATTTCTATAATTTGATTCCAACTACCCTATTTTTACGTTAGATGCCACTACTTGTTCCAAAACCAGTAGCTTAGTAAAGAAAATTGGCTCTGAAAATTTCTTTTCCGTTATTAAACCTTCTTTTAGGATTTTGAAACTTTTTTCATCTCATAAGCCACTGGCTAATAACGTAAAAATAGGGTACAGCAGATCATCAAAAGACAGTCTGATAATACCCTCCGAAATCTTTCATCATAGCATATCCTTACTACAGCATGTGCCACTCGGTTTTATTGTATGTATAAATAGATGATAATAAATCGTCGTACTCGCTTGAGAATCTTACAATATTTTTTTATGAAATGTAGAGGAACAAAAATGCTGTGAGAATCTTTTTTTTCACTTAACATCGAGCTCCGTAGCTGTAAAGATTAAAATAATTTTTCCCTTCAGTATTTCCTTTTTTTCTCTCTTTTTTATTAACAATCTTTTGAGTCTCATTAAATCTATTGTGCTCGAAAATATTTATCAACAACAATGGCAGATACTGCGAACGAAAACGAGATGCCAATCAGTTGGCAAGAAAAGAGAGATTCTGGAATAAAGCGATGGGAAGGAAGAGTTGCTGTTGTAACAGGAGCAAGTTCACCAATTGGAATGGCAATTTGTGAGGATCTTGTTAAGCATGGACTTTTTGTTTTTGGTTTGGCAACACGTGCAGGCAAATATGAATTGGAGGTGAGTATGATTTGATGGTGATTTATTGGTGATATTTGAGGAATTGTTGGCTGTTCAAAAGATCAATTTGTGTCAGTAGAAGCAAAAAATGTTCATTTCTGCATTTTTCTCAAAACTCAATCAAAAGAAGTAAATTTCTCATAAATTCTCAGACAAGAAGCAAGCAATTGCATGATCAAGAGTACTTAAAAACCATTTTGTCACTAAAATAAATTCATTTTGAATGCCAGCAATAAAATTGCAGCATTAAATCACTTTATTTTCATTTAAAATCTAGGCATTGAGCAAGAAATTAGAAAAAGACAATGAACTCGGTAAATTATTTGCATTTGAGTGCGATATTAAGGAAGAAGGTCATGTAGAACCGATTTTCCGATACATTGGAGATTATCATGATGGAATTGATTTACTCGTAAATAATGCAAACATCATGTCTAAAGGACTTATTCTTGACGATGATAATACATCAATTTTACGTGATGTTATGGAAACAAACATCATCGGCATGTGTCTTGTCACACGAGAGGCTGCTAAGCTGATGAAAATGAGAAAAGAAGAAAGAAAGAATTTGGGTCATGTCATTAACGTTATGTCGGTTGTAGGACACAAATTTGGAACAACAAATACAAGATCGAAGCCTTTAAATGGTGAGATTCTATGCATGTCTGTAGTTCAAACTTTATTAATCACTTCCTGACAAATTTCTTTCATTTTTCATCTCAATTAGGATTATATCCCGCATCAAGGTATGAAAAATAAAGCAAGTCATCTGACTCAAATGATTATAATTAATAATTTTCAAACATAATTTATTTTAGACATGCATCGACAGCCATAACTGAATGTATTCGCCAAGAATTCCTTTTCTTTTATGAGAATGTAAAAATTACAGCTATTAGCCCTGGTTTTGTAGAGGGACAAGACACAGACATTTTGACAGAAGAGGAAAAATCACATGGAAAAATGCCATCATTATCACCAAAGGATGTAAGTGCTGCTGTCTTATACGCCATCTCAGTGAAGGATGAAGTTCAGGTAATAAATTTAATCTTTATTTTGTCCATTTTAAATGTCATTTAAGTCGCGTGGAAAGCCGTAAAATACCAAACTAATCATTAATATATCAACTCATTCTTTCTTCTTTCATCATTGCCAGATACAAGAAATTAAAATTAAACCCGTTGGAGAATTTATTTGAGAACTTAATGTCATCATTTTTTTTTTCGCTTTTCCTCCGTCGTATCCAGTGGGCGACATCAAGATTATAATTAAATATATGAAGGAAAAGTGAATATTTTTAGTATCGAATCAGTGTATCAAAAATAATATATTAGAGACGAATCACATACATCATAATGTGCTTGTCATACGCCAAAACATAAGGAAAAATAAATTTCAAATCAGACTTTATAATGAAGGAGAGAAGAAAAACAAATAAATTAGTAAAACAATTCAGAGTTGGTTGACCGATGATGATTGGAACTTTGAGTGGATGCTTTTTTTTTGGTGCCTAAAATGAAGTGAAATGAATCACTGATAGTGTACTTAAAACCGAACAACTCCAGCCATGTCCAAGTACAGCCTTTGTCAAACAGCAGACGGTTGTACCTTATCTTGGTTTATCTGATTAGTCTTTGAATGGATAACATTTCAATAGTGTTTAATGAATCCAAGAATAGTGAGTAGACAACAATAATATCCCTACAACAGACTCAAATCCCCACCAATTTAAAGATGCTTAATCATAGAACTTGAATCAAGAAGCATGCATTGTCCACTCGATCTTCTTAAACTCTAAGAGTCAACCAACTCTTATAAATGAAAATATCACCAAGAAATGTGAGTTTACGATGGATATAAAACTAATCATTGGGATCAACTTTAATTACATCCACTAAGCCAGTACCCATTCTGTCTACCACAAAAACTCCCGTCACAAATCCCTCATATTTCTCGATGATATATTCAATTGTCTACTTGCATTGTAAACATAATAATAATTCTTACGACATTTCACTAATTGGACGTGAGCCATAAACGTCACATCATTTTTTTTAAAAAATAAGATATGCAGTTATATTAAGAGATAAAAATGTTGTTTTTAATTGTACATGCTAAAAGTGAATATTTAGAGTGTTTGAGATTCATTGTCAAGTGAAGAATTTTCACTAAAATTTATTAATCTAAAAGAATTATTCATTATTAGGTAGTTGACTTTTTTAACAATTTTAAAAATAGATTTGATTGCAACTAGACATCCTATTAAATAGATTCTTTTGTCATAGACTCAATTAGCTACTAAATTTGATTTATTTTCAATACTTGATCCAGTTGTTTGTGGAATATGTAATTAGCAGTTGTATCTCTTTTAGAACATCAAAGTTTGTGATCTGTGAAATTTTCTGAACCTAAATGACGTAAATTTTAGCTTTGTCTTCCTTAATGTCATTCACAAGTACAATTTTAAAGAGGTTTGAACATTAATTCTGTAGCAAAGTTTTCAACTGTTTGGTAGAGTTTATTTTTGGCTAAACCAGCTTTTAGACTTTAATTGCTAAGATCCAGGATATGACCAAAGATGCCTAGAACTTAACAGCAGCTCTAGTTCAATCCTTAAAAATGTCACAGACTACAAACTTTGAATTTGAATAATTTTAAAACATTAAATTTAACAAATAAAACTTACAATTTTATTAATCTAGTCTTAAGTATAAATACTTGTTACAAAGCCAGCCCTTACTGTTAAATTTTATTTATATCTGTTCTTGTTAGTTGTATGAATTGTCCAATAAAGAGTTTATACCATGGATACATAACTAAATCTGCTTCAAATTCTTTGCATGTGTCGTAGATGATATCATTGAGTTGGGGTAGTAAAGCATGATCAAGTGTAGGAAACATGTGGTGACCAATGTGCTGTCCAAATGTTGTTAGCACTGCGAATGAATTTTTCTGAAATTCAAAACGGTCAAATGTTGCTGCTAATTGGTAGACTCCAAAATCGAGGGACTTAAGTTCATCACCGTCATGGAAAACCTAAAATTTAATTTAATATCAGCATGACTACAACTCAAGAAATTGTCCTTAATCCACAACAATCAAGATCTTAACTTGATATTCCTTCTTAATCAAACACAGTCTTTGTGAATTAAAATAATATTAAGTTTAGAAGCACAGACTCTCAGGCATTTATTGTAGTCTGTCCATACCTTATTATGATGATGACCTCCATTTACTGATATAGTTCCATGGATAACACTTGATACGAAAATTATAGTCAGCCATCTTATCACAGTTTCGATGATTCCCACACTTCCAAATGTGTACATTAATAAAGGCATTGTAAAGGGAATCAAATCATCCCAATGTAGTTTGTAGTTATTGACTATCGATCCAATATATCTAAAAAAAAATAAAAACAGTTATTGACTGAGTGTGATCAATACTATCATGTCAATTAAAGATTTAAAGACGACTTACAGTCTAAAATAATCAACAACCGATAATTACTCTTAAATCAATCAAATCCATAAAACTTACCTAAAAAATCCAGTTTTAGGAAAGATAAATCCATAAATAACAGGTGAAATAATCCATGATACGTATTTTTGTAAGAAGTTCTTATCCATAGGTATCCAATTGAAGAATGGTTCGAATAAAACACACTCAAGGTCATGGTAGGAATTCGGATACAAGTGGTGGCTCATAGCATGCATGACTGTCAAAATAAATTGAATTGGCTCTTTTTTAACAACAGTAGTGATCTTAAGATTCAATGAGATTTTTGCTGTACGTAGTCATTTACAGCTTATTAATAGTAATTATGACTAATCGTCTCAAGCATCTTACTTTTTTTGGGAATTCTTAAATGACTTAAATCAAATTAGTATGGCTTATGAATGAAAGTAATAAGTGTACAAGATTACAAAATCCAGGAGCTGGTATCAAAGCCTAACCGACTTGTATAACATTCAATGAATATTCCTAAAATAATGAGTGCATTTTACAAAAATTTCAAAGTTTTTTTTGTGAAGTAAAAGTTCAAGGTTTGTCGATTTAATCAAGCTTTGATTTGTGTCGCTGAATTACATTGTCACACTTATTCACAAATTCCTTCTCTATTACACATTTAAGTCTACCGGCAAACCACCAAAAATAAATCTTTACGATGACGTTGTAATAAACAAAAGTAATGTTTGTTTGAAAACATTAAGTTCTGACTCATGTTGCTTTCGATGATCCAGCAGAATGTTATAAAAAATTGAATTGAAGGGATTCGTTCTTTAAAATCAAAGAAATATTCGAGTTAATTTTATCCCGAATAGCACATTATTATTATTATTATTTATTTGTCGACGTTACCGTCCGGAAGAATTAGTATTTAAACATGTTTTACTTTTTACATTGATTAGTGATACATTTCATATCACTATGGGTGACGTAGAATCAAGCTTCTAATCTTCAAATCTAGGTTTCGATTAAATTCAGGCTCTCGTTTCAATCTTCTGTGGGCGTGACGTGATACATTTCAGGTCCGTTCTGACAATATTCCATTATAAGGTAATTTTGTAGCTCTCGTTCCTATTTCTCCCGCTACACTTCAAGTTCCTGATCCGTTCCTTAATCCATCTCGTACATTCACATGTCGGATAATCAAGACGAGATCCTAACCTACGACGAGGCGGGAACTTGAGGATTTTGCCTCAATTATCCAACTTGTGCCGATCAGGATCATATTGCCTTCAGCTCATCGCAACGTGTAGTAACACACCGCATGGTTGGAACCCTCTCACATTATTATTATTATTATTATCCGAATTGTGCTATTCGAGATATAATTAACTTAAATCATCAATCAGAAATTCTCAGTTGTTCCAATTTCTGGTTAAGAGTAGTTAAGATGTCCAAAAGCTCATTGTCTTTTGTAACATGAAACAGACCCTCTTATTCAATCACTTTACAATTTATGACTCTTCTTTTCCCACCCAAACATTGGACATAATGCAGTCAATACCAAGTCAAACTCACCTCGCCAATCCCGATAACTTTGAACATTCAAATTCATCAGATACATCCTCCAATTATCACGTTGATGAAGGAAATTATGCGATATTACAGACAACATTAATAGACAAGATGCAGCAATAAGTACAGTAATAAAATTAAAGTCACGTGAAGCTAGTATAAATGACAATATTGTCGATACAAGCATTAAATCACAATAAAATCGCGACGTTGCAATCAAGCTTCTGTCAAATTGCCCTGATAATTTGCTTGCGACACGTCGCTTTAAAGTCTTATAAAATCCATTTGGATGGAATGTTAACTTATAGTTCCGAGGTAGTTTTGCATCACGAATGTAAAAATTTCGTAGCATTTTCTCAGCATTGTCTGTAATGTGGTGTGACTCAAACTGCTCTGTAATGTCAACACCTTTCGTTATGTCTAGCCATTCGGAACCACCTGGATGACGTTCTATAAAAGCTGTAAAGTCATAAAGCTTATCATGAACTCTCCATAAACCTTCTGCATTGTCATCTTCTCGCTTTCCATTCAACCATGATCCACAATCTTTGAAGAAATTATCACGATTTGTTGGATATTTGTGAGCAATTGTTGATACTCGCATGGCTACTTAACTTTTAAAACAATCACAGACTATGGACAATTATTAATCTAGTGTTGTAATTTAAGTCTTTGCAAAAAAAATAACAATACAAAAAATTGAGGAACACGTGCGGCACCGACCGATTCAAGAACTGCGAGTGAACTGACCCAAAACGTGTTTAATATGCTGAATTTTTAAATAAATTATTTTTTTGTTTTTATTTTCGTTTTTCGCTCAGTGAATCTTTACTCATTTTGTTAAGCATTTTTGGATAAAATGAGTAAATTGCTGTGTGGACAGAAAATGATAGAAATATGCGAGAGTTAAGTTTGCGTATTTCCTGAACTGAATAAGTCCAAAAGAAAATTGAATTCAACTGAGTTTTATCTTTTGAGCTTAATTAAATGTGTAGAGTAATTAATTTTTTGAGAATTTCCTGTAAGATTGTAGCTCACAGCACCAAAAAGTTTAAAAACATGGGAAAACACAATCACACGAATGGTGTGGCACAAAGCTCTGTACTTTTCAGCTAGCAGTTAATTACTAGATATTAATATAAATCAATAAAACTGCAAACAAAAGCAAAATAACAATAAAATTACTAGCTGATTTTTTTTAAAAACAGGTCAGCAGTGCAGTGCTACGTAGAGCTATCAAAAACATTATTACTCATCATTTCTTCATTCGCTTATTTTAAATTCCCAAAAAAAAAAACATAAAATAACGGACTTGAAAGAAGGTAAGAAACTAGTTTTGTCTAGCAATGAATTAAGCATTTTATGACTTAACATTTGATTAAATCCCTAAAGATAGAATTGAAAACAAATTTCGAAAGTTCAAGACACACGACGAAGATTTGTTTTGATTCTAAATTGATGGAACCGGATTTGTTTGTTTGTTAAAAAAGTGAAAACAATAAATCGGGGCATTTAACACATTGTGATTGTTTTTTAAAAGCAGAATTTTCTTTTTTGCATAAACAATTAATAAACTATTGTTAATGACTAAAGATTTATTTTTTGAAGTTCAGAAAGTCTAATACAGCAGAAGATTCAACTATCATACATACTTAAATTCAAATAATTCCTTTTTAACACTGATTATAATTTGGACTTTAAAACCAAACCATCTCTGCCAGCTTCTTCAACTGGAACGGAATTATTTTCCTGCAATTGCTTAACAAGCTTTTTAACTTCTTCACTTCCAGTGTTAATCACAATATTAAGAACCACACTTTGATTGCAATCTTTTTTAAAGTTTCGACATTTGCAGCACATGATTCAACTTCTGATAGAGCACTACTGAAACATTGAAAATTAAACCACCGATCCATATTTTGTTGAGTCAATTGACAACAATAAAATGCACAAAACACATTTTAAGACTTTAACATTCGTGCTCATCGAAACGATAAACTAAATATTCATTATGCATCTGATTTGACAGCGACATCTACACGTCAAACTTTAAAACTGAGAGTTGGTTGACTTCATTTTTAAATTTTTTTTATTTAATCCCAGCTATAAATGTTAAAATCTCATATTTATAAATCTTTTTGTTTAAGTTCCTTTAAAGTTTTTGGTTTTGTTCTCATGAGCTGTTGGAACTGACCTACAATTAATGGCCACCAAGGATATTCACGAAGTTCAAGCTCAAAATCCTTACAAGTTGATATGAAAACTTCATGAAGTTGAGGCAATAATCCATGATCTATGGTTGGAAAGAGATGGTGAAGCGTGTGATGACCGAAGGTGACTAGAGCAACAAAATGACTTTGTTTGATGTCGTTTCTATCGATAACAGCATTCATTTGGAATACTCCAAAGTCCATTCCTTTTCTAAAAGATTTAAAGATTTGTCAAGTAATTCAAAATCTAATCAAATTCTTAAGTTTTAATAAACTAACGGTAGCTCATCCCCTTCATGTGTGACATCTGGATGATGATGACCAGCATTTAATCCAAAGACTCCAACAAGGAAGCTGCTCATTGATGTGATAACAAACCAAAGTTTCAAGACAATCCAAAGATCTTGTTGACCAAAATAGAACATGGTAATTGGGAGTGCTAAAGGTATAAGATGATCCCATCTGAATGCTACTAGGTTCTTGAAGTATCCAATAATTCTAAAATAAAGTTTGAGATTAGTAGTCGCTACTTCTAGGAATTTACAAGACATTATGTCCCAAATAGAAATTCGGGAAAGCTGTTTGAGTAGATATGGGTCAAGCAAGTGTTTCTCAAAGCGTATACTGCGTCACTCTAGTGAATCTTGAGTCAAATAAGTTTGAGAACCATTGGGATAAGCTTAATGACTGGTTTAGTCGGATCTTTATGAAATCTTACCTATAAACCGTTGCCATCAACCCAATCAATGACCACACCACAGGACTTAAGATGCACGAAGAAATTTTCTGTTTCAAAGTTTTTGGTCTTGGTAGCCACTGAAGATGTGGCTCGAACATCGATATCTCCATGTCGTAGTAAGAGTTTGTGTACAAATGATGCGATAAAGCATGACTGTCGTAAATGAAATTCATTAAACAATTATTTTAGGCTGCATAATTAAGCAATTCTACCTTATTCTCCATTCAGTGTAGTTCAGTAAGGTCAAGTTAAAGCAAAACATACGCCAGTTATCTTTACGATGAAAATAGTTATGTGCTATAACAAGTTGACAATTAAGGAATGCACCAGCAAGAAGTGCTAAGTAAAAGTTGTTATCTTTGGCTGCTAACACGGATGTTGCAAAAAGAAGCCCCAACATCAAGTCAGAAATTATCTGGAATTGTTTAAAGCGTAAGTGTTTATTTGCTTAAGTTGTATTTCCCGTAGTTTTAATTGCACATCTGAGTCATTAATGACTTGCTGTAATTTACTTACATCAGAAATTCTCTTTGGCTTATGATCAAGATCCGGAAGCATATCAGCAACTCTTCTTTTCAATGTTCGATAAAATCCATTTTCAGCATATGTAAACTTATAATTTCTTGGTGCTTTAGCATCTCGGACATAATATTTCTTTAATAAAGCTTCAGCCTTTCCATGCAAATGATGAGTCTCAAATTCTTCAGTTATGTCAACTCCATTTGTAAGACTGATCCATTCAGCACCACCAGGATGTCGTTCAATAAAATCAGTAAGGTCATATAGTTTGTCGTGGACCCTCCACAAGCCTTCAGCTTCATCATCGACTCTCTTGCCTTCAAGCCATCTAGATTATTAGGAATAGTTTGACTAGAGTTTTGAAAATATACGATCACGACTCGGTTTAATTGAGTTCCTCATTAATTATGTGTTCATATTAAAATATGGAATTTCAAGACCCAGAAATTTTTTAAGCAAGTGGGCATCAATATAATCGACCCCTTGACAAGGCAATACTCAACATTACCTATTTGACAGTTTAAGAATTGAATCATCGCGATTAGATGGATATTTGCGTGCTATAGAGCCAAAAACATTTTGAACTCGTTCCATTGTTCCTTTATATTTTCTCAAATATCAAAATGCAGTCGACACTTGAAACTTATTTTTATCACAAAGAAGTCCAAAAATCTTTTTGCATCAAAGTCTTAAAAATTTATCACAGAACAATAATCACATCAAGTTCAACTTCCAATTAGCTATTCACATTTCAATAGAACTAAGCACACTGCTGTAAACTATCAGTAATTACTGATTAATATAATTCAAATTTTCCTTGATTTCTCTAGACCGGTTTAGGTGAGAAATAATGTAAATCACTCAGAACTTTTCACTGTAAATCCATTTTTGTATTTGCGTCCTATTAATACTGCGAGCTGAATGCGACTGAATGGAAATAGATTACAATGTACTTTAATTAAATATTTCACTATGTTTGTGTGTAGCATAATTGTAGGATGTAAGTTGATGTTGTGGCTTTACTTTGTCCACTTTGGGAATTATTTTTACTCTACTATATGATTAGTGCCTTATTAATTTGAGTTACAAAGGTTCTTTTGATTCTAATGACTAACAACACAAAGAAACTGAAACTAAATGTCATGCAATAAAGCTAGCGAGCAACAAGTTAAATTTTAATTTGGTGTCAAAAATTCCTGTTTTTGCAAGGTTTAATATTAAATGTAAAAGAAGAAAATTTGAGTTTATTGACTTTTAATTCGAAGATTCTGTGTTTTGATGAAGCTATTAGCTCTGACTTGCATTATTTTATGACTGATTGTATCAATTAATTTAGTATCGCTGGAAAAACAGTAAACACTGCCTTAATACTTCGCAAATTCAAAAGATACGAAACACATGCTTTGCACATGTTTTTTAATATCAAAAAAATATTGCATTTGGTATGCGGTAGCCACCATAATCCAGATTCATAAGCTATCTAAAGGTTGGTCGATAATTGATCTGTACTGCCAGCAGAGTTTGTAAGCTAATTAGTTGTTGAACTGAAAATCCAATAATCACTTAAAATAGTGTTAAATAAATTTTCAGACCCAGTTCAGACCTAGAAGAGAATATTCTTATAGTTTAGACATAGTAGCTGAAACACACAGCTAGCTTTTCAAAAACATTAATAATAAACTAGCTTAACAGTAACGCATTTCAAGTTTAATGGCATCATAAGTTTTGAAAAAACAAAAAAAAATTTTGGACGTCATAAGTGAACGACCACATAAAAAAATTAATTTTGCAAAAAATGCGTTATTTGCATCTACAAAATAAATCCTAGACACTACTCACTAATCGACCTTTTAACTTAATGCTTCAAACTAGTATGAGTGAAAAATGTTTTGGCTTGATAAGAAATATATTTTCAATTCCAGAATCAGCAAGTATTGTTTGATTACAAATTGAAGTCTATCGTACTTTCTGTAAATATTATTAAATCTATCAAAAAATAAGATAAGGATCGACATACACGTGATTGTGGAATAATTTCGTGTAATTTTGTTTTTAAAATATTTATATTAATGTTTTTCTTTATTAGTTCACGTTAAAGTCATGAACTTTGCTTGTATAAAAAAAGAGTTTATCAAACTAGTTAAATTATGAACTTTAAATTAATTTTGCGAAACATTCGAAATTTCAAGTGATGATTGAGAATTATTCGCAATTTGGCTGTTCTCCTTGATTAAGGATTGTGATGAAGTAGTTCCAATCATCGTATCGTGATTTTTAAGATTTTCATCTTGATTCTCCTTCTCATGTTCAGTTCCAAACTCTTTTTCTTTGTAGTCATTACGGACTGTAACTGATTGTGTGCAATCTGTGACTTTGTAAATTCCAACCAAATAGTCAGCAAGTTCAAACATGTTCGATCGAAGTGAGATGATAATGAATTGGGCGTTCTTCGTTCGTTCCTGTAATTGGATTTAAAAAGAGGAGCAGAAATAATAAACATAATCAGCAACATAAGCATACAAGTTAGATTAATAACAATGTAAATAAACTCTGAGTTTAGGTCAACGAATTTGTAGATTTAAAGAAAACATTAATTTAAAGTTTTAACGGTTTTGTAAAATTTGAATATTTAACGGTTATGTAAAATTTGACTGTTTAGAGGTTTTGTATGATTTGAATTTTTAGCGGTTTTGTAATATATGAATGTGTAGAGGTTTTGTAAAATTTTAAATATTTGGCAGTTTAAAACAAAAATTAAAATTGAACTTAAACTCACATTAATATAATTGGCAACAATGGAAACATTCTTAAAATCAAGAGCAGCATCAATCTCATCCATAAAGTACAGCGGTGACGGTTTGTAATAATGCAAGGCAAACACAAGCGCTAATGACGATAAAGTTTTTTCACCACCAGACAGATTTGTGATCACTTTCCAGCTCTTCTTTGGTGGTCTGACAGAAAATACAATTCCTTCACTAAATGGATCCATCGAGTCGACAAGCTCCAATTCAGCATCACCACCAAGTGTTATCATTTGATACATTTCCTTCAATTTTCTGCTGATTATTTGGAATCCTTCTGTGAACTCTTGGAACCGCTTCTTTTTGACACTGTCAAGTGCTTCTCTCATTTCATTACGCCTTAATGTCACATCCTCAAGAACATTAATACGTTCCAAATATGCTTCACGTTTCTTATTGTAATCTTCAATAACACCAAGATTTGGCTTGCTGACCGATAATTTCTCTTCTAATGACGTGATTTCATACTGTGTGTCGTTGACTTTTCGTTGCTTCAGTTCCTCATCTGTGTAAACTCTAAATGGCGGATCTGGCATTTCCTCATTTGGAATTTTATGAAGTTTTAATGCTGTAATTTTCTTTTCCCATTGTGGAACTTTTACAGACTGTTCCTTTAATGACTTTTCAATTGTCTTTAATTTATCATCAAGCTCAAGTCGCTTCATTTTTCCATCTGCTTCCTCTTTCTGAAGTGCAGCAATTTCCTTTTTAGTTGACGATGAATCTTTTGTGGCATCTTCAAGTTCCTTTTTCATATCTTCAACTCTCTTTGCCAGTTCCTCGCTATCTTTAATACATTCTGTACGTTCTTCAGCCATTTTATGGAGTGAGGCTTCACATTCTGTGACTTCGTTCTTATTATGTTCAATTCTTTCCTCTGCTTTTTGGATATTTCTGGCTGTTGTGCGAATCTCTACTGTTAATTTATTGATATTTGTTGTTAATTTATCAATTTGCTGAGTTATTTTCTTAATATTCGTTTGTACATCCTTAATTTTCTTATCAGAAATGTCCTTAATTTTTGCATTGATCGCATTTACTTTAGTTTGGATTTCTTCGACTTCCTCACTCTTTTTCTCGAAGCTTGCCTTGCATTTTGTTACCTTTTTGTCGAGATCAGCAACTTTTGCAGAATCAGATTTTGTAGAATCAGCTTTTTGTTTCTGTTTGTTAAGCTGTTCTTGCAATCTTGGAATTTGCTCAGCATAACTCTTCACATTGAGCACCAATCTCTTCAATTCCTGCTCTTTTTGGCTGATTGTGATGTTTAATTTCCGAATTTCCTCTTCTAAAAGTCCTTGACGATGTTGGAAATCATTAATCTTTCCTTGCATGACTTGTGCTGCTGCTGATAATGTCTCAATGTCCTTCTCTGACATGGAATGTCTTGATGCTGATTTTGTTTGTACTTTTTGTCCCATACGTCCGCTGATTTTTGATCGACCACCACCAGACATTGTACCAGATATTTCAATAACTTCACCATTCATTGTTACTACTCGATATCTTGTCTGTCCATATGCGATTTCTCTGGCTTGTGCCATATCTCTCGCAACTAATGTCTCAAAAAGTGAAAAGTAGAATGCTGGAAGAACTCGTTCATCTTCAACTTTAATCAAATCAACGAGACGAGGTACATTTTGTGGGCTAAATAGAAAAGATTGGAATTCGATTAAACATTTTCTTATTCAACGATTTTTAAAAATTCAAAGTATACCGGTTTTGTAAAATTTGAAATTATAGTTCAAATTTTGAACTTAAATTTTCAAAATCCAAAAACCCGTTAAAATTTGAAAAATAATAAAAAATTGTTAAGTTTCCAAAAAAATAGCTTTACTTACTATTGCTTCTTTTTTCTGTATTCGTTGATGTAATGAGCAACTTTATCCAAGGCAATGAATGTAGCACGACCAATATTGTGATCCTTTAAAAACTGAATGCATCTTGTAGCTGTTTCAACGTCAGTTACAACAATATTGTCAAGTCGTCCACAGCATGTAGAAATAGCAACATCATATTGCTTATCAATGGCACCAAGATCACCAAGACGACCGAGAATTCCAGGAATTGTTCCCTTTTGTTTCTCTTTCATTAAAGCATTCAGCACTTTATTATTACTTTGTGCCACTTGCATGTTCGTTCTGCTTTCTTCAAGCTTCATTCGAACTTTTCTCAAATCGACAGCAACTTCTTGTTCTTCTTGCTGTAATCCCTTGACTTCATCTTGCTTAACGACAACTTGTTGCTTCATTTGTGGAATTTCTACCTTTAATTTTTCAACAGTTTCCTGCTTTTCTTCCAATTGCTTCTTTGTGTCCTCAAACGAATGTTTTAAGGATTCATATTTGCGAATTTCCGTTGTCTCGTCCTTTTTAATGATTTCCAATTCCTTCTCAGCTTCTGTATAATCAGCTTTTAATGTATCGAGTGATGCTTTTAAAACACCCAATTCTTTTTCAAGTGGTTCCTTTTCATCTTGAAGTGGTTTTGTGTCATTTTTCAAGCTTTTCGTATTTTCTTCAAGTGTAGCTTCCAGTTCATCTTTTTCTTTCATGTGACGTTCAACAATCTTTTGGCTCTCATCAATTTCCTTTTGATTCCGTTCAGGCAATGTTCTTAATTGATCGAGTTTCTTCTGTTCATTATCATTTTGTTTCTTTAAATCTTTACGGCGTGTATTTGTTTCTCTCATTTTAGCATCAACACGCTGGTGCTTGTCGCGTGCCTTAGCTTCCATATTTTTAAATTCCTCAATCTTTGTTTGCAGTTCTTCGTACTTTTTCATCTCATCGTGGATTATTTTCTCTTTTTCTTGGCGCTGTTTCTTAATTTCGTCGAATTTATCGTCGTGTTCCTTTAAAACTTCACCTGCTTCCTTTTTCTCTTCCTCATATTTCTGTATTTCTTGTTTCTTATGCGAAATATATAGCTGTAAATGAAGATTTTGTGCTTGATATAGTTTATTCTCAAGTTTTAAATATTCAACAGCTTGTGTCATTGGCAGTTCCAAATCTTTCATCTCACGTTCAGCTAGACGACAACGATTGTGCTTCTCAGTTCGTTCCTCATTCAATTTCTCAAGTCGTTCATTAATTTGTGTCAGTGGTTTCTTATATCTCTCAGTTCCAATAATATCCTCAAGATATTCGAGAAGACCTGTCTCATTTGGTGCTTGTGCCTTTGCCTTCATCATAGCAATTGACTCAACTTCTCCTTGTAAGATTAAGAATCGATTATGTAATAAATCAATGCCATGAGTCTCGAGCAATTTAGCGACTTCCTTAAATTTTTTTTCTTTGCCATTAATTGTATAAAACGAATTATTTGTCTTAAATGCTGTTCTAGCAACGACAATTTCACTGTTTGGCACGAATTCAAATGTTCCATCTTCTTTGTCGACGATCTGCTTGAAATGTACAGCAACTTTACAGCTATTAATATTTGGATACTTTGAAGAATTATGGATTAAAACTGACAACTTTTTCGATCGAATTTGTTGAGCGCGATAACCGAAAACAAACAGCATAGAATCAATTACATTACTCTTGCCACTTCCGTTTGGTCCAATGACTGCAGAGAATCGCTAAAATAAAGTTCCTATTAATAAAAATCAGTTATAACATTTAATTTAATTATCTTACATGATGAAATGGTCCAACACTGACTGTATTTGCATAACTCTTAAAATTAGTGTTTTCAATGTGTGTAATGACCATACGTGGTCCTTTACTTTCAGCTGAACAATAAGCCTTTACAGGCGGTGGTATGAAAATGCCACCAACTCGAGTTCCACCTTAAAAAAACATCCAGTAAAGAAATTTGAATTTTTTGTTTACAAATTTTTGCTTTTGAAAATTTATGATTTTATGGAATAATGCAGCACTATGTTTATAAGTTTTTAAGTAAAATTAAGTCCATTTACCTTCTTCATCCTCTGAGAATTCCATATCATCGTCAGCTGGCTCAATATGATCCAAATCATCTTCGGCTTTTCTTTTTTTAACATTCGACATAGTATTCCGTGGTTTCTTTATTATCCAGCTATTGCTTTTATGTTTATAAGTTGTTTTAATAATTATTGACTGGTTGTAATGCTTTCCGTTTAATTATATTAACAAAATTATATTTATGTTTATAAAGCGTTCAAAATTTCCGTTAAAATTAGCATAACCTATTATTTCAAATCACTTTTTCAATTCAAATTTTTTATATCCGTTATTTTTTGAAGAGTAAGTTACAGCACATCAAGAGCATTAAAGGAATTTGTTTGCATACAATGTATCTATGCGGTAATTTATGGGATATTCACTTTTAAACCTGTTAATTATTTTGTTTTCGGTGAGAGAAATTGTTGATAATTAAAGAAACGTGGATTCTCATTGACAATTTACACACACATTTTCGTCATCATTATGAAAATTAAGAGCAGTGATGAATTTCAGCATAAGATATTATGACTAACGTGCGTTGATTCAATGAAAGTAATTAATTCATAGTTGAATTTTCAACGGAAATCAAAAATTCAAATGAAAAAGAGACGCAAAATATTGATGCAAAACTTAAATTTCAAAAATACGTTAAAATTAAATAAGCTATATATATGCATGCAGTTACATTATTTGCACAGCCCACCCGACTGAATGTCATATGAAGGACTTTTCGCGAGAGAGAAAGCTGGTTGATTGGTTGAAAATATTCTCACAAAAAATAATTTTTTCATTCATCTTCAAAACTCGCGTTGAGTAAGTTGAATAAGCCGATTTCTTCAAATTATTAAATAAAAAGTGAGTAATATTTGTTAAGTTAACTTATAATAATACCTAGAAGTGCTATCCTCTACCTACAAAGCAATTGAAATTATCGCGAATTATGCAACATTAAGTTGAATTAAAATTTTCCTATATGAAAGAAATTCTAGACAAATCGATTCATTGATTTTCGGCATTTAAAGCTGTTTATTGTGCATATATTAATGCACAAATAGTTTAAACAAGGAAAAATGAATTGGTTTGATAGTTTTCCGGCGAATTTTCAATACATAATGCACTTGTAATAGTGAGAGAAAATTGTGAAAAAAAGTTCATCCATCTTGCTTTCTCTCACGTCTAGTTCCGCAGTTTAATTCAGTTTTATTTTAATGAAAAATAGTCTACGTCAAGATTACTTGATAACGCACTTTAACTTTTAAGTAAACAAGTTTTGAGGTCCACAAGATGATAAGAAATGTTCTGATTGTGGCTTAGCAAAACATCAAATTATTGGTCAATAACCCATTTATATCTCAGATTCTTATTCCTTTTGAGCTTTAAAGTACCGTTAATTACAGTATACAGCTACTAAATTAGATTTAGTGGAAATTTTTGAGATCCAGTCAATTGGATCTGTTCAGTATTGCTTATCCTGACAAGCCTTCTTTTATCATTTGAAAAGTGAATGTTTGAGAAAATTCAAGGTCGTCCAAGGTTAAAGGAACGCTACGTTTAGTATTTTTAAGTGTGATAATAAGAAAATTTCTCGTTGATCTTCATTTATCCTACACATCATAAACAATTCTATTAATTCAATTTATTTGAGGATCTCGTTTGTATTATAAAACAAAATAAAATCGATAATGATTCGTAATATCATGTAAGAGATGAGGAGTGTGAGACAAACAAAAATAAATGTTGCATAACTTGAAAAATTTTCCTTCCTCATTTGAATTTGTACTTTTAATGCCATTTTTTGACGTCACACAAAATGCTAATCAAAGGTTATTTATTCTAATATAGCTCAAAAATGCCTATCAAGAGTATTAAAGCTCGTCAAATCTTCGATTCACGCGGTAACCCAACCGTTGAAGTTGACTTGACAACTGAATTGGGATTATTCCGTGCTGCAGTTCCATCAGGTGCCTCAACTGGTATCCATGAAGCTCTTGAATTGCGTGACAAGGAAGCAGCTAACTGGATGGGAAAGGGTGTTTTGAAAGCCGTTGGACATGTCAATGACTCACTCGCTCCAGCAGTCATTAAATCAGGCTTAGAAGTCACTCAACAACGCGAGATTGATGAATTGATGATTAAACTTGACGGAACACCAAATAAGAATAAGTTCGGTGCTAATGCTATTTTGGGTGTTTCATTAGCCGTCTGCAAAGCTGGTGCTGCAAAGAAGGCTGTTCCACTTTACCAACACATTGCTGATTTGGCTGGAAATAAGGATATATGGCTTCCAGTCCCAGCCTTCAATGTTATTAACGGTGGTGAGCATGCTGGTAACATGTTGGCTATGCAAGAATTCATGTTGGTAAGTCAAACACTTTAATTGCACATTTACTATTTTGTAGAATTTAAAAATCTAAAGCCAAGCTCGGGTTTATTCATACTTATCAATTTAATTTTGTTTTTCGTCAATATAGTTGCCACTCGGCGCAAAGTCATTCACAGAAGCCATGAAAATGGGTGCTGAAACTTACCACAATTTGGCCAAGGTCATTCAAGCCAAGTTTGGCAAGGACGCAACAGCTGTTGGTGATGAGGGTGGTTTTGCACCAAACATTTTGGATAACCGTGCTGGTTTACAATTGATTGTTGAGGCTATTGAAAAGGCTGGATATACTGGAAAGATTAAGATTGGTATGGATGTTGCTGCTTCAGAATTCAAGGATGATGATGGTTCATATGACTTGTTCAAGAAAGACAAGGTTAAGGATAAGTCCCGTAACTTGTCATCAGACAAATTGGGTGATCTCTACATGGAATTCATTAAGGAATTCCCAATTGTCAGCATTGAAGATCCCTTCGATCAAGATGACTGGGAAGCATGGACTAAACTTAATGCTCGTGCTGGAATCCAAATTGTTGGTGATGACTTGACAGTCACAAATCCAACACGTATTCAAACGGCTGTTGAAAAGAATGCTTGCAACTGCTTGTTGCTTAAGGTCAATCAAATCGGTTCCGTTACTGAGTCAATTGATGCTCATTTATTGGCAAAGAAGAATGGCTGGGGAACTATGGTCTCACATCGTTCAGGTGAAACTGAGGATTCATTCATTGCTGATTTAGTCGTTGGTCTCTCAACTGGACAAATTAAGACAGGTGCTCCATGCCGTTCCGAAAGATTATGCAAATACAACCAAATCTTACGTATTGAGGAGGAACTTGGAGCCAATGCCAAGTTCTCTGGTGAAAAATTCAGAAATCCACATGCATAAGTGCTGATCACATTTGAATTTAATTATCTATAAAATTTAATGCAACAAAAAAATACATAAAATAAAATTAATAATTTTAAAAAAACATCCCATAATGTCTGAAAGATGTCCAATGCACAACAAGTTGCATTCTGCATTTTCTTTTGAATTTTTCCCATCTCTCCTGCTTAAGCCCAAACTCACTCTCATGGCTTAACACAAATAATGGACATAAAAAGAATACAATTTTTTGAGAATATCATTAAAATTACTACAAAACAAAAAGTTATTCAAGATGTTAATCTCTAATTAAGGATATTTAAAATATCTGTCATTTAATGAAAGAAAAAAATTATAAGATTCCTTAATTTAAAGACACAAAAATGTTGTAGCTTCATACAGATACAGTAACTTATTTGTCGTGAGAAGTTAAATAAACAAAATTAAAGGAAATCAACTTGTCTTTTATGTATCGAAATATTATTTATTTGTTGTGATATAAAAATGGTTTTCAGAATGTTCAGCATGACTCATAACTGCTTGCTTGCTGTACACGTGTATGACTTTGAGATGACATTAGGCCACAACATTTGGAAAGTTCGTACTTAGTAAACTTCTTACTTTCTTTGACCTTCAAGAATAACAATTTACATCCAACAGCATCTCATAAAGGCACAGCTGCATCCTTAAATACGACTTAGAGTCCACAAGTCTAAGAAATAATCACTTAAATGTCAATTATCACAAAAATTTCACATTTCTCAGGTTTCTGTACGATTTGCATGGCTGAATATGTGATTGCCTTCACTTCTGTACCTTGTGGATGTTTTGCAAGATCAAATTGCTCACCGAAGCAAGAACATCTGATTTTAAATGCCTCAGTGTCAAATTCTTCTATTCTTAACTTTTTACAAATGAGATAAGGTTCAGCTGAGAAGAGGAATAGTAATTCGTCGAGGAAGTGATATAATAGACCTTAAAATAGATATAATTGTTGTATAAAAATAGTTCAAAGACACTTAATACTAAATATACCGTCAAGATCTTCAGCATTTGCAATAATTTCATGTTTCTCCTTAATATCAACTGTATCTAGTTCTGTCATGTATCCAAACATAGCCATTCCATTCTGTTCAAATGCTTCTGTTAGATTACTGCCCCATGAGTGTAACTGAACATCTGCTGTATGATCCAGATCTGGATAATAATGTTTTTAATTATTTTCACAAGATTATGAAATGTATGAAGTAACTTACATTCATATTTGATTTCTGGAACCTCTCCTGCGTCTTTAACTACTTCCTCAATACTGTCATCTGCCATTATGCTGTATTTTGATGGATATTTCTGTTTGTCTGGATCTTACACGAGATATTTATTTTGTTAACTTCCACGCGTATTTTTCGAGTTGAAAATTTCAAATTTCGAATTTTTCATGACTGTTAATTACTGGATTTTTAAGTTTTCTTATTTATTAATTTTACTGAAAATAATAAAACTATTTCAACAGACTATAAACAATCCAAAATAACCATGAAACTGACTAGTGTATCGGGTAGAAACCCAATGCAGATATATTCACACCGTACCATCAAAAGTCTTATGGATAGACCAAGATTTGCTCAGCATAAGTTTGAAGGGTGGGCTTAAAGTACGGCCGAGACCCATATCGACTCACTTCAAAAGTTATAGCAAATTTATGTCATAATTATGTCAGCTACAAAAACACTTAGTTTGAATTTTGTCACCCTCGGGATCACTATGAACCAGTATAGCTGATTTTGGTCCAAATCTCGGCCATACTTCACACTTATTTGAACCACATTTTCTCGTAAATGTTAAAATATGATTAAAAAGTAATTAATCCTGAAATATGTCGCTATTTTGTCAAGTGTTTTAAGATAAAGAATTTGTTTTTTGGTTTCCACAGTGAAGAGTATGAACAAAATTCAGATGGGGTAGTCAAAATTTTAGATTTCGATTTTTTTTTAAGCTATGCATTACAAAAAGTAATATTGGTATGTGATTTATGTCAGAATTATGTCAATTCAAATAAAACATCCAAAAAATTTTTTTGACCAAAGAACCAAGTAGGAAATAAATTTTCAATTTTGGACTAGGGGCGACCCTAGTCAAAATCAATTTTGTCACTTTTTTCTTCGAGGGTTTATTCAAATGGATTAAAACTATGCATAAATATTTTAATGCCTAAAACAAATACAAATAAACCTTCGTAATTGTAATTGGATAAACCTTCGAGTAAAAAAAGGGAAAAACTAGATTTTGACTAGACCTGTCCCAAGTACATAATTGAAAATGTATTTCCTTCTTGGTTCTTTGCTCAAAAAAATTTTAGGATGTTTTATTTGTATTTGTTTTAAGCACTTGAATATTTATGCAAAGTTTCAATCCATTTGGATAAACCCTCGAAGAAAAAAGTGACAAAATTGATTTTGACTAGGGTCGCCCCTAGTCCAAAATTTAAAATGTATTTCCTTCTTGGTTCTTTGCTCAAAAAAATTTTAAGATGTTTTATTTGTATTTGTTTTAAGCACTTGAATATTTATGCAAAGTTTCAATCCATTTGGATAAACCCTCGAAGAAAAAAGTGACAAAATTGATTTTGACTAGGGTCGCCCCTAGTCCAAAATTTAAAATGTATTTCCTTCTTGGTTCTTTGCTCAAAAAAATTTTAAGATGTTTTATTTGTATTTGTTTTAAGCACCAGAATATTTATGCAAAGTTTCAATCCATTTGGATAAACCCTCGAAGAAAAAAGTGACAAAATTGATTTTGACTAGGGTCGCCCCTAGTCGAAAATTGAAAATGTATTTCCTTCTTGGTTCTTTGCTCAAAAAAATTTTAGAATGTTTTATTTGTATTTGTTTTAAGCACTAGAATATTTATGCAAAGTTTCAATCCATTTGGATAAACCCTCGAAGAAAAAAGTGACAAAATTGATTTTGACTAGGGTCGCCCCTAGTCCAAAATTGAAAATGTATTTCCTTCTTGCTTCTTTGCTCAAAAAAATTTTAAGATGTTTTATTTGTATTTGTTTTAAGCACTTGAATATTTATGCAAAGTTTCAATCCATTTGGATAAACCCTCGAAGAAAAAAGTGACAAAATTGATTTTGACTAGGGTCGCCCCTAGTCCAAAATTGAAAATGTATTTCCTACTTGGTTCTTTGCTCAAAAAAATTTTAGGATGTTTTATTTGTATTTTTTTTAAGCACTTAAATATTTATGCAAAGTTTCAATCCATTTGGATAAACCCTCGAAGAAAAAAGTGACAAAATTGATTTTGACTAGGGTCGCCCCTAGTCCAATATTGAAAATGTATTTCCTTCTTGGTTCTTTGCTCAAAAAAACTTTAGGATGTTTTATTTGTATTTGTTTTAAGCACTTAAATATTTATGCAAAGTTTCAATCTATTTGTATAAACCCTCGAAGAAAAAAGTGACAAAATTGATTTTGACTAGGGTCGCCCCTAGTCCAAAATTGAAAATGTATTTCCTACTTGGTTCTTTGCTCAAAAAAACTTTAAGATGTTTTATTTGTATTTGTTTTAAGCACTAAAATATTTATGCAAAGTTTCAATTCATTTGGATAAACCCTCGAAGAAAAAAGTGACAAAATTTATTTTGACTAGGGTCACCCCTAGTCCAAAATTGAAAATGTATTTCCTACTTGGTTCTTTCCTCAAAAATTTTAGGATGTTTTATTTGTATTTGTTTTAAGCACTTGAATATTTATGCAAAGTTTCAATCCATTTGGATAAACCCTCGAAGAAAAAAGTGACAAAATTGATTTTGACTAGGGTCGCCCCTAGTCCAAAATTGAAAATGTATTTCCTTCTTGGTTCTTTGCTCAAAAAAATTTTAAGATGTTTTATTTGTATTTGTTTTAAGCACTTGAATATTTATGCAAAGTTTCAATCCATTTGGATAAACCCTCGAAGAAAAAAGTGACAAAATTGATTTTGACTAGGGTCGCCCCTAGTCCAAAATTTAAAATGTATTTCCTTCTTGGTTCTTTGCTCAAAAAAATTTTAAGATGTTTTATTTGTATTTGTTTTAAGCACCAGAATATTTATGCAAAGTTTCAATCCATTTGGATAAACCCTCGAAGAAAAAAGTGACAAAATTGATTTTGACTAGGGTCGCCCCTAGTCCAAAATTGAAAATGTATTTCCTTCTTGGTTCTTTGCTCAAAAAAATTTTAAGATGTTTTATTTGTATTTGTTTTAAGCACTTGAATATTTATGCAAAGTTTCAATCCATTTGGATAAACCCTCGAAGAAAAAAGTGACAAAATTGATTTTGACTAGGGTCGCCCCTAGTCCAAAATTGAAAATGTATTTCCTTCTTGGTTCTTTGCTCAAAAAAATTTTAAGATGTTTTATTTGTATTTGTTTTAAGCACTTGAATATTTATGCAAAGTTTCAATCCATTTGGATAAACCCTCGAAGAAAAAAGTGACAAAATTGATTTTGACTAGGGTCGCCCCTAGTCCAAAATTGAAAATGTATTTCCTTCTTGGTTCTTTGCTCAAAAAAATTTTAAGATGTTTTATTTGTATTTGTTTTAAGCACCAGAATATTTATGCAAAGTTTCAATCCATTTGGATAAACCCTCGAAGAAAAAAGTGACAAAATTGATTTTGACTAGGGTCGCCCCTAGTCCAAAATTGAAAATGTATTTCCTACTTGGTTCTTTGCTCAAAAAAATTTTAGGATGTTTTATTTGTATTTGTTTTAAGCACTTAAATATTTATGCAAAGTTTCAATCCATTTGGATAAACCCTCGAAGAAAAAAGTGACAAAATTGATTTTGACTAGGGTCGCCCCTAGTCCAATATTGAAAATGTATTTCCTTCTTGGTTCTTTGCTCAAAAAAATTTTAAGATGTTTTATTTGTATTTGTTTTAAGCACTAGAATATTTATGCAAAGTTTCAATCCATTTGGATAAACCCTCGAAGAAAAAAGTGACAAAATTGATTTTGACTAGGGTCGCCCCTAGAAGGGTTTGGGGAATCTGTTAATAGAAAACAGAAAAACAGCTGTTTTTCGACAAAAATCTGTTAACAGAAAATAGGTCTGAAAAACAGATCTGTTTTCTGTTTTTCATTTTTACATAAAATGTACAGAAAAAAAAATTTCTTAAAGAACTTAATATATTTTTCTAGCATTTCAAATTGAAATGTATTTACTATTTTAATATTTTTTGGATGTTTAATAGATTTGAAATCATTATCAAACTTATGGTTAATCATTATTAATTTTGCAATCGAAATTTTAAATTTGTTGAACCTTTTGTAGCATTTACTAAAGTTTAAAAATATAATCAACAATTTTACAAGATATTTTTTTATTCAGAAAGATTTTTTGAATATTTCAAATAAAATGTTAGAGCTAATGGAACTTTTGCAATGCAACAATGCAATGTTTCTTAAAAGTATAAATATATTTTTTTGCATTTTTATATTTCATTACATGTTTTAGAGTTAATTAACATAAAAAAATAAGAAATAATAATGCTTAGCTCTAAAATGTATGCTTAACTGCTTATAACCACCAAAAAGTTTCATTATCTTAGAGAAACACTTAGGATAACTCAGTTTATTTTGAATTCTAGAAAAACAGGAAAACAGCTGTTTTTAAAAATCAAAAACCGAAAACAGACTGTTTTTCAAAAACAGCTGTTTTCCACAAACCCTAGTCCCTAGTCCAAAATTGAAAATGTATTTCCTACTTGGTTCTTTGCTCAAAAAAATTTTTTTTATCCAAAGTTTAGTTTAAAAAAAATCACAGTGAACTTTTAATTTGAAAAATTCGTAAGAAAGGAAAGTTTTTGCTTTTTCTGAAGCAACGGATGTTCCTACCTTGCCCAAAAACAATACAGCTCTTCTATAGAGTAGCACGGATCAAATGTAAAAAACTAGAAGTGTCTACGATGTCTCGTTATTGAGATTTCTTGCTGATTAACTTGCATGTTTGCTTGTTTGCTTGTTTGCTTGCTTACAGAAAGCATATTTTGCGATTTTCTCAGCAATGCCGCAACCAATTTGAAATCTGTTTTTTTGCAAAAGATGTGAAATTCAAGGCACAAACTTTTCATCACTAGACATTTTAAGCTATCTTGCTCCATATCCTCACAAAAATTTAAAAACTGATTTTTCAATCTGAACAAAACCAATAGATTCACACGTGAAAACGGTGTGAATATAAAAATTAATTACCTAGAAAATAAATAATTTTTTGTCGATAAGAATCCATTAAAATATGTATTTCCCACAAGAAACTTGTTATCCATATTGAGACAAGATACATATTAACATGTTTTTTCATTATCAATTATATCTGACGAAAGGCAAAAATAAAAGAATGACCTAAATAATTTAATTTTCACGCATTTTTTTGCATGTTCTTTGAAGAAAACCAATGTTTAAAAACTATAAACTAATAAGTTTTATTGCAAAATCTTTAAATGACCAATAATTGCACTTCTCGTTTTTCTAGTTTCTTCATTGAAGAAATAATAAATAAATTTCAAATTCTAAGAATTATGTGCAAGTCCGAAAAAGCTGATTTTCACTTTTAAATATCGATGAAAATATTATTTTTCTGTTGCAAACCAGAATTTATAAATTAAGAATCGAAAGTGTAAATTGAGACTTGTTGAGATGTCAACCTTGATTGCTTAATGGAGATTATGTCGACTGTTAATGATGGTCGGTGATGATGTATGGACATAACTGGATTTTTGTCATTGAAAATTGTAGTGAGAGAGTGACAATAAAAAGAACTTTTAAAGTCTAGTTGAGGCTATCAGAAAGTTCCCGCAGGTTCGAATCCTTTGAAATATACAGCAAATCGTAATAAATCTTTAGTACAGTATATTTTTTGAATATGCTAAGAATTAATTTAACTTTTGAACCTCTTAAAAATAAAAACTGTCACTAAGAGCACCTACACCTCTCCTTTGAATTTTCACCATGGACGTAATCTAGGAACGAATTCTGATCATTAACTGCACTTGAAATTATTCAAATTGATTAAACTTAAAGCTCATCCTTGCCTTGCTACTCGACCTTATTATTCCTATAATTACCTCAAATCAATTCTTAGAAGACTTCCAATGCAGCATCTCCATAACATATTACATCAACTGCATCATCACAACATGTGATTATAAATAAAACTCGACATCGATACCAGTTTAATATGACATTTCCAGATCATCCACGATATTATCAGAAATTTCCTGATATTCCAATTTTATTTCAACAGAAGTAACAAAAAATTCACTTGTGCTTTCCTTTTTTGAAATTCTCCATAAAATGCATGCTGAACAACAACAAAACAAATTTCTTTCTTTTTACTTTCTTCATACGATCGTTACACGCACACAACTAGAATATGAGAATTGAGAGAGACAAAACTAGTTATGTGTTGATTGTAAAAGTAGGTGAAGCATGCTCTTATATCTGTCCATAAAAATCATATGATATAGCTTAGTCTTAGATTTAATTAATTTTTAAAGAATGTTGAATGAAAATTGAAAAATTTAAATTAATTAATTTAATGAATTTTGCAGGAACAATAACTGCTAAATTACAGCAATAAAAAATCAAGATCATCTCAATCCACAATGACTTTATCTCAATAAATCCGGTTAACAAATTAATTTAAATCTGTGAGATTAAAAACAAATCCAATAGACTTAAAAATAAATCCAGCAGCTCTATGCTCCGTAAATTTTTCACTCACTTCTGCCTCTACAAAATTCACTTCAACAGAAACTGAAAAGCATGTGCATATTTAGTTGCTGTTGAGTCGTCTGATCGTTCGGATGTGAAAAATCCGTTGTAAATAAACACAAGCACACTCTATAAATTATCGGATCGTGTATCTCTCTGGTGTCCTAGAAATAATATTTTCGTTCAATATTCACTTTTTTTATGTGCAACAAGTTGTGGCTTGCTGACATACTAATTTCACACACGCGCATATTATCAGGTCGGGATTTGTTGTTGAAAGGAATTTAATTTAAGAAAGTAAAAGGCATAATTGAAAATTGAGGAACTATCAAGCACCCCCAAAAAAAAATAAAGTTAAAGTGAAGGAAGTTGAAAAATAAAATAAATCTGTTGCATAACAGGAAAGAAGATAAATTTATAGTAAGTGAAATTAACATATCATCAAGAAGATAATGCACAATAGTGCATCCAAAAGCCGTGCATGAGCGACAGAGAAATAAAAATAAAAATCAAAACAAAAAATCATGTACATAAGTGTCAGACGTAAATTGTAAAAAATTGTAAGGGGGACCCGATCCAAAAGTATATAAAAAAAATTATTTATTAAGTGTAATTTTAACTTGATAAACGGATTAACGGGAATATTCTCTCTTTTTCGACATAGTGTATGTAAATATTTGAATGCTTTAAATAAGTAAATTGGTGAATAATGACTACCTATCTGGTCAAGTGATAGTCACCTAAATATATATACAATTCAGCTCAATCTACATAATTTTTTGTTTGTATGTGAAATGCAAAATCAAAATAAAAGATAAAAGGAATGCTTTTGTGACTTTATGATCTGTAACGTTGTTGTAATGCTGGTTTGAATAATTTGAAAGGATACATAACATTCAAATAGTAAAAAAAAAGCTACAGAAAAACCAGAACACGGAATTATAGACAAAATTATATTTGGCAATTACACGACTAAATTGTCTTTTTTTTTAACGGCTGACGTTGCTTAGGCTCCAAAATTCAAGGTATGTCTAGATTTATTCTTTAATTTTACATGTATGCTTTATTTTGATCAAATTATTGAAGAGTTTTTTTTTTTGTCTGTCGAATTGGATTGTTCTTGGGATTAAATTTGGCGTGAAATATATGTGAGGAAACTTTGAACTGAGCTCTGTGATTACCTTGTGGATAAAAAGTGATTGCTTTTAAGGTATAATTTATTTTAACCAACTTGTTCACATGAATATGCAAGATTTTGTTGCACGGGATGTGAAATTTCTCAATCAAATCATTTGTTGATTTTAAGTGAAATTTAAGCAGTTCTTATTAAAATGTCTTATGCTTAATGAAGATTGATCAGTTGTTGTTTGTGAATTTGTGTTCAGATTGAAATATTTTTTGATAAATTTAAACGAAAATCATGCAATTCTGCTGATTCAATCATCTTAATTAAGTGAAGGAAGAATTCATTTAGTATTTAATTGCATTTCGTGTCAGTTATTTACGTTAATCAGCTTAAGTAAATTAAATTACAAGATGTAATTCTGGTTTTGTAAAGAATCGAAAGAATCCAAAGAATTTGAGTTTTCGAAAGAGTTTAAAAATAAAATTAAAAAACTGATCAATTCTTAAAACAAATCAAAATTCTCTTTTTTCCAAAAATATTTTGGAATTTAATCAATTTAATTAAAATCTCTTCAAAAGTTGTCACTAATCCCAAAAATTTAAGTAAAGATTGAAGAATCGAATAAAAACAAAAAAATTTAAATGCGCTCTTTTACCTGTTAACGAACCATACTAATTGAAATCTACAGATGAAAGAGTAGGAAGAATAGAAGCAAAGCAAAAAATTTGGTTCATAGAACCCATTATATTGTACCATACGTCTTGACTTACAGGCGTATCGAAACTCTTGTGTATTATATTTAACTTGTGGCATTGAAGAAATGTGTAAAATTTTAAAAAAAATAATGAAAAAAAAGCAATAAAAAGAAATTTAAAGAAGATGAGATTTCACTTTGTGCAAGAGGCTATCCTTTTTTGTCTATTGAATAAACTTGTTTCTACATGCTGCGCAATAAGGATTTTTTTTTACCTGCAATGGAGACTTCCCTCGTTCTATCTTTGTAGGAATCATCTTGTAACAATTAAAGGATCATACTTTTTTACCTCCAAAAATAAATTTTTAAAAAGAAACAGGAAAAGAAGAATCTTAAAAACATTGAAAAGTAATCTTCGTAAGTCCTAAGCGCTTGTTTACAAAGAAATACTTAAGATTAGTTCAATCCCTCAACAAACACTTAAATTAGTTTAAAAGAAAAGAAGAATCAGATAAATTGAAATTTATTTAAAGCAATAAAAACTTGAAAATATTTTCTTAATAAGAAATGTAAACTTGACACCATGTTTCGTCTACATTGAGTGTCATCATACGTTCTCTCAAGCACAGAGTTGCAGTCTGAAATATTATTCATAATTTTTTGTTTGAAATGCCAATTTTAAAATTAGTTTAGAACTTGATACTTAACATTTAGTTATTTTTAAGCCTCTTCCTATTATTATTGTTTCCAGGAAAATTCTAGCCAACAAATCATCACTAAAATGTATACTTTAACTTAATTATTAGACATAAATCATAGCTGCTTAACAAAAGTAGAATAGCAAAAGTTTTACATGTGTTTGCAACCTGAATAGACAAAAGTAGAAGTTGAATGGAAGGTTTAATAAAATAAATGGCATTTGTTTATTAAATCGCTTGTCTGATCATTTCATCGACAAATGCAATATTTTTTGCTGTTTGATCTCTATTCATACGAGATTCCATTAGTAATAGTCTTTGTTGTGCCAGGTTCGTTTAGTTATGTCGATCGGGAATGAAATATGACGATGTGTTTAAATTGAAAATTAGCTGATAATAATGCCGGCCGCAAACAATAACTCATGCCATTGGATTGTCAGTAATGACTCATTTTATGTCAAAGTCACAGTTCCAATCAATAGAAATTTCTTTTAACAAAAGTAAAACTTTATTACATCATCAAAACATTTTTTGGCTATGAAAAATTGCTCATGCATTGAAAATTCCAATTTATGGACCGTTTTTCTTTTCATTTATGAAAGCATTTCATTTTCTCAATTCATTTCCGAGTATTTAAATTTGCTATCAGTCGATCAATCTATTACTGATCATTAAAATAAATTCAATGACTTCAAAAAAAACTGCGAATGAACTCAAAAGAAGAAGAAAATCACGAAAAAAAGAACGCCGCATAGGTCAGTGGTTAATTATTGCGCAAATTAAGTCATGTTCAGCTTTTGTTTCGAATCGATTGATTGTTCATGGAAATAATCATTATTTGGCGATTGCAGATATTTTGGAGAAAAATCTAAAGTTTTACATGTTAATTTAGTTTTATTAGACAATTAATTGTTTAATGCATGAAATTATATAAATTAGATTAGCTAGCATAGCAGGAATTAGAATGTAAATACATACGTTGGCTTTAGCTCATTTATAAATAGATCTAATCATGCTTCCCATGGATTCTATTTAATAATTTGATTTTAGATATAAAGGTTAGTTAAAATATGATTTAGGAAAGTTCGGTCATAGTTTTGACATCAAAATTAGCTCTGCATGGATGTTTATTACAATTTTAAGTAAATTTGAGCACTATCTTTAGATTTGAGATTGCTGATTAAAATCTTTGTAGGAGATTTCTACAAAATACCTGTTAAAGCACTGTCTATTAAATTAATTCCAGAAAGAGATTGTCAAAAATGCTTAAACATTTAAATAAATTCGTAGACAACAAATCAGAACATAATTAAGTCATTATTGGTGAAAGTTGTTAATCAACACAACTTTTTGAGTGTTATACCGGAATTCCAATAAGGTGTGCCAAAAATTTATAGCAATTTAGAAAATGAAAGTAGAAGAAGTTGTGTTGATAAGTTATCATTAGTTTCAGCAATAATAAGTAGTTTTGAATATTTTTGTGATGATTCAAGAGAGATGTGGTCGTTCAGGAATGATTCCTATTATAAAACGGTACTATTAGACACTATCCTGCTTATAAACAAGTATTGAAGAATTCAAGAGATTTCACACACTTGATTAATGTATTTGCAAAACAAAAGGAATCGACTACCGATGTTACTGATAAGAGCTGTTTAAGATAATCGTCCAGAAAATGGTTTTTAAATTGAGATTTGTTAAACCAATTTGTAGGAAACATCTCGTATATGTATTACAATGGATTTCCTCTAGAAAAAAATTAATTTTTCATATAGAATTAACTCATATACCTTCAATAATTGAATATGAAGTACTGTCAATTTTGCATACATATTTCCATACAACCTGTTTTAAAACTCTAAACTTCATATTCATCATATTGATATATTAAATTGGCATGAATAGTAAATCAGAAATCTGTTCTAATTCGACTAGCTTCCATATAATTAGACTATATAAGAATTACGAAATCTGACATGTCAACTTGCAAATTACATACCTGAATGTTTACTAATTCGACAGATTAAAGTTTTTATTGGCAAAAAAAAAATGTAAAATAACTCCGTAGAAATTCTCCGAGTATATGTCATCTCTTAAGTAATCTCTCATTTTCTCGAGAATTCTATCGCATACATAAATATGTAAATGATCAGTGAAATAAATAAAGGTTAATAAGGTGCACTTTCAATTTTATTTATGCTCTCATATGTGAGACCAGCATTACTGACACACTTTAACGCATATTATATATTCTCCAATCTTCTTATCACTGCTGTCATAATCATCATCAATGATTTATACAAGCTTTACACGCGCTTATTATTATGCACATTGCTGTGGGATTTATTTTCCTAGATACTAAATAATTTTCAATTTTACGCAATTTGATTCACCTCTTTATAGAAATTCAAAGTTTTTAACTTTTTTTGTTTTACAATTCTTGCCCAAAAAAAATTTTGTTTCTTTTAAAATGAGAAAAAAGGAAATTAATGTGATGTAATTTATAAAAAAAAGTATACAATGAATTTTATCGTGCATACACGAGTTTTGAACCGATTACATAGATTCTGATATTGTTTGTTTCATTTACTAAAACCTTTGGTAAAGGTTTTTGTTGGAAGTTCTCTGAATTGTTATTTTTTTGGCCTTTTTGTTTTCGAGTTTAACAGAATTTAACAAAGAAAATTAAGTAAGAAAGTCGGTTAAAATTGCTTAAAAGGGTGAAAAAAAGCTTTTTAAAAATTAAAGATAGGACTGCTTTGCAATATTTAGATCAGTGCTTCATTAGCTTTACTTCACGAACAATGTGATATTTCAAAGAATTGAAAAAACTATTGTAATTAACCAAAAAAATTGCATTCAGCAGCTGTAAATTCTTCATTTGATCAGTAATTCATCAATTCTATAAATTGATCTTTACATGATCAAACATATTAATCTAAAAATTTATCTGTCCATGTTTGGTTATGAATTATCCAATAAGGCTTTTAAGATCAACAAAAAGTTACCCTCCAGTCGTTTGATTTATTTATTTTAAATTGTAGGACAATCATTTTCAATTTAGACATAATTTTATTGTGGAAACGATGTTTCTTGTATTTAGAAGCTTCTAGTTGAACATTTGATTTACAAGCTGGTACATTACCTGTTTGACTATCAAATTTCGAATACTTTTAAAAACAAAACGATTTACGAAGTCAATTCCCGCCTAAAAATATCACAGCAATTTACAATCCATAATAATTCACATTCATTTATTTCCTTGATATCAAATATTGAACTATTATTGGCATGATCATAACTTTGAATAATCCTTCTAAATTTACAATCACGAATTGCTACAGTATAGTTCCTTAGAAACTTCTTAATAAATCTCAAAGTCATTCATTCTTGCTTTACCGGATAGACTAATGAACAGACGACCATAAAATAATTGAAAACCGCTCCCAAAATGTATGAATTATGTATCACTTTGCAATCATTAAGTATTTCTTGTTGATTATTATCAAGAACAACAAGATTAACCAAGACAATGAACTGGTTCTCTTTTAAATAATGCAATGATATTCTTCAGCTTACCAATATTAATTATAAAAATACTTAAGTCTGCATTTACATTTATTTTTGAGAAACATACACTGGAAATTGCATTACTTTGCAGTCTTAATGCACATACTATCACGTTTATTTAAAAACCAGCCTTCTTATGGCGATTCGCTTGCTTTTCTTATGCAATCGCTTAACTTATATATTTATGCTACAAATTGTTGTCAATCAATGCATGTAAATAGCCTTTTTATATATTTACATGCGCACACATAGGCGATTTACTTTATACCATGCAAAACTCTTAATTTAGATGATGATGATAAGCAGTTCATGTCGATTTGTTGAAACGAGAAAAAGAGGTGATATATATTAAGGCAATAGGTCAACAGGTTGATGAACATGACAAGCATATAATGCAATGAGAGAAACGTGCAATGACGGCAAGATCAAGTTAATTTTCTAGATACATGGCACAATTTCTTCTTGCTCTCTCATACCGTACCGGTAAACTATATGCTGCTTAAATTTCTCGCACTTACTAAAGTTTAAATTACGTAATCATGTATAATGATTATTATGACTGTGAAATCACAGAAAAAAAATGTGAACCGCGGTCTAGCAAAAGTAGCCTCTTGTTCATTAAAATTAAAAAAAAACTGAACATTGCGATGCACACACAATTAATATTAAAATCATTTTGAAAAACTCTTTCATTTGCTTTTAATTCTCTTCTTTTTTGCTTCATTCAAATATTATTATTATTTTGAAAATTAAACGTTTTGTACCAAATTGCATTTGCTCGATCGATCGTCAATGTTATGTAATTAATGGTCGGCAATTATGTTACTCGCGAATTTTTGTAAAGATTTGTTTACAAAACTATTTTTTGCATGTGTAGTTTATCCGAATCAGGTGTTGAAGATGTGAAAGACCAATAAGTTGGTAACGTGAAAGAGAATTGAAGACCTTGAGGTTTATTTGATGTTATCGGTAGTTGCATTAGTTTAATAAAATTGATTTTGAAGGAGTTTAAGGAACTGGAAATCAAAAATTACATAAAATGTCTTTGGCTGATAAGATTTATTTGAAGTAGCATTCACTAGCTATTTTTATTTTTTGATCAATTCGTGGTTTCCTTAGCATAACCTTTAAAGTTTAGACCTACAGTATAATCTTATTTTAAACTCTTTGTTATAGTATTTTTTGTGGCACTTAGACGAAGACTAGAGTCAATGAAAAAATTCGAAATTGCTCGCATAATAATTTTCAATCAAAGCATCTGAAACTGCTGTCTAAAAGTGATTTCATGTCATTCAATACACTGATCACTAAGAGTATACAATTCAGGTATTGAGTTCTTGCTTAATCAGCTTAAGACTAAGCAACAAACCAATTCAATGTTCCTCACATGTTTATAAGGATATTCTAGTCACATACTTAATTAATTAAGTTTTTAATAGAAGGCAACTTTCATCGAAATAACCTTACAAAAAATGTTATAATTTTCACTGCCTGAAGTTACTCTCAAATTTTATCCGACCTAGGAAGAGATAATAATCTTAATGGCAAATTGCATTAATTAGATCACTTGCAGCAAGACAATTAAACTATTTATAAATTATTAGCTAATTGCAAGGTTTATTGCCTTTGGTGTTAAATTCACCAACCCCAAAAATATTCAAGGAAGCTTGTATGATAATTCCATCCGTATTTTTTGTGTATCTAGTCTAGTCATTACACAATTTCAGACTTCGTGTGTTTTGATTTGAGCAATTCTGTTCAATTATCCACATGATCATATTTTGAATTTTGATCTTATAAATTGTTCATGTACTAAAAATTCAATTAACTTCAATCATTGATGAAAATAAAGCAAATGTCTTAATAAAGTAGACTTCAAATTTGTCGGCAGGATTTCAACTTCTCTAAAACAACAATAATTATAGCACATTACGTGAAGGACGTAATTAAAACATGGGTTAATTCTTATGGAATGCAACATGAGATGTAGAAACAAATTTGACATTCCAATTCGACGTTTTAATTTCAGTTCCTTTATTGTATAATAACAAGTTTAAATTATTCTAATTTCTTCCTTATGTACTTTTTTTGTTTCATTACAGATGACTTGTGGAGTTTCCTGGGTAGATAACACACTCAACAAAACATTTTTCAAATTAGGAATATTTATTGCAAAAAATCCAGGATATTTCCTTATAGTGCCAGTACTTTTAGCTTTTTTATGTATAACTGGGTAAGTTTCTTCGACATTTTAATCTGCTTTATTGGAACAGCTTTTTTTTTTGCAAGAGATCATTTGTCAGTCTTTATAAATTTGATTAGCTTGTGGATAGATACACGTTTTTGGCTCTTGACAAATATTACCAATCAAAAAACTCAATTTGATTTGGGTGTTGTAAATTTTTTAATGCGGAACAAAATTTACGTCAAATTATTAAGCTTTTTTTTTTTGTAGTTGAATATTATAAAAATTATAAACAGTTGTTGTTTGATGTCTGTGATATTGCCAAACTCTTGCAAAAAAAAAATATTTAATGAGAACTGATTGATATGTATTCGTTTTTTAAGGAACATGAATTAGATTAATCCTTTAAATGCCTTTAGAAGATTAGCTCTTGAAGCTTATCCAGAATATCTATTAAACTTTGTTTAACACTTCTAAAGATTTTAATCAATACGTCCGAAAAAGTCTCAAAATTCCAGCAATGCAATGTTAATGACATTTCCAATGGAATTCTATTCAAACCAGAACTCCATATTGACTACGAGTCGATTCAACTCAAAAAATAAGTTGTTTCTTAAGTTGATTAAGTCAACTTCAAGATTTGGTTCAAATAAAAAATCAAATAAAATCTTTTTATAGAACTAGCTAATAATAATCGATTTAATAAGATTAATGATTGAAAGTTGATTCATGAAGTTTGACAACATGTTCTGCAAAACTTCATTTATAGAATAAGAGATAAAAACAATCAAATATCGTTGACATAATTTTTAATTAATTTCTTTCTTCCTTTTCAGATTTCAACAAATCAAATATGAGATAGATCCAGAGTATTTATTCTCGCCGATTAGCGGTGAGGGCAAACATGAACGTAGAGTAGTTGAAACATATTTTAAAGTAAATTATACTCACCGATTCAACGTTGAACGAGTAACAAGGCCAGGTATGATAGAATATTACTTACCTATATATTCATACGAACAGTAGACTGTTAGATGCTTATAATTTATTAATTATGCTACTATTATACACACAATTATCGATGTATTAACACATACAATAATCGTTTTCATCAGTAGCTTCTAATTTTGTGTTTTTTATGCGATGCAAATTTTTATTTCAATATTTTCTCGATTTATTGCTGTAGAATATTTAATTGTTATTTTCATCATATACAGTTATACAACTTAAACTAATAATCATCATCTTTAATTATGTTACAAAAATCCACGTGGCTTGAAATATTCGCAAAGAATTAGTGCAAATTTTAATTAATATCCCTCATCTTGATCAAAATAGGCTCACAATTGATTCAAAACTTTGTATGAGAATAATGAGCTACATTTAAATGCAATTCATTGATTTACGAAGTTATTTTGTGGATTCCCGAGCAATAAAAATTGATAGTCAATAGATTTTAAATAGCTTTTAAATAGATTTATGATAAGCTGTCTGACCCACTATGGACAAATGCTAAAAGCTTTTATGATATAACATGAACTGCATTATGCTCTTTTGAAGTTCCCACATCTGAAGATGCAGCATTAATTTTGAGTTACGCACCCAAAGTCTATTTCAATAAAATTAACCTAATCTATCACTAGATTGTACTTAATACCCTTTTCGAAAGACATGTGGGCACCACGAAATGCCACAACACATTAAGCTGATATAATCATCGGGTTTAATTTCACTATTCGAGTGAAATATCAAACTTGCATGTGAAATAAAGTATGAATAATGCAAGACTCATTGCTCGGGAATTCATGAGCATTAAATCAAAAATAATGTCGAAATATCGTAAATAATTAAGACGTATTATCAATTCAATTGTGGTTTTGTAACTATAGACAAGATTTACATCCTAATCGAGTGATACTTTGCAATTTAAATCAAGAGAGAAATTTTAATTAAGAATATTTTGAGTTGCCCAATCTTTAGTCATATCTTGCATGTGTAAAATTGAGCAACAGAATTTTATCTCATTGAATACCATTTAATCAGCTGGAGAATATCTATGAAACAGATCATTGAGAAACGTTAGAATAATTTGCAAGTATTCATGAAAGCTAGAAAAATTTATTTTTCCGCTAATTCTGAGGTTTTTAAAGCCGTTTTGTGTGTGAAATAAATTTGAAAAATTATTGCTAATTAAATTCGATGCACTAACCTACCTCAACAACAGAGGCGTAGCAAGGGGCATGTGATTGATGCAACCAGTCGAACTAGTTGAGTTATAAAACTAACCTCTGCTGAAAAAAGTCCAATTTTGCTTCATCACAGCCTATAAAGATTTCAAACTTTATTGTTTATGTTTTCGACAAAGTCATTGAGAATTATCAGAATTGATTAATCTCTAACTTTATGCTAGATAGGATATGGCTTAAATTTAATAAAAAGGTCAACGATACTTATGAGACATTCACTTCCTCACTCAGAACAATAAGATTATTTCTACAAAATTTATTAGCTTTAATAAAATAATTTTGTTCCTATTAAGTATGTAACAAATCTGCATCATCGATGTGATTTTTGGCATTCTCTTGACCGAACAAAGTGAAATATTTCAATGCAATCTACACACATTTTTTTATACTTTATTTTCATCATCAATGCTTTATAAAAATTTCCATTGAGCTTCTATTTTGTTTTATTTTTATGCAACAAAAGTCAATAGAAAATAATGCATTAAATTAAATTAAAAAGCGGCAGCAATTAAATACTTTATAAAGAAATCTTTTATAAGCAATAGTTTATAGACATCACGTGGTCAGTGCGGTTTTGTTTTGTCTGTGAAAGAGGAAAAAATTGTTGAAATAATTTCCATCAGTCAATAATGTCTTTGAGCTTCCTCTAACTGGCTTAACTAGTGCTGTAATAGACAGTTTCATTACTGAAGATTGCATATTAAAAATGGCATAAAAAGTTTCATGGCTGCTTGTGGATTGTTGTGCAAATTTTTCAAACTGATGTCATGTGATGGATTTTGGGTGCATGGAATATAGTTGAGGTAGTTTGAGTGACTATTGATGATTCTACTATGATTTATGTTTTGATACAAATCTAGCAACTTAATAAGCACAGAGGATGTTCATTGATCCTAAAACTAAGAGTAACATTACCTCAATTTATTATTTTTTGAGCTTTCCGGATCTCTAAATCAAATCATAACTAGGAATTTCCATGAAGCAATCTTCACAAAGATTAAGATATCAATAGCCACTCCAAATATGTCAAAATATCCATTAAGCTTAACCTACCACAAAATTGACCCATTTACATAAATAAATGATCATAACATAAATGCGCTGAAATTTAACTTCACACATGTCCCGTGCTTACTCCATCAATTTTCATTCATCTTAAAAAAAAAGTGAAAAATTACCTTATGCTGCCACAAACTTGATGATTTTTATGATTCAATCTCATGATCATTATTGTACTTATATAATGACATAAGACAAACAAATCTTGTAAAAAGGAATTAAAATGATCAATACAAAATAGCTGCAATCCAAAAATACACACGTATTTTAGTATTTGGTCGACAATGGCCATTTAAAGGCATTACATATCGTTAACAGCTGATGATAATAGCACAAGACTTATGTGAATCGTAAAGAAATGAGTGAATGAAAAGTTAAGTTTTGTGTTTGTTGTTTATCATAAAAAAAATGAAAGAAAAATAAAAACAAGCCATTTTCTTGAACTTTCTAATTTTTTACATGCTTCACTTGCATGCCGCTTCTTGAAAAATCAATTTTCACCATATATTAATATAGCAACAAAAAAAGTTTTGCTGTGAAGATAATTGTTAATTAACCCGGTATGGACAGGTTTGCGTACTTAGAGGAATTTAATTTCATAAAAATGCCGGAGTGAGCCAATGGAATTGATGAGTCAATATTTTGATAGAATACATCAACTTATAAGCACATTAACTTATTGGCACACCTTCAAGAGAAATGTTAATCAACCATCAATTTTGTAAAGAAATGATTTGCGGCAAATCGCAATATTTTTGGGAATCCCATTACCACACAAACTTTACAGTTCATTCAAAACAACATCTTTAATTATGCTTAAGTGGAATATGTATATAAATAGGTATTATATATGAGCTAATATGATGAAATGTCTCGAGTGAACACGTTTGAAGCTAAGGTTCAATGAATTCATTCACTTCTTCGCGATATTTATCTAATGTAAAGTCATTACGAGGTGTTTACAGCTTGAATAATTGCAAAAAAAAAGCAGAGATACTTAAACAGTATTGACATATTTCTATCTGAGGTTTTTGACTTGTCATGCCCACTTTAATGATCTTGACTTGGCTAAAATGATCTGTTGAATCTCATTTTTGGATAATAAGTAAATTGAGGAGTCTTCTGAATATGATGTTCATCCAAAGTCCATCCTAGCATTGTTATTACTGTTAGTTTGCTCTAGTGTTTCGTTACCAATTTCAACAATGATCAAGATACAAGAACCGATAAGTATCTATCCTTGTATGCTATATGACATTGCTTCTCAAACTACAGTCCACGACACACTTACTTGTCATTAAAAACGTTCGCGACGCAAGATTTTAACATTGCATTAGGACTTTATATATCTCTGTTCAAGTGATTTAAGAACCACTAGTATTTGCAAAAATGCTTTAGATGCAACATCATTAGCAAATGATTCCAAATAATTATTATTAATTCCCGTTTATCGACTTCATCCCAAACATTATCAAGTGCTGCTACGAAAACCTTTACATCCATTCTTTGCTTCTTATCGTTTAGTCAATTTTCGCAGTAATTGTGTGACCTCTTGCCAGCTACGCGTCATCTTTACAGTTTATTTTGAAAAGAAATTTTTTTATTTTATCTTTCGAAACTGAGCAAAAAAAATTCCATTTCATTCATTTCTTCATGCTAAGTTTTATATGGGGCAGGTTATTAAACATCTTAACATCTTCTCTCATGTGAAGGTGATGAGAAATGATTTTTTATTTATACATGTGTATATAAATATATCCAAAAATATGCTCGAACCGTTATCTGATCCACAAGAGAGCGAAAAAAAAAATTAAATGCTTTTGATCTTTTTTGTGTGATTTTTGGTATTTAATGACAATTTCTGGATGTTTTCCATTCTTTGCTGTTTTATGACTAGAAAGATTCACCTTAATGAATACGTACGGATTTATGGAATGATGATGATAGTGATGATAGCTCCAAAAAATAGATAATTAGCCAAAAACAGTTTGAACTCTCAAGCAGATGTTCAGACATCATGATATTGCTATGAATTTGATTTGTTGAAGTTAATACTCCGTGCAAACTCTTTATTGGACATAATATTTCAGAATTTTAACATTAGTTGTTTAACTGCTTGAAAAAATCCGATTACTTATGGACTTGTGCTATATTTCTTCGCGAGAAAATTAATATCCAGATTTAGCAGAGCATGTAATGTTGTGTGCAATTGGATACAAGGCATAAATGCATAATAATGAGGGCTGAAAAATCTCAGAAGACGATTTTTTGACTAACTTTGTTTATTTGAGAATTAATTTTTGCAAACTTGAAAAAAAAATTGTGCATAAGGTTGGCAGTAATGACAAAAAAGAGCTCAGACCTCTGAATCCCAAGAAATTATAATCGTTCGTGATTGTTTACTGGTCGATATCTAGCTCATTCACTTATTTTGCATTTTTTTATTTGAATCTCTATGATGACACTTACTGATCAACAGAATTTAAATTGCACACCTCATCCAAGTAAAACTTAAGCGAGCATTCAACTTTCTTTTGAATTTAATCACCAAGCTTAAAATCAATTAACCTTGAACTGATGATCGGATAAATAGTTATCGAATGCTCTTTGTGTTTAACATCGCAAGACTTATTAATCCTCTTAAGTAATCGAAATGATCATACGCTCATATAATTCGATGACTTAATTTTCTTATATTTGTATCTTTGCTCTCAATTATGCTGCTGTTCTCATAAAGTTATTGGGACAATAAAGAGATTATCATAGTGTGCAGTTTTTGTTTGTAAGCTTTTCAATCCTCTTGAATCAATCTGTATATTTGAATGAATTTTAGCATTTTATCTGCGTGTTTATGTAGATCTCTTGCTGAATTTAAATAAGTTTAATTTTGAGGTCTTTAAAATCCTATTCACCTAGATTTTGGAAAATAAAAACTTTCTTAAAATTTAAGCATGTGACAGAAGCTACAAAATAATTATTTTATTGCCCTAGATACCTTAATACTTAATATTTCTATATCTGCTTATCATTAACAGGAAGATTTGGTCGAGTGATAATTGTAGCTAAGGATGATGATGAAAATCTTCTACGCACATCAGTGTGGAGTGAGCTTCGAAAGCTCGATGATATAATCCAAAATACCACAGTGGATTTCGATGGAGAAACATTCAGCTACAAAGATATTTGTGCAAAATGGGAGAATGAGTGCTACACCAATGATATTTTAAATTTGGATTACATATTGCCAGAGGTAAATAAAGTTAAATTATCGGCTGAAGGCTATCTTGAGCCCTCGATTGTTTTTATGGTTTTTCAATTATAATGTAGGCTAAAGTTTTATAGCTAGAAAATACTGTTGAATTTCTAAGTTCAATTAAGGGTCTTTCATAAATGATGTCAATTAAAAGTTGGAAGTCCTGAAATCCTAAACTATAGAATGTTATTACTTCCCCTTAACTCATGATTCCTCTCGTTCTAAAATTGTGTATGTCATTTATGAACGACCCCATGAAACAACTAATTTCTAATGTCTTTAAAGGTTGAAAGTGGCAACTTATCGCTTTCATGGCCAATTATGTTGAATCCAGTTAGCTGGGATGGTGAGTGATGCAATCATTCAAGTCATTTGTTGTCGTCGTTACTAACTTAACAATTTTATAAATTATAGCACATGCATTTCCCGTATTTTTCGGTGGAACAAAAGTTAATGCCGATGCAACATACATCGAAAGCGTGCCATCACTTCATTTAGTTTATTTTGTTACGGCAGATACAAAGCGTCAAGATGCTAAGTAAGTGATAATCTATGTCTAATAATGCCATAAGTGGTGTTAATAATGTTAATAAATATTTCACAGAGGTGCCGCATGGGAAGATAAATTTTTGGACACAGTCGGCGAGTATGAAGAGACGGGATACTTTAAACACATTGCAGTTGCAAGATTTGCATCCCGAACACTTGATCATGAACTGGAAAAAAATACGAGAACTGTCATTCCCTATTTTGGTTCCACTTTCATTTTGATGGCCGTATTTAGGTATGTGTTGTTATTTACGCATTTCTCACTTCCGATTTTTTTTGCGACAAACTTTAAAAATGTGAAAAACATGTTTCTTATGTCTTTTTTTCCACAGTGTGCTTACGTGCATGATGGGTGACACAGTTAGATCAAAACCATGGTTAGGTCTGTTAGGAAATGTAAGTGCTGTCATGGCTACTTCTGCTGCCTTCGGTCTAGCAATGTATTTGGGAGTTGAATTTATCGGAATCAATTTAGCAGCGCCTTTCCTTATGATTGGTAAGTCATGACTTCCCTTTCAAATTGAATGATTTTTTTTCTGCTGTTTATTTCCTTGGAGCCAAAAAAAATGTATCACGTAATGGCTGTTCTTCTTACTAGTAAAATTAATTACCATAGTTTACTGGACGGCGTTTTGAAAGCGAAAAGAATGCAAATTATAGCAAGTAATTTTAAACAAACTTCTCTCTAATTTCTGAAGCACATTATACGATTTAATTGACTACCTTGTTGCTGCTGAAAACTGTATTTATATTTAAATACTTCTATTGCTCTCACTCACATTCATCTGGTCATTTCAATTTACATGAGAGCTAATCGGTTTGCGTCTTTGAAATACACCATCCGAAATTGCATAATTAATTCATAAACCTACACAGGCATGCATTTGTACGTCATATGTCGATATGTCGAGGCAATATTTTGAAATAATTTTTTTTTGCTACCAAGAACTAATTGATATTGCGATGACTATAAAGAGTAGTGTAACAGCATTAATGCAAGGACAAAAAATTATTAAGAAAATTAATTTTTAATTTCTATAAATTTTAAAGACCTTCCTCAAATGTATATGCACTTTTTTTACTTCGGGTTTTTTTTGCGATTGCTGAATGTGATACTGAATGAAATTATTGAGAGGGGTTGGACATAAATCATGGGATTTTGTGTTCTGTAAAATTTAATATTTTGGTTCCGTTTTTGATTCATGAGCGAAAATAAAAAAATTCTCTGTGGTTAGGATACTCAAAGGAGCTATATTGCGATGTATCCCAGATTAAAACGAAAGCATCTTGGTTGCATGGTTGGTACCATTACATTTATCTTAATACATTTCTCAATTTAAAGTGATATCTACTTGACATTCGATCAGCTTAAAAGTTAATCTTCAGCATCTGAGACCTAAAACCATAAAATTCTTTAGGCTTGAACGCATCATTCATTCCTCGCTGAGGATTAACTCCTACATACAAAAATACTTGTCTTATTCAGCAGCAACAAAATTTAATAAATTCCAACAACTTAAAACTATCGAACAAACATCCAACCCCGAGCAAATTGGCATGTGTCATTGCATGAATTTAACTTATCTCTCCAAGTATGTGCGAATGAAAAAAATCAAGGAAAATATTATTTTAATAATCTTTATTACATTTTTTTATTATGACAAAATCTTTAAGCTACAAAACACTTGAATGGTGCAATTTTCCAAACAATCAAATCCTCTAATTGCAGTATCATAACAGCTTTATTAAGGTGCGCGCAGTTCGTTTAGACGCACTTAATTTTTTTCAAATTTTCCTTTAATAAACACTATTAAGACAAAAACTATTTTATGTGTTTATAGCTGTGACCAATTAGGTTATAAATATAATAAAAGTATCTGACTAAATGCTTTGCTTAAGTAATTAAAATAATTTTTTCAAAAATTACAACAACAAAGTGCGCAGTTCGTTTAGACGCACTTTGAAAAATCTAAAATTTTGTCTTATTTACGTTTCGTAGAAAACTTAATCGTTTCTAATATTAATCTATCAACAAAAACGAGTAATTACTGAGGGTTTTAGAATTTTCCATCAAGTTTTTCCAGAGATTTTCCTTCATTAAAGTTTTCATGTTGCAAAAATTTTGATAAATTATTTATCCAATAATTTTGCGTTAAATTATTATTCTTTTAACTGATTTCCATAGATAATTGTCCATAATATTAGAAAATTAACAGATATTTAAGCTTTCTTCTAAGTATAAGGCGAAAATATGTGAAAAATATAATTATGGTGAAAAATTTCCACCACTCTCATAGATTAATCAACAAATTTTGACAAAACTGTAGATACCATAATAAATTTGAATAGACCAGCTTATTTATCGTATTAAACTTAGTTAAAAACAGAAAACTGCACAGCTCTATGGCTAATGGAACTTGAAAATTTTACTGAAAAATTAAGTTGTGGTGAAAAAATTCACCATAGAAAAATAAAATTTTAAAAAAACAATGTCTAAGGTTTTAATTCATGTTTTAAATTGATTAATTTTGAGACAGAAACACTTTTACAACCTAATTTAAATGAAACAATTGCCTAAAACAACGTTTTTTAAAATTTTATTTTTCTATGGTGAAATTTTTTCACCACAACTTAATTTTTCAGTAAAATTTTCAAGTTCCATTAGCCATAGAGCTGTGCAGTTTTCTGTTTTTAACTAAGTTTAATACGATAAATAAGCTGGTCTATTCAAATTTATTATGGTATCTACAGTTTTGTCAAAATTTGTTGATTAATCTATGAGAGTGGTGGAAATTTTTCACCATAATTATATTTTTCACATATTTTCGCCTTATACTTAGAAGAAAGCTTAAATATCTGTTAATTTTCTAATATTATGGACAATTATCTATGGAAATCAGTTAAAAGAATAATAATTTAACGCAAAATTATTGGATAAATAATTTATCAAAATTTTTGCAACATGAAAACTTTAATGAAGGAAAATCTCTGGAAAAACTTGATGGAAAATTCTAAAACCCTCAGTAATTACTCGTTTTTGTTGATAGATTAATATTAGAAACGATTAAGTTTTCTACGAAACGTAAATAAGACAAAATTTTAGATTTTTCAAAGTGCGTCTAAACGAACTGCGCACTTTGTTGTTGTAATTTTTGAAAAAATTATTTTAATTACTTAAGCAAAGCATTTAGTCAGATACTTTTATTATATTTATAACCTAATTGGTCACAGCTATAAACACATAAAATAGTTTTTGTCTTAATAGTGTTTATTAAAGGAAAATTTGAAAAAAATTAAGTGCGTCTAAACGAACTGCGCGCACCTTATGACTATTATGCTGTACTTCTTATGTGCGAAAAATCATTTGTATTATTTGGCATCATAAATGGATTTCCAACTGTTCAAAAATCGAAAAACAAAAGGAAAAATCCATTAAGAACTTTCCATATGAATGCATAGTTAATTGAGCTGTAAATTGCTGTTTAGGAAGATTTCACAATCGGTAGATTTACTTGAACTGCAAAGCCTTGATTCATCCAAATAAAAAAAAAACTTGCCTAGACTGCGAATGAATCTTGCATTGCAATTAAATGAAATGTAAAAAAATGTGTGCTGAATGAATGTCAATGTAACTTCTCAGTTTGTGCTGATGAAGATCACCAGTCAATGTGAATATGCTTATCTGCGGGATGATACAAAAGTTTTAAATTGATTGATTTGAGAGTCAAGGACGCAATTTATTAAAGTTAGAAGATATGCATCACTTAGTCATAGACTTCTGATTTAAGATAATTTCAATATCTCTAGATGCACTTCTGCCATGTTCATAATAGAGAATTTGCATTCAAATCACGTGTCTGTCGCTTATTTTGTTCTTTGCTTCGAAATCGCAAGTCATTAAAGTGTCAACAAGTTTAAAGTACCGGAATTTCCCAGAATTAGGTGTCAAAAATCCTTGCGAGCCAAGCAAACAACAATTTTCATTGTGCCTTTGTATATTTTTACTGCAATTCATTGTTGTATGCAAACACAATAGTTACTTCCATGTTATCAAGTGAAATTAACATCGAAACTAGAGTGGAAACAAATCTTCATTTTCCACAAAAGTAGTCACTCTAACAACCAGAAATACAGACATTCAGCCAGATAATTTCCGTAGTAAAATGATTTATTAATTAATAAACCGCTTAATGGTTGATTTGAAAGTGAAACTTGAATCTTGTTCTCATATTCTTGATGACAAATTCACCGTGAACTCCTTCAGCATCTCTTGTTTTGCGTGTGGTATGAGAGACATAAGATTGTGAATGTCAAATTTCACTTCATCTTATGTTTATATACATTTTCTTGTGTCATCAATGACTGACTGAATATGTAGGCCAATAATAATAATATTATTATTAATTAATTAAAGTTAACATAACGTTTCACTCTTTCTCTTCATCAAAATATATTTCGTTATTTACTCATAAATTCACAAAATAATTTTAATTACATTTCGGAATATTTCTTGTTGAGTTAAAAAGCCGAGTGAATAAATTTAATGCGATTTTTCACTTCTTATTACATTTCTTCATCATTTCAACAGTTGAGTAGAAAAATCGTAAATAATGCAAAAAATAGAAATTGAAGAAATTATTATGCCACATACTTTTCGCCAGTAAAGCCTATAGCTTCTGTTGTTTTTCAACCTTGACTTCATTTTCATTTCTTGCATTTCAATTTTGATTTTTTGAGCAAATTAAATTAAACTTTTTGTTTTGTTTCAAATGCAATTTTAATTCCAATACGTTCGTTGCTCTTCCACATGATACAAAACTGTTATATATCAGTAAGTTTACGTGCTATGCTTACTTATACACCTCATTTATCAACAATTCATCTGCTTGAGGCATCAACAGTTTATGGCCCTTTGTTTTGCAGTTCCTTTCATTAATGTAGATGTCTCTCTTGCATTTGATTGTCAAGGACACGCGAGAGTATTGCATTGAAAAACGAAAGTTAGTCATATGCAGCTTTTATTTTACGATTGCATGAGATCATTCAACAGTTTCTGCATTATATTTTCTGCTAATTTATAGAAAGAGAAATAAAAAGTTAAGTGAAATTTATATGTTGTTGGATTTGTAGATCTTGGTTTGATTAATGAGATATTGATTAACAATTATAATGATAGATTAGTTTTAAAAAAAAACCTTTAAACGGAAAAGAAGACAGCTATAAGTTGTTAAAATTGGCAAAATCATTAAAAAATTGTAAAATTTCGTTATTTCATAATTTTCATCAGAAATCAATTAAATTAAAAAAAAGTAACTGTATTTAAGTGCTTTAGTAACTTAATTTTCAAATTATACATAAAAAGCTTTTCCATTTTACGAGATTTAATATACGCGCGAAATTTTCACGAGTAAAACATCAACAAACACTTATCATGTGTACAAATTTCATCAAAACGATCTCTCAATTTAAAAGATTCCAGAACAAAATGATGAGCAATTTGCATCTAAATGGGCAATTCCACGGATGAGTGGAATTCAAGAAAAATGAATTGCAATTCTTCTTCTACTTGAAAATTTAAATTTTATAAATACGTTAAATTTTTTTAATATAAATTTCATCTTTCTTTAAAATTTAATCACAATTCGTCGTTATTTACTTATTTTAACAAATTTTGTTGTTTATACAATATTAACTTGATATTTTTGACAAAAAAATGTCCACTATAAGATCAATTAAATACAGGGAAAGCTTGAAACAACCAGAAAATCGCGAAAAGTATGAACAATATCTACTGAGAAGAAAAAAGAACAACCAGAATTACATCCATAAGCAACTAATGAACAAAAAGACAGCAAAAGTATTCATAAGGAAGCAGCAGCAACGAACAAAGAAATGTAGAGACAGAAAAAAATCGAAAAATTCTAAAGGACCAATAGAATCGGCATTTCCATCCATTTCCGCTCGTTCAAAAGCAGTTATTAAGGCACAGAAATCACTTCCAATGGTCTTAAATAAAAGAAAAGAAGTCGTAGGCATTCTCGCTGAACGTAATGGCATAACAGAAATGAAATCAAAAGTTTTAAGCATAAAACCTCGCAGAGGATTCCCTGAAATTGAATTGTGCTTATTTCTGCTCTAAAATTGAATCGAAAAATAACTTCTATCAAGCTGAATAAATTCTTGATTTAAAATAAAATTTAACGTATTATTGAATTTTGAATTTTTCAAAACTATTGATAAGACGCTTTCTGTTGTACTATTACAAAAAATATTGTCAAATTTTTGATTTTTCTCTTAATTAAGCAATACTAATGTGAATTTAAATATGGAGAATGATTAAATTTGATAAAATGCACAGGATATTAAGATTGAATAGACGTCTAGATGTTTAGAAAGGATAAAAATTCGGCTCACAAAATAAAAATTCCACTTTTTGTAATAGTACAACGCTCAGAAAAAGTCGAATATTTCATTAATTTAAGCATTTAGAAGGACGCAAAACAACCATAACGGAAGAATTTACCGTTTTACATAAGTTTATTTAGTCATTGAAACGTCTTTGTTGCTGAATATTGAGAAAAATTGATTTAAAGACGAATTTTTTGAAAAAATCAATCCGTGGAATTGCCCAAATGTGAGTCGGATATTGATAAACAAAACGACGACATAAATGATGAAAAAAAAACGCAGTGAATATCGCAATTTCTTGTAAACATTCACGAATAGTTAATAAGCAATTACAATACAAATGATGACTTTATTTTGTAATCACATGACTTACGATTAGTGTCAGTGTGCAATCGATATGTTATTAACAATAATAATATTAAAATGATGACCTCCAACAATGCGAAGCAAGTAGTATTGGCGTTGATATCAGTCTATTAATTAAGTATATGGATGGTCTTACGTGCAAGAAATAATAAGAAATGCAGGCATTCTTACTACACACATTACTGCACATACCAGTTTTAGTGAGTTGCATTCATGCTTTCTAAATTACACATTAGCGTCAAGAGTAAAACTTTTTAGGTTTAAATAGCCGTAAAGCAATTCAAACAGTTAAAAAATACTTTATATGCTGCAGAAAATAAAATCGCAAGTAAACATAAAAATTGAATGGAAACTTGGAAGATAGTCTCGAAGTAAATGAATTAAAATGAAAATAATTTAAATTCATTGAAGCGGTAAATCTCACTGATTTGTTGTGTAGGCACAAAAAATGTTTATTTGCTACTGTTTTATTTATTTAAATAAGAACTGCTTTAGAAACTGAGCAACACTTTTATGATTAAATGCTGCTAAGGTCATTGCAAAGGTTTCCTATCTCACGTGTGTTTCTGAAAAATACTAAAAATTCATAATAGCATTCTCTTGCTAAACAGCAGCTAATCTTGCATTCTATGGTTGGATGCTATGCAACTTTTATTTCCCTATCCGAACAAAAAAAAAATGAACAGCTTAATTGAGATTTATTTCAAGTACTTAAACTCAACCTTTTTATCTATTTTTTAATTTAATTAGGTATTGGAATTGATGACACGTTTGTGATGCTGGCCGCATGGCGTAGAACATCCGTAAAACTATCAGTGCCTGAACGAATGGGACATACTATGTCAGAAGCTGCCGTCTCTATTACAATCACCTCATTGACTGATATGATTAGTTTTTGGATGGGTATTTTCAGTCCATTCCCATCGGTGAGGATTTTCTGTACCTACAGTGCAATGGCTGTAGCCTTCACATATTTATGGCATATAACATTCTTCGCTGCCTGTATGGCTGTTTTTGGATATTTTGAACATCGAAATCTACATGGACTGTTTGGATGTGAGGTTCAACCGGTCTCTGTTGCAATTAAAGGTATGAATTTTTTTAAATCATTTCCTGCACTTTTTATTTCTCATTAGATTTGTTTCATGCATGTGGTTAGCTGAGAGTTGACAATTATAAATCATGTGGTAAAAGAGTGATATTTTACGCGACTTTAACGCGTGCTTGATTTCTAATTCTTTAAAATAGTCAGATAAAAAAGAAATTTCACGAGTAAAATCCGTAAAAAGACGTGCTATTCGGAATTAATTTACGTTTATTGATTTAAATAAGATAGACGAGGTCGTAAATTTTTCAAATAACTTAATATATCGTAAATTTTCATTTTTCAAGTCAATGTTCAGCCTAGTCAAGATAAAAATTTCATAACTTTTATAATAAAGAATATATAACGGATTAACAATTTTTAAATTTTCAAAAGTAATTATGTAGTTGCAAGCCCCTCAGAATATTTTGTTTTTATTTACTATGTTTCTAGAATTCTGTGAATCATTGGAATAAACTTTAGTTTAATTATTAGACACACATCATTGCTGTTTAGCTAATGTAAGCTAGTTAAACTAAGCACCATTATACAAAAATTCAGGGAAATCACAAATAAAACTTTAATTACTGATTGATACCTACGTATTTATCGAAATTCTTTAATTACTCTATTAACCATTAAACGCAAGAACTGGCTACAGGTCATTCTTCTTGGCCAACCTATCAATAAATTTACTTACCTTGAAAGACAATTTTGAGTATAAAAAACAATTATAATTTTAATTCGATTGAATTTACTGCTTTCTGCCACACATTATTTTTTAAACTTTGCTAAATCATGCAATACAGATACAAAGAGTAGCTAGGTATATCTTAAGTAAAATAACATGTTTGCATTGCATTTTTTTTCTAAAACCGCTTTGACCTGCTGCTGTTGCTACTACAACTATATCACTGCTCTGATAAATTTAACTTTAATTAAATGAAGTTTTTTGAAAGTTGATTGAGGAAAGAATTTTGTACATTTTAAGCTTGCTGTTCAATAATTATACATCTGTCTAATTATTTAAGTAAAAACAAGTTCATTTCCAGCGATTTTAATACCTGCATGAATATTTTGGTTCCTTAAGTCAAAGTCTGAAAAGGAAGAATTTGACAAGTTAATAAGTTTACAAACCAGAAGTAATTGAGAGATAATGTTTGTGGAACGTTAATGTTTATGCTAATTTAAGTTTTCCTGTTTACATCTCATGTCATTCTCCTTACTCTACGTCCATCCTACGTAAAGACAGAAATGTGCATTAATCTCTTGATATCATGAATAATCCGATCAGATTAACAGACGCAGCGATGAAAACAAAATATGGGAAGTTGCACTAAGTAATTAGATCACGATAAATTCCAGTAATCTCATAAATTTAAAGATAATTAAATCAAAAAAATTACTCAAAATCTCGTTAGTGGATAGACAAGTATTGCAATGACTGTCATAACTGATCTCCAAAATAATCTCGTTTCTTCCCTCAAATTAATGTCGATTTTAATTAACGAAATCTCTTTAAATGCACAGTTTAACTGAGATACAAGTCATGAATATAAATTTGTTTGAGTATTACACATTCAAAAGAGAATGTAATTGGTTTTGTGATGGTGAATTATTAATTTAAGTATCTATGGGGCGAAGTATCAAGGGGGAAAAATAGTTTGAATCAGTTTGAATGCTTCAATTGTTATTAATTTCTTTTAGAGTAGCTAGTAGGGTGAATGATTGAATGAAAAGGTTTAATATTGCAAAAATATTGATGAGGAATGATATAGTTCTAGGTATGATAAATAGATTGGTTCTAAGCAAGAATAGTCTAGTAAACAGAACTCAAAGAATGATATTCAAGGAGCCGATTTAATTGATTCAATTTGATCATCAGTTTAAAGAAATCATCAATGATTTTTGGGTTTTACCACACTTGACTGCAACATCTAATAATCAGCGTTGTCAAATGTCAACATAACCTCAAAAAATTCCTAGAAATTTCCAACATATTGCGTCAAAATTGAGATAATTTCCGACTAATTCAAACCAAACGTCATTTCGCAAAATTATGCATTAAAGAAAGAGAAATATTCATACATAAGGATGGCTATTGTGAAATGAATGACACATGTAACATATAAAGTAGTGAACCACATAACACATTCGAGCTACGCTCACCAATCATTTGACTCTCTTTCACCAACATTTCTTTTGTCTTAGATGATGAAAACAAATTTCTTTTGCACACATCTAATGAAGCTGAAGCTGAAAATAAGTATGTAGCTTGAACATTGCATCATAACTCTCAGACTCAGCAACGCGATATGATCAAATAAAAATTGTGTAACTCATGTTTTACTCACAAAAAAATAAGCATTTCTTCGAAAAAAAAAAGCTTAAAGAGAGTGATTAAGCATTAAAGATCGATTAAGCAATCAAGTGGCTACAATTTTGTATTATTTGAATTCCTGACATAATTCTTGCATGAATGAAAAAAAAAATGTCGATTCCATAAAAAATATTCTTTAAATTTCTACTACATTTGATGACATAAATGCTACGCTGTGTGTAGAATCATCATGAATTAATTTAAAGACAACAACAAATAGAAATCTTCAATTGAATGCTTCCTGAGAGTTTATTGTTTCTCATCACATCATATATTACACACGACAGCCATAACGGTACACATGATTAGAAAGTGTCTAGAAGAAAAGATTTCTTCTCGCGAAAGAATTGCGTAGTAGAACTATTCATCGGTGATTGTCGTGCTAAAGATCGCTGTGATGATTAATGACGAATCAGATAATAAAAGACGATTTTTATGAATTTATTAGGTGAATGATCATCAAACTGTGAATGATAATTTTCATAACAGATTGATGTGCTTAATATTTTTTTTATTAACATCTGATGATAGGTGTGGATTTGAGTGGATTGGCTGGCGGAAATTTAAGATTTGTATTATGTGGCTTTTTAGCGAAAATGAGGATGTCGATAGGCGCTTTTTAAATGCTGCTCAAGGCAATGAAACTTTTTTGAGAGTTTGCTGGTTCATGTGGCAAATTAATGCTTGATTGGGCTGTAAGTTCTGAGACATATCAAGGGCATGCTATCTTGGCAATAGCTGTGTGAGCTAAAGCAGCTAAACCATCAAGTTGCTTTACCTGGAATCAGGTTAACTCTATGCGCTATATCAGAAACAATTTCATACGAAAAATATTACTTCCCTTACCTCTACTATGATTTAGATCAAGTCTCCATCACAGGGCCATTTTAGGAAAAATTAATGCTAAAATATGTAAAGCCACATCATTAATTGCTATGCATATCGATCTACATTACTAATAACCCACATTTCTCAATACATTTCACACCCAAAAAAAATAGCACATCCATAATATCAATTACATAAACTGACCCACTAGTTCAAAATGCGTCTCAGCCATTTCTTTAAGCTGTCTTATTTACATTTCCATTTAAATTTTTGTGACTGAATGAGTATGTGAATGGGCAATCACCACTTAAATAACAATCGGGTGTAATGATATGATGTCAAATTTCTCTACACTCAAATTACTATAATCAAAAAAAAAAGAGCAAGAGAAAGATAGGCATAAGCTGCTTGCTTATGTATACGTTGCTAATTTTTATTTTAATTAACAGTTACAAACAAGGTGAATCAATTTCATGGCGATAAAAAAATAACAAAATTCCTGTCATTGTGTTGATTTATAGTCACAATACTGATTTGTTTCGGTTACGATGAACCTTTGAGTATTTTTACAATATTTTTTTGACGTGTGTAATTTGTCCAAATTTGTGTGTGGGGCATTTTTGTACATTCCACGTTATATTTTTAAATTACATTAATTTACACACTTGTTTCATTTAAAATTCGAGTTAGCATGCTTTAAAATTTGGGGATCATCTAGCTTTGGTCACTTTGGACCAGTGTTGCAAATGTAGATGTCTACACTAGATGAAGAATGTAGATTCTTCAATAGTTTTTGTCTAGCTAAGAAACTTTCTTCATAAAGATCGATTCTACATGTAGAAAGAAAAAAACCATCTACATGTAGATTGTGTCTACATGTAGAATCTGTCTACATGTAGATTCGATGTAGATGTCTATAATTCTACATTTTTTCCAGGTCTACATCAGAGAAGAATGTAGAATCGTAGACATCTACATTAAATCTACATGTAGACAGATTCTACATGTAGACACAATCTACATGTAGATGGTTTTTTTCTTTCTACATGTAGAATCGATTTTATGAAGAAATTTCTGTCTCAGAATTTATCTGATCCAGACAAATAGCCAGAATGCAACACTGCTTTGGACACATTAGTTTTGGGTTATTCAGTACTTGATTTAGCATGATTTATAACAATTTTGAGATGGAAAAATGATTTTAATCAAAAATCAGCTAAAACTTCTATTTTTCTTTTTTGAAAAAGTCGTTCTTTTGAATTTTACCAATCCGGGAAAAAATTTAAAAACTTTGAAAAACTTATTTTGACTTTGAAATAACTGTTATTTTTAAAAAAATTCAAAGCTTTTGCAAAATTGTGTCCTAGTCGTCCACATGATAATACAAAAATTTATATTTTTTGCCTTCTCTTTCTGTCAAACTTGCTTATAAAATAACAACATTATTATTATTTAACTCAATATATGCGAGACGACCTTTAATTATTACGTATACTTGTTAAACAAAATTTTTTTATATCATAATTTTTGTTTCGCATTCACAGAAAATCGGTCATGGATTTATCGAAAATTCGTAACCGGTGGAATAAATCGAAGCGATCCTGATAATCCACTTGACAATAAGGAGCATATGCTGATGGCATTCTTTAGAGATCATGTAGCGAGATTTGTGAATAAAGGTTGGGTGAAAGCCATGATTATTTTAATATTTGCGGCATATTTGGCTGGCGCGTGTTATGGTGTGACAAAAATTGAGGAAGGTCTTGAACGACGAAAATTATCTAAAGCTGACTCCTACTCAGTGAAATTCTTTGACTTAGAAGATGACTATTATCGTGAATTTCCTTATAGAATCCAAGTCATAATAAATGGTGATTTAAATTACTCTGACCCAATAACTCAGATGAAGATCGAAGATGTGATGCAACAACTCGAGAATACGTCCTACGTAACATCATCAATTTATACAGAATCATGGCTTAGAACATTCTTATCGTTTGCGGAACGTAGTGATTATCTTAATATGACTGTAGCATCAGAACAAGACTTTATTGAAGCTCTAAAAGAGGTATGTATGGTATATAGGCAATAATAATCATAGTCATAATAATAATAAAGAGAGTGTGATCATCATGATCAAACAAGACATGATGATGAATTGAATTGATTGTGCCGTACATATTATTATGATTAATTTAAAACAATAAGCATAATCATAACTTATCAACTTCTATTCAATTCTCAATCTCTTTTTCTAGTACTGGCTTTATCCCGGCAATCCATTCTCATTGGATGTTAAGTTCAACGACAACGAGACACGAATTGAGGCATCAAGATTCTTAATTCAAGCAATTAACATTTCAGATACGAATCATGAGAAGCAAATGGTTAGAGATTTGCGTGAGATTTGTAAGAACTCGGATCTTAATGTGACAATCTTCCATCCTTATTTCGTGTTCTTTGATCAATTTGAACTTGTTAGACCAACATCAATTCAATGTATGGTGATTGGTGCTATAATTATGATGATAATCTCATTCATTTTCATACCAAATGTTTTATGCTCAATTTGGATTACATTTAGTATTATATCAATTGAGGTCGGTGTTGTTGGCTACATGTCTTTATGGGAGGTAAATCTTGACTCGATATCAATGATTAATCTTATCATGTGTATTGGATTTTCCATCGACTTTACTGCTCATATTTGTTATGTATACATGTCATCAAAATGCAAATTACCTGAGGATCGAGTTCGAGAAGCTTTATATTCATTGGGATTACCGATTGTGCAAGGATCTGTAAGCACAATCCTCGGTGTTGTTGCTCTCTTATTAGCTCAGAGCTACATCTTCTTGGTATTCTTCAAAATGGTATTTTTAGTAATCTTATTCGGTGCTATGCACGGACTCTTCTTATTACCAGTTATGCTCTCACTTTTTGGACCAAATTCATGCTCAGATGTTGATGAATCACATTTTGATGATGATGCTGTGATGTATCAATACAAGCCTGAAAAGAAGGATGGAAAAATGCTTCATCCATTCACAATAACACATCCACATTTAATGACATTGGCATCGTCACCAAATGGAATTTATTCAAGTAAACAATTTATGGCATCGAACTATAAAGCATATGGTAATGATGAAAAGGATTTGGGTATTGGGACATCAAGTGAAGATTCAAGTGAAAATTCAAGTAGTAAATCACAGCGTCGTCAAGCAATGGAAGATGAGACTGTAAAGAGACGATATGAAGAAGGATGGAGAAAGTCATCACAAAGTATGGCATCTCCATCGCCATGTACATTCCAGCCAAATTTAGACCTCTATGGTAACAAATTTGAAGATTTCTGGAACAGCAGCAACGACAATCTCGCAAAACCAGTTCAATATCGTTCGCGTAATGAGTTGATCCGCGAAAGGAGTGACCTTGAGTTGTCGAAAACTGATTCGTTAAGAAAAAACGAGGAGTCGCTTTACGTACGACAAAAAAGACTTTCGGATTTTGAAAGTAATGGACAGCAAAACGATAAGAAACTGCATTATTATGACTACAATCAAAAGCGAAAGTTTTCAGATGAATCTTATACGAAGGAGAATAGCAACGAGAGATCAAGAAAGTATATAAATACACGTCGGAACATTGTGTAAGACTTATAATGAAAAGAAATTCACATCTTTTCAGATTTATGATTTATTATTTTTAATAGATAATGATGTTGATATTACATTTTTAAGGATATAAATTGATTAAAAATTACCTCTGCCTGTGTGTGCTTTTCCATTATTATACATGCACATAGTGAAGATAGTAACAGATAAATAATATTATAATTAATGATTTTCGATAGATTTGTATGGTTTCATGGAGATGAGCTGAAATGTTTTTTTGATTAGAAACTTTTTGTTTTGGACATTTGGACATTAAGAGAAAAATAAGAAATTTTGGAAATACTCAAGTGAGCTACCAAGTTTATAATAATTTATCAAATTAACAGCATTATACTAGGTGGTAAATTTTGTGCCAAATTATGAATAGATAGCAAAGCTAGCTAATATTGTGCGTATATTAGTTGACTTTAATCAACTAGACTTTGTCCTGTGTTTTATTCTTAGAGTTCTCTAACTTCTCTAGAGTTGTTTTACGATTTTTTTCTCAAGACTTTTAAGAAATTGAAGAAATTTTCTCATTGATGGACGTGGCTTCCTTGATATCTTGAGGATAATTCGATAATATCATTCAAAATTTAAGATGTTGGGTGTTTTAAGCAAAGCTAAGTTCTATAGTAATTCTTCTGACTCGTGGCACCATAATCGTCACTTACATGATAAGAATGCACACTAAAGTCACAAAATAGTGATTTACATACATACATACATCGCTGGCTTTACAGATCAATTGTGATCTATAGCCTCCCTTAGATAGTGATATATAAACCTAATTACAATTGATAAATAGATGTTTATGGAACTAGGAAATTGAGAAAATTCTTATATTGAACTTTATGATGCTGAACATAGTTTCGGATCCACTGGAATTGACGCAATTTTTACAGCTAGAAGAGAAAGATGGGTTTAGTAACATAGCAACAAGTTGAATTGGGCTTTGGGTTCCGTTGCTGAGATAAAAGGATTTAGAAGAGGCAGAAGAAGTAGGTTAGCTTTTAAACTTTTGTACCAAAAAAGCTTTAAAGAAATTGAAGAAAAAAGAGTTTACACTCAACAATATTTTGACATACAGTTAGGTTATATACTCACATGTCTAAGTCCATATAACAAAATTCACTTTCATTTCAAAAATCGAAACTACACAAATTCATTGAAAATTTTATTCAAAGCAAAAAAAAAAAAATAATAAACGAAAAACAAAGAAAGACAAAAAAAAATGACAAAAAAGACTTTTTGAAGAATTAAAAAGCAATTCTTAATCAGTCATTTGATTTTAAGGTCGAATTTTAATTAAGAAATTGTATTCGATGATTCTTTTTCTTCTTCACATATCAAATTAAATTAGTTGTAAAATAAATTAATTTTGATAGATAAAAAAAAGTTACCGAAAAGTGAAAAGTGTATTTTTAAAAAAAATAAATCAAAATTTTTATGGGAAAATTTTTGTAAGGAAATAAAAATAAATTAAATTAAGGTTTTTATACGACAAGATGAAGGAGTAGAGTTATGAAATAAATAAGTAATAATGCCTTGTATATATGCCTTAAATTAGCTAGCATCAAATAAAATAAAAATGTATGAAAAAATAAAGTTTTTTGAAGGAGTAAAGGAAAATTCAGACAGGAATTTTATAATTAATCGCACGTGGATGTTTTCTTACAGATTCACAATGTAAGCAGCTCATGATTTGATGAATGCCTTCACTGTTTTACTTATAATTAGTTTACAATTTCACACGTGATTTGAATTACCATGCTTGCATTGAAGTTGCTTCATCTTTACGTTATTCAACTATCATTTTTTGATTAAGTGAATTGCATTTCGTTTTTGTGTAAATTTTTAATTGAAAAAAGAGGGAGATGCTCATCAAAGCTGCTTATTTCTTAGAAAATTAATTAATTTTGTTTGTTTACTTTATTATGTTTAAAAGTTTATAATTTGATAAATTTTGATTTTAAAAATGAGTTTTTTGGCGTCAAAAATAGTTGAATCAATGTTTCGCAAAATCTTAGCCAATATCTTTTGAATTCTATTAGACAACTTCAACTTCATAATTGGATCAGCAAATTTTAAAGCTAAGATTTCCTTTGTGTCTCCTAGATTCTGGAATGGATTTGAAATATTTTTTAAATAATATAAAATTTTAAAACTCTCGGCACCAAAAATAGTCACAAAAACTTAAATCTTCAATTCTTTTAGATAACGAAATGAAATATGATCAGCATAATGTGCTTTTCTTTAAGATTATAATTGAAATAAGCTCTTAAATTGAGATTTAACCAGATTTAACATTCAGATAGAGTTCAAAGAATTTGTTACTGTACTTTAAAGTGAAGCATCTCGTTAATCTTAAGTTAATTCAAAATCAGTTTCAATAATTTATTTACAGCATTTTAAAAAAATATGTAGCCATTTGATCCAATTTGTACATTCCCTATGAATTTAGCAAACGTTTTTCACAAATTCAAACATAAGAGAGTTATAAATAAAACCAACACAGCCTTAAATCTCGCTCTCATTTCGCAACATATGATTACTATTTTCATTTACTTTCAGCTGTCTGTGCCAGTGCTTAATATTTTACACTTAGTGTATTTTAAGTTTTTTAAATGAAAGGCAGCTCAGATTAATGCTCGGTTTATTTGTAAACATTCGCTCAGTCTGATTCTCGTCTATCCTATGCCATAAAAGTTTTATCAAAATCATTATAATTTTATCTTTGGACTTAAACCTTAAAAAAATTCATTGATAAGACTTAGTGCTAATTTTGTTGAAGATGTCTGTTGGTGAAGCTGGATTTCGTGATTCTCTAATTTGGCATTCATCGCCAGTTGGTAAGTAGGTCATATGCTCAAAAATTATTATTGAACTAATTCATAATATGAAGTTGCGTAACAAAGAAAAGAAAAAAAAAATTGGATATACGTATTATGCTATTTATGATGCTGCATTACTTTCACTTTCATCCTTTTTCTTATTATTCTTGTAGATTGGTGCGAGGGAAACTACAAAATTGTGTCAAATGTTGCTGAATTTTACAATACAGTATGCTTGATTAGTTTAATTAATAAGTCGTGATTCATCAATCCTTTGTGTCTCATATGTACTTTCAGTTCAGCAACCTCATCTTTATTATAATGCCACCGATTCTGATGTATTTATTTAGAGACTACGCAAAGAAAGTCAATCCAGGAATTTATCTCGTTTGGGGATTATTAATTATTGTTGGAATTGCTTCTGCCTACTTCCATGCCACATTATCCTTAATGGGGCAATTACTTGATGAATTGAGTATTCTTTGGGTTTATACACTCACAATGATCCTTTTCTGTCCGAAAAGGAAGCTTCCAAAATTTTTAAAGAACCGATATGTCTTCTCCGGTCTGTTGCTCACGGTTGGACTTGGAGCATCAATATTGTCTGTATGGAAGCCTTATATAAATGCATTCGCATTGATGACATTAATTGTACCGACTGTATATCTCCTTCTCGTTGAACTCGAGCGTGTCAAATACAAAGAAAGTGAGGTATTCTCGCTTGGTATACGGTCGTTGGTTTTGATGGTGAGTACATGACATTAAATGACATAATGACTTTAATTATTTTTTAATTATTTTAGGTATGTGCAGTGACATTGTGGTTGAATGACCGAATGTTTTGTGAATTTTATACATCCATGAAAATTACTTACCTACATGCACTCTGGCATATTCTAATATTCTTGTCATCATACACATGCTGTGTACTATTCTCGTACTTTTTTGTTAAACTCGAAAGGCCTTACATGGCTTGTCAGCTCTCTTATTGGCCTAAGAATACCGTACTTAATGCTTTCGGTATTCCATATGTTGAATTTAGACGTAAATCGTTGGACGATTAAGAAATCAATGATTGGTGCAAGGATGAATAAAACCTTTCTTTTTTTTGTGATTATTTTAGTCGATAGTTTTCATGTTGTGAAATGAACAACAATTTTTCTTGTCTCTTCCAATTGTAGATTTTAGAACGACATTTTAATGATTCATTTCCGTATTTTAATAATATGATAAAATTAATATTTTTCGAATAGATGATTATTATTGCTAATAATTATTATATTTTAATGAGTCATATTGCAACATTTGTGGTATGCACGACTTTATTAACATTTCTTGTCCTAATATCAAATAGCTTTAATTAAGTATGCATGGTTCGTGCAAAGAACAAAGATTGGGAATTTTATCAAAGATTTTATATTGGAAAAAATGAGTCACGATTGTTAAAAAATGGAAATTCCTTTTCAAAAAATAGAACCTAAATTTTATAAAGCATTTAAAAATAGTCATCGAAGTTGACAAATTATTGAAAATTGACGGATATAATTTTCTTTTAAATTAATGAATTTGAAACTTCAAAAATTATCAAGTTTTTAAATTTTTGAAGATTTCGACTTTTAAAAAATAAAAATGAGATGTGAAAATTTGAAAACTTCTAATGTCAAACTGAAACGTTCAATCGAATCGTTAACTCGAAACCGAAATTTGATTTAAAAAACCTTGCCCACAAAAAGCACCAAATTTAACACCTGGCTTAAAATTACCAACGTCATTACAAATGTTGTGTGAATTCAATAGTGCAACAAAAAAAAATTCAATGTCAAATTAATCAAATATAATTGCAAAGTAAGTAATTTCTGAGGAATTGTGTTAAGATTTAAAATTGTAAAGAAATTAGACGAAGCTTTAAAATTAAAAAAACTAATGGAACTGGATCAACGAGAAACCATGCATACGAATTTATTATCAATTTAAGGGGTTTGTTTAGTTGTGACATCCAGTAATCATGTATATGAGGGCTTAGTCTAGTCCGTTTTTAAGGTTCCAAGTAACTGCTAGAAGCCAACCGGAACTAAGAATACAAAATTACTCGAAATAAAGGCTTATTTACTACCAATAATACATTAAAGTCAAACCTAAGACCTTTCGACAGTTAGACTCAAGTCTATTAATAAGCTGGATTTCAGAACTAAATCGACTCCTTAAACAATTTATTACAAAGAAATTAGCAAGTTTAGAACTTGTAGTGATATGAAACACATAAAAAGTAGATTAGGTGGATGCTAGCGAAGCTATGATTTATAAACTTTTTTTGCTTACTATTAAATTAAATTTAATAATAAAGAAAAAGACTCAGTGATACGGTAAAATGCAGCGTACATAGTTTTATTATATTGTATATATTATCTCATGTATATTTTTGTAAATATGTCATATTTTCATGCAACAATTTCAGAGAGATGAACAGATGTGTAAAACTTATCAATTAAATCAAAAAATATTCAGCGTAATTATTTCTCAAGTATTAAGGTACGCGGTGCACGCGACCTTTCATGTATAAACGAATGTATATAGCAATAGATTGTATTATTAATGCAGCAAATGATTATGAATCAGAATCAGATGATAAATTCGTACAAATGTTTTCAGAAGTTCGTCGTAATCCATTAGTGTACATATGTTTAACTCTACCTCTGTAAATCACAAAATTCTTTTCAGTTTCATATAATTTCACAGCATGTAGCAATTCTGGCTTTGGTAAGGCTCTTCTTAGTGAGTCATAAATAAATACTGCGAGATTCTCTGTCGTACTTGGAATGGTTTTAAAATAGTCTAGATCTTTGTCGAGATTTTTGTGATCCAATGGCTTCATAATGCACTTTTCAATTATCGCCTTCAAGTCTGTTAAATTCATTACCATTCCGGTTTTAGAATCGACACAACCTCGAATCGTAACTTCGATTGTGTAGTTGTGTCCGTGACCGTTTTCATTATTGCATTTTCCGAATATTTGCTTATTCTCGTCATCACTCAATTGTGGGCTACAAAAGTAGATTAAAACTGGCTATAAATAATTTAAAAATTACAATAAATCTTATTCATTGTTACCTATGAAGTCTGTGACAAGCTGAGAATGTCTCTTTACGAATAATATCAACAACTGGTCGTGACGTCGTCATATTTACTTTTACTTAATGATTTCTATTCGGCTTTAAGCTTGTAAATGAAGGTTTCTGAAATATGTTTGATATTTATATGTTACTGAGAGATTACTGTGAAGTTTTCGTATGTACTTGTTGTGTAGACAGTGACACTTTGTCTTCTACCTGTTGCGTTGTAAGAATTACTTAAAAATTTAATTTATTTTTGAAGGTTTTTGAATAGGAAGTTAAATTAAAATGAAAATATTAACGAAATTATAAAATTTGAATTTTAACGGTTTCGGAAATTTTGAATTTTAAAGAGCTTTTACAGAACTTGAAACTTATCGGTTTCCAACATTTTGAATTTTATAAAGATTTTGCAAATTTGAATCTTAATGGTGATGTAAAGTTTGAATTTTAAACTTCATGTGATTGAACAAAATTGAAGTTTTTGAACTTGATGATTTGCTGAATTTTCGTTGAAATTTTTGCGTAACGGAAACATAACACAATTTGACACATGTGATTAAAAAATTCCACGAAATAGTTGACAGAAAATGTCCATTACAATCATTCTCCAGTAAATGCGTTCTTTCCACAAATCGATTCCAATTATTCCGAAGCATTATATTCTCTCTTAATTCTCTCATAAAATTTTAACTAACGTAATTAATACAGAGAGTAATTCTAAATACACGAAGATTCTCTTACCTATCAGTCAAATTAGTGCTTACTGCTATAATTTTGCTACGTTTCAATTCCTTATCAGCTTATGTTTATATTTCAAAGTGCTATCAACTTTCATTCTTTAGAAAAGACGGAGAAAAGTGCAGAATAGTCATGCGCCAAAAATATTAAAAACATCTGGAAATAACGTTTATCCCCTTAGCATCTCAGTCATAAAATGATAAAGTCAGTAGTTTTTTAAATTGCGCAAAATAATTAAACAAAATGTTATAAAACTTTATTCAATATAAGAATAAACTTTGCTCTAATAAAATATGAATCTGATAAAGATAATGAAATTATGACATTTTAGAATCAAAATGCTCAACATTGATTTTTTAATATTTTAACGAATAGCAATTCAACAAGTGAATTTGATCGTAATATATATATTTAATATCATTAATGTGCGTATGGTTTATTTTTTCTTCGGCTTTTCCAAGTCATAAAGAGTCTGAAAAAAGATTAATTAACGTTATTAAACATCCATCATAAAATCAGACTTAATATCTTACTTCCAAAACTGTAGCAACACTCCAAGCTTGAGTTCTGCATGAATCACCACAGTATGATCCATTACTGTTAGTCAATTCTGGAAGTCCTCTCCAAGGTGATGTTCTTAGTTCCTTTAAATGTGCTGTCAAGATACTCCAAACTTCAGCTTGAGTTTCCTTCAATTTTCCCAATTTTTCTGCGAAAATCAAACGAGCTCGGAGATAAAATCCAATTGGCCATAACCATTCAGGTCCTTGATGATAATTTGCTCCATGAGAAATCTTTGCATCATCGCTGTCATTTGCATTGTCATAGTCTCCACAATAGCCCCAATCATTTGGATCTAATGTCTTCATTCCAAGTGGCCCTAAAATGTGCTTACGAGCAGTTTCTAGTGCATCCCATGCATGCTGTGGATTAAACAAGTGAGGAGCAACGACCATTGTTATTGGGAAGTTACATCTCAACTGATAGTCTGCAAACTTTCTGCTTGCTCCGTGCTTTAAAAGAATTAATTAAAAATTAGCATGAACTAATCAGGCATTGAGTATTGTATTCAGCACTTACTGTGTCTTTATAAATCATTTTCTTATGAACCAATGGATTGTTGTCATATTCGCTGACATAAAAGTACTTTTCAAAGTTCCTTTCAATCCTGTCGGACCATTCCTTAAATGTCCATGTCAAAGCAGTGCCAGTTGAACTTTTACGTTCAACAGATTTATATGGATAGTCAGAACATGAGTCTAAGAATTTCAAGACACTTGCTTGTAAACCGACCAATTCAACTGCTGAGCCATCACGTGGAGTTGATGGAACTCCCTTGTTTCTTGCCTTCTCAGATGATCCCATTTTGTCCATCCATGTTCCACAATTTGCGTCGTTTCCACCGAAAACTAGAACAAATTTTAATGAGCAATGAAGATTTCAAAAAATAACTGACAAAAAAGATTTGAAAAGTTGTGTCAAAATTTTCAAATATTTTCTAGTCGTTACTTTTTCAATATATTTCGATCGTTATTTTTAAACAATAATTACTTACCAAATCCTGTTTCTGGATGAATTCCAATTTGATTATTGAATCCATGATCTGTCATATGCTCGTCAATTCTCTTTCCAGCATTTCTTTCACGATAAACCAATCCTTGGAAGTGAACTCTCAATGCTTCTTGCATAACATCTTGCAAATATTGATCGACTTTTCCTGCTTCTTGAGGCTCAGAATCGTCATTTGGAAATAGACGAGACACTTTTTCGCGCAGAATTGCTTTTCCGTTTGGAACCTCAGTGATGTATTCTTGAATGCAGTACAACCACCACCAAACTGCATCACGACAGTTAAAACGAGCATTCTTGCCACCATCAAGAAGATTTGGAATCAATCCATGTCTATATGAGAACATATATTTCTATTCAATGTCTAATGATTCAAAATTGAGCCTACCTTAAAGTTGCAGCAAATCCGAGAATGATGTAACGTGCTTCGTCATATCGTCCAGTCAAGATCATGCATCCACGTAAAGCTATAAATGTGTCACGTCCCCAACAACGCATATAACCTGTAGCAAAGTGAGGCAAACCAGCTGCAAGAGTTGTACATAAGCTAGGTGGTTTTGGGGATTCAACAGCTGGGCTCAAGTCAGGCAAACGAGCAGATTTAACAGGTGCCAAAAATTGAAGAGAACTTAAGGCAAGAAGCTGCTGGAAGATTGATCCTTTGCTGATAAAGTTAGGCATCAACTTCAAAACTTGTGCAGTAAGCAGTTCATAAGCTCCAGTAATAATGGCATCGAAATAAGCTGGGATTAAGTAACGTGGAATTCCTTTCATCGGTTCCATATTCCTTTCAAGCCAATGTGCTAATTGTTTCGTATTCTCTGATTGTCTTAAACGATTGCTTATAAAATCTGTAATTAAATAAAATTAAGCGGATAATTTAAATTTGAATTTGTCAAAAAAACGGTTTAAAAACATATTGAACTTTTTTGACACCCGTAAAATTTGATTTCTTGAAAACCATTAATTTTAAGCACAAAACTCACCAATCATCCAATTTCCTTGTCTCAAATTATTACAGAATGGATGTCCCAAATCATGAGTTGGCGAAATTTCACTCAAATAAGAAAGGAATCCTTGTAAGCCAGCATAAGGCAAACGTTTCCATCCAGGAATATCATATGCTTCAAATCCGAAGCCACGATCACGTTCCTCTTGATCACACGAGAAAAGTGCTAAATTTAGATCAACTAAATTCAATTTGGATACGATTTCTCTCAATTCATTGTACTTCGTGCCACTTTCACAATGGAAGTCTTGAACAACTTCATGCAGTTGACGTAAACGAACTGTGACGTCATTATGAGGTGTAACTCTTACAACAACAACAGATCCAGGTCTTAAATTGACAAAGTCCAATTGAGTTGAATTTCCATTAATTGTTGGTGATGTCTTGAATATTTTAGAGTCACTCAGCTGAATGTTCTTCCTTGTTGTAACTTCATACTCATTCAAGCCATTAATAAAGGCTGCATCCTTTCTGAAATCACTGGGTCTTGCGTATGGCTGTTCACGACGACTACGAATTTCAGCTTCGAAATAAATTTCAACAAATTTGCCTTCAAAAGATAATGGACGAACATAAGTCGGTCCAGCATTTGGATCGGGATATCCGAAAGCAGTATGAGCAATAAGAATGAATGATTCATGAGTTACTGGATTTTGACGAGTAATTCCAACAATATCTTTATGCATTTGATCAACAAATACTTCGGAATAGCCTTGATTGCCCAAAATTCCATGAAGATCATTAAGGAGACGTTTGGCAGCGATTATTCCAGTATTTTCAAAGACATTCCTTCCCCATTCCTGATATTGTCTTTCTTCTGTTACAACATGAATGTGATGTGGAACCAATTCATCATATCCACGATTACTACCACAAGCACAACATGCCATACAAACGAGAGCAGCCGATGGAAGTAAATCAAAGACTGAACGCTTCTCAACTGGCGATGGATTATCGTGAGTTTGATCAAGGAAAATGGCGTGTGCAATATTTGGTGCTAATGGACGTTTAGGATTATTAAAGAATGCTCCGACTGGTTCTCCTCCATATAAATAAACCAATCGACCTTGTTCATGTGAATCCCATGCTGATAAAGCCTCACGAATTAATGATGTAATTCCCAAACGATTGACAAAAATGTTATCAGCCTCGCCAGAATTTGTAAAGAGTTCAGCAACAACATACAATTCAGGATTAACCTTTCGTGCATTATCAATGAGATATTCAGCAACATGCAATGGAGTTGAGTGACAATTATCAAGACGAACACCATCGAAATATTTGGCAGTTGTATTGACGTATTGCTTCATACGATCCCACAAATATGGACTGTCCTCAAACTTATCACCGAATCTCAATTTGACGGAATCTCCCCATGCAATTACTTCACGTCTTAAATAAACATTTCCAATGCCAGGTTGTGGACGAGCAAAGTCCATTAATGGATCATGTCCCATAACCCATCCATTGTGTGCCATAAAGTACTTTCCAGCTTCTCCATACATCATTCGTTCAGCTTCTTCTAATGTTACATGATATGCTCCTGTATGCGTAAAGTATGGCGTGAATACTGGATGTCCAATATCAATCGTTCTATATTTTGGACCATCATTAGAGACTCGTTCATAACGAGCTCCAGCGAGTGCATTATCTACAGCATAATTCATATGATTATTTACTTCCTCACGAATTCCTTTATTATAGCATTCTAAAGTTGTTCTAAAAGCTTCTCCACATTTTCTAATGCGCGTATCTTCATCGAAACAATCTTGTCTGAAAACATTGTAGATTCTCAAAGCTTCATCAATGTTGATGTAAACGCCTTTACGCTGATAATCAATCGGCTTTTCAAACTTTAATTCTGTTGACGGAACCTCTGATTGCGGTGTTGGAGGTGCACGTGTTCGCATCTGAATTGAAAAACATAGGAGATAATAAGTTATTTGTTATTGTAAGCTGATTAGAAAGTGGCTTGGATTAATTTTAATCGAGGTGGATTTAACTTTTAATCTAGAAAATTAATTTTAATTAAGTAGATTCAAAATCAAGTATACCTCTTAAAATTAACCCTTGACTTTACTCATCCCACAATCAGCATAAGCATGCATAATAGCAATAAAATTCACTCACATGATCAACAAATATAGCAAAATATTTCTCGACATCAATCTGATAGAACTCGTGAATATTAATCTTTGGCAAAAAGGTAGTCATAATTTGATGACGAAGTGCTTGAAGATGATCTTCAGTCTCAATGACAGAAGGACATCCAACCAATTCAAAACTTCCTTTCTTTACTTCCTCTCCAACTTTAGTCACCATAAAATCAAGAAGGAATGCGGGTCTTAAATGTGGACAAGTATGGCACGAATAAGTAGCTTCAGGATGTTCCTGCAACCACGGAGATTCATTTCCTGTATGATTCAATACAATATCACAAATTGAGGCAATTCCCCATTCATTACGCATTTTTGCAACAATCTTTCCGACGTCTTCATATCCAACATTTCCATAATTGGGATCAATTTTCAGTTGATCCTTCAACGAGTAAGCTGAACGACTCGCAGCAAGTTCTTGAATTGGAGTGAAATGAATCAAGTTGTATCCTGATTCCTTTGCAACTCTCAATTTTGATTCCCAGCTATTAAGTGGTCCAAGACATTTAGTTAAGACTGTTTGACAGCGAATCGATTCGAGTTTCAGATTTTGCTTGTCACGTCCAACACGAATGTCAGGTTCCACTTGAACGTAGAGTGATCCACATGCTCCAAGAGATTGGCTGGCGATTGGTAAAATATATTAATGATTAATTCATCTGCTAAAGGTTCCAATAATTTATGACACTCACCGTTCTTCCTCTAGGATATAAAACCTGAATGTTCCAGAACGTAGCATTCGTACCTGACAGTACATCTCAAGATCCTTAACTTCTGCATAATTGTCATTAGCTGACAATTTCTCACCAAAACGAGAAAACCATTCGAGACACACAAATCTATTCCTTACAAAGTCATCACTCTCAACCGATGGATAATTAGACTGAATGGCAATTCGCTTTCCCAACAATGATTCTCCAGGTACAACACGTAAGACAGTCTTCTTCTTCAATCGATACAAGGTACTATCCTCGAACTTTTGATAATTTATTTTAACACTCACAACTTTTTCGTCATTCATCCTATTGCTCTGAAAATAGCGGAAAGAATGCATCGTGCCTTAATATTATAATAGACGAGTTTCAAGTTGATTTATTTTTAAAATGATTAAGTTATCGCTTGCTTTTGAACGTGACCCAAACAATCTCTTTAGTCGCCAAAACAAAGTGTTATTATTATTCAATGAGGAATCAATTGCACACGAATGTACTGGATGCTGTTGATCGAATGATAATTTTTAACCCAATTTCTATTGTTTTTATATGCTAAATCTTTTTTTTGGGACTACAGTAATATAAGACAGCTAGTAACAAGTATCAAGTGACCAAAAGATTGAGGAACTTAATCTATTAAGTGATATTTACATTTTTGTATCTTTTAAATCTTAATGCCATCCATAAGAATCGTGCGACTTTTCGGAAACCACGAATAAATTTGCGTACGGCTAGTCTAAACCTCCTCAACATGATTAATTACATTTATTTACAACATATTATACACAAATTAGCACTTTATCTTATTTAATTTACATGCGAAGGTCTGTAAACTATATTTTAATAATCACAGCAAATTGATAAGGCACTGAACGTATCAATGGAGAAAATACAAATGAAGAGACTCCATGAAGAATAGAGAGTAAGTCGATGACAAAAGGACAATCGAATAGAGTTTGATGATTTTAAATCACTCGTAATTTTACGTACCTTTCTACTGCAATTTTAAATCAAGTCTGACTGAGGAAATAATGCAGTCAAAATCTTTTCTTTTTGCCCTTGTCGATGACCTTTTAGAAAGGGAAATTGAGATTTGTTTACAGATGTGTTATCGGTATACAAAAAATTAGAGCATTAAAATATGACATAAACTTACATGTTCTCTATTAACATTTCGATTCAGCTGACTCACAATAGTTTATTACAATTAATTAAAATTAATTTGTGTATAAATTTAATGGATTTAATTGACAAAACAGTTAATAGCTTACACATAAATAAAGTCAGCTGTTATTATTTGATTCTAAGTTCTCACAGTAGATGTCGTATGCTTCGATCAACAAAGATAAACATAATTGTAATTTATAGTAACATCCCGTGATGGTTTGTAATTGAGAATATTGCTTTAAATTAGATAGCCATGCTGGCTTATGATGGACCATGCTTTCATTCAGAAAAACCGTTAAAAGTTAAAAAATTTGAATTTTGAAATTCTTAGTTTTCCACCCCTGAAAGCTTTTGCACAACAATAATAAAGTAATTTTTCACAAAAATTCTTAAATTTCTTTAATTTATCGTCTTAAACTAGTTTAATTTGTAAATAAAGTGCTTAATTATTTAGTCCAAGTGCTTAAATATACAGTGACGATTGAGTAGATCTCAAATTTCAGGACAATAAGGAAGAAAACTGAATAATCAATGATTGTGAAATAAATTTAAGGAAATAAAGATTCGAGAAAGAGGTACGTAATTCCATTAAAGTCCGTCTTTAACTATCTTATCAATGATATTTCTACATCACATTATGTTTTGACGTCTCTTAGGCACTAAAATAAATGAATTATACTTACTATCTCAATTATGTAAGTTATAGTATCGTCATAATTAAGAGTTTTTCTTTGTGTTACTTTTGTGGATATTTTTCGTCATTTCCTTTTTGATATAAAAAGATTGTAAATGAGAATTCGTACATGTAAAATATTGTAAATTTATTCCAAAATTAGACTCATCGATAATCGCTATAGACGAATATACAGCACATGAGTTTAGTGCTGAAAAATCATTTTGCTCATATCTAGTGCATAGAGCAGTGACGTCATCTGATACATTCTTCCTGAGAAATTCATTCTCAAGGTTACTTACATGCAAAATAGTCATTGTGTGATGTCATCAACTGCTTCCAAGAGCGTTTTGTTGCATGATAAGCATTAGTTTGTGACGATTTTGTATTATTAGGTTTTTGATGACGATATGTGGTCAATAGAATTAATAATCAGTATTTAAAATGTCTGACTCATATTTCCAAGAATCCTTAATTGGATGTTTTTGGTACTCGAAAGATTCTTGTGATTTCCATCAATTTAAAAATATCAATTTACAAATCGTTGACTCATTGTGCATTACAGTTCCGACTTGTACAATGAAATCGGATATTGAATGTGGCGAATCATATCTAAATTCTCGTCATTCTCAATAAGCTTAACTGCCTAAGCTGTTTATTCCGTCCGTAAAGACTTACAATTTTACTTCTGCATATTTTTAAAAAGCTTTAAAGTCACGTGCGATAGTACAACATCTGTTCTATGTAGACAGAAACACGAAAAGAAACACAATTTTTCACTTCGAGGTCACTTAACATACATGCCGTTTATCATTCGACAATCATATGATTGACTGTCATTAATTAATTATTTCGAATAACTTGATGAATTTGTTTTTAATCAACAAAAAGCTTGGGTCATAAAAATTATTTTTCTCGTCTTATAGACTGAACTTATTGATAGAGTATTGGAATTGGGGGAATTAGAAAGCCAACATCATTTCTTATCTTTATTCTCTGGGTCTTTTGTGTCATTTTGCGTGGTTTCTGGATGTTTGTTTTCATTTTGTCTGGCTGATTAGATAAGACAAACTGTAATAATATATTAAGTAAGTCTTTAGAATCGGTCTATCTTAATTTAAATCCAGGATTAATTTAAATCCGGCTATTCATATTGATGTTAGTTCAAAAAGTTTCTAAAGTTAAATACTCTCCTCAATCTACAAACTTAGCATAAATGCGCCCAATTATCCAATCCCGCAATTACTTTCTGACCGCTTTTTCTGGTAAATAAACAACAGAGAAAATTGAATTTTAATCTCATTTGTCTCATCTTGTTGATACTTAGTGAGAATTAATGTTTTTTATGAATCAGAAACAATTTTTTTGATCATTGAGTCAATTCTTAAAAACTTGACATTTCAATTTCATTAATTAATTTAAAAGTTGATAAGATTGACAAAATATATATTCGCGAAGTGTCTTGTTAAAAAAGTCTACTTAATAAACTTTTAGTGCTATAAAAATGAAGTTATTTAAAAAAATAAAACGATTTATATTGAGGAGAAGAATCAGAGTGCAGTCAAATGATTTGGAAACATCACCTTTGACTCCGCAGACTGACACAAATAATCCACAACCGTCTACGAGTAGTTCCATAACATACTATGGAACTATCGGGCCATATTTTGAGGCAATTAGAAAGAAATTGTTATGGCTAAGTGATAGTAATCAGGTAATGTGACATTGACGATAGATACCTTCAAAAAAACATGAATTCAATGCTCGTGGTGTTAAGTGTTCCAATTAATTATTATCGGCATAAACAGTTGTTCCTTGCTAGGGCTTTCAAAGCTGTTAAAAAATTTGAGAATTTAGCAAATTTTTATGGAAACTTTTTGTTTCATACTTGTTGTTGATGCATTCAAATGCAGTTTTTCAAATATATTTGACATGCATATCCTTTAGAGATGACTTTGCTTGAGTTTTAAAGTTCATAATAATGAATGAACTAACAATTCATTGAGATTTATGATTCATAACTGTTTTTGACATGACTTGCAGCATTATTTGCTTTTCTAGATCAAATGTGAAAGGATTGGAGTATTTTTACATGTAAATCTGTAGATTTTGCAATCGATAATTCATATAAGGACCTGAAGTTTGTACATTTACATTTTATTTGATGTTGTATCCATTCTTCACGTTCAATAAAGAAGAATGTTTGTTACATATGAGATGATGAATTGAACAATCTCCTTGTGCGATTCTATGCAAGTAAAATAGTAGCTTCTAAATTTGAAACATTTCGACCAGCATCGTTCATGAACAACCCCCAAAACTTACTTTATTAAATTAATGGGACGATAATTTATCAGTTCGGATGTTTAGCTCCATTCCCAAGAGATATTTCGAGATGTCATAACACTGAACAATGTCAAGATAGAAACTATTAGAACAATATAACTAGTTCGTGTTGTCGGACGGTCTCAAATTAACTGGAATGAGAGTAGAAATTAATTTTCACATCGAAGGTCCGCGCGCAAAAAAATTAATAATATTTAAATAGCTGAAGAGAATAACAAAGTCAATAAATATTTGTTCGGCGCTAATTAGTGAGACGTAAACGAGGAGGGGAACTAAAAGCTATTAGAACGTGTGGACGAATTCCAATTTGTACTTAATTACAATTTTTTTTTGTGAAAGAAAGCGAGAATCGAGCTACAAAAGTCGCATTTTTTCATAAATTTTTATTATTAAATGTTTACAATGGCATATACACAAACAATGAGACAGATATCGCAAGGCAATCAGTATATAGTATAAAATACAGTGAGATAGAAGAAGTTTTTATCAGTGAAACAAATTAATCAAAAGCCACTTGATTCAGCGAATTTTCCTTTACTATTTTGGACGATAACTAATCATTATTTTAGTAGCGATTAAATGTTCAAGACATTAACACCTTGTTTTACACAAAATTGTAGTGACTATTGAGAAAGCAAAAAAATATGAAGGAGAAAATGTTTCGATTGAGAATGTCATCCAAAGAGCATGATGATCATTCGAAAAATAAAGTAATTAAAATTAAAATGTGTGAATAATTGTCGTACACGCGACTAAGTGTGATAAGAAACGCTCTTGCTTTGAAAGATTAGCGAGATGATTGTAAAAGAAGCTCGTAGAAAAAAATTCTATGGATTTTATTTTATGTGCTGAAAGTAATGGTGAAAAAATTTCTTTTTTTATGACAATAAAGAATGGAAATTCTGGAGAGGAATTTGAGGGGAGGAAGTTTAATAACATTTCCTTGCTATTTACTAGGATAATTTATGGCGAAATGCCTGCTGAAAATAAGTATTCATTCATGTTTTATGAATAGAATGAGTGACGACTAGAGCGAGGTCGTTTTGTGCCCAAAATTTAATAGTGTTATCATAATTTTGCACTTGAAATATATTTTTTCGTGAATCAGTTGGATTTACGTCAGAACTTTTCGGCTGATATGGTTTCTTGATGTGATTATGGCTTAAAATAGAATAATAGATTAAAATAATGGAATTGGAAATTCGTTGTGGGACTAAAATAGCTTTGACTGGATGATTCAGGAATACAAAGAGATTCTCAAACATTTTTGACTCGAAATACGCAAGGAAAAATCTCACAACACAGAGTTTGAAAATGTTTGGAACAATTTGGATCTATTTATCAATCTTCGAGTATACGCCTGACTTAATCGAGTTGTTTTTTAGCCAGTTTCTATTTCAGAACAGAACCCACACTCTTAGAAAAGAAGCTTACAGATAGTTTAAATTTTTATTACTCAGCCACTAAAACCAAAATCTTGAAATTGGAACTACATTAGATTCACATTTGCTATGATAGTCCATTTGAGTTCAATATGTACATGGTAATTAAAAATCCGTAAAGGATACTTGACTTCTATTGGAAAAATACGAATAAATCCAAATATTACAATGACTGGCTGCACAATGTAGCTCTGATCTACATATTGATATAAAACAAAACAAAAAACACAAGCTAAATAGAGCAAAGATGATAATTTGTTTGCAATATTGATTATACACTGATATATATAGGGGAACAAAATGTCACACATAAACCTGTTAATTATCATGAGTACTTTAAAAGTTCCAGCTGATAAGGCAGTTTAAATACTCAAAAAAAAATATTTAAGTAATTTTTATAATTTCTTTGCCAGTATCTGAATGAGAATTATGCGATAAAAAATGTTAAATACTTCAAATCTCAAATGTTTCAATTAATAAAAATTGATTGATCGTTGATATTATACCGAAAACCTCAAGCTACAATGACGAGAGAATAAGAAGAAAAAATTGATATCACATTTTGGTGACTTTTATTCTAGAAACAAAAAGTCAATTTAAAAATGAAATGAAATGGAACGTCACCGTAATAACAGTCAGCAATTTGAGAGTATTCGTGCTCTTATAACTCAAATCCATCATGGCTCAACATCAAATATCTTTTATAATCACTCAAATGAAGAATTATCAACAAATGAAATGGAAAGATCGACTTCAGATCGTAGCGTAAATAGCTTAAATACATTACCATTTCTAGCTGTTGAAAAGCCACGAAAACGATCAATGTTTGATGCGGCATTTAAAATTCCATTGCTAACAGTAACTGGCCCTCACTCGGCTGATTCACCTGATGAAGCTCATCTTCCCCGACGGTTCAGTTTTGGAAACTTTAGGCGGCATTCACATGGCTCGGTTAGAATTGAGAAACTAAATTTAATTTAATTTAAATGTTGATTGATGCTTCTAATCGTTTTCTTTAGATTATTATATTTAGAGATCTAAAATAATAAATTGCTTTTAATTGACTTGATTAACTTGCGCGAACCGTTTAGATAGAAAAATTGAAGCCTTTGCTATGTGCATTTTTGATGGTGGGATGTGCTTTTATTTTTAATAATCTTGAGGATAGAATAGATGAATTGATTGAGCTATTCGATATAATTACACATTTAGGATAAGAAAGTGCGGTATGTGCTTAAAAACAGATTAGGTAAATTCATTTGAATTGGAATTTTTTGTTGCAATTTTCCATATGTGCTGTCAATTATAATTGTGGGATGATAAAGTGTTAAGACGAATCTGAATGTCGAACTAAAACAGAAAGACTTCCTTTTAAATGTTCTTGTGTTCACCTCTGAGCCTGCAAGCATTTGCAATAACGTAAGATGAGCAGGTTATTGATCTTTTATTAATTAGGACTGTAACAATTTGAATAATTATAGATTGAGTACTCATTCAGCTCTGAAAAATTAATAAATTACTTTATTATACTCAGTTTTAAAACACAGAACATTATTAATTAAATACTGCAATTAAAATCAAACGACTAGAATTTCATCAATAGTATTTATTACAAATTGCAATATGATTTAATTTGAATAATCTTTTCCAATTTTTAAACCGATTCAGAATGGAAATCCTCGACTTTTCATTCATTGACTCATTTAGAGGAGTGTTAAACTTATGACGAGGTTTAGGGAGCAAGTGGGTAGAGTTTTAAAGCTGTATGGTACTTAAAAATTAAGTTATATTGGTCAGTGGAGTATTAGAAATGTCTGATAAAGTTCAGACCACCATCAAAAATGCAATTGACTGACTCCTTCCTTTCTCTCTGTCTCTCAATGTTCCCCATAAACATCTAACGCATCTATTAATTTTCCAACCCGTATTAACGTTTATCATTTAACAGACATATTTTTGATTATTAAAAACTACATTTTATGTGAAGAAATTTTTTCGATATCTTTATTGATATTATTTAGCTGCATTAATAATAAAAACATTATTGCTCTCATATGATTGCTGGGTAGTAGTGCAACATTTGGCTTTATTAACAAATATTTTAAATGCACATTGATTGATTGATTAATGGCTATTGTTCGAACGAAAGGCAAATTGGTGTTTATTCATTTTTAATGACCTTTTATCCTCATTCTACTCGTACATGATTTTTTTTTGATAATTTTCACATAAAACCTCATTTATTATTATAATTAAAAATAAATGAATCAAAATTGAGCCACACCAATTAAAAACTGCAGAATTTTGGTAATTTTATGAGTCCACCCGCAAAATATAATGCAATTTCAGGTTTGTGACTAATATGAAAATTTCACTAGCACAACAAATTATTGAGCTGTAAACCTGTGGATTTTCATAATACTCTCTCTCAAATAATTTAGATTATCGATACTTGTTATTTAAATGACGTCAAACTGCAACTGGTATGTCATTCCCTTAGAAATGTTTTGAGGGAAATTTCAATTTCTATCAATCTCTTTGAAGCTCGTTTACTAATTCTGTTACTCAAAACTACTATTTTGTTCAAATAGGTCAATTCAACAAGGTTTTAGGGAACTGATTTTGAGGTTTTAATGTTCAAATTTAGTGTAAAATTTAGGATTTCTAGAATTTCAATTATCATGAATTATTGGAAACAGGAATTCTAGAAACCCTAGTTAAATCCACTAGACTCATGTTCTTAATGACGTAAAAAACAACATTTTTGATGGATCCTCTGCTAAAATAGAGCCTGCCCTATGTTATCTTACCTACAAGGATACATATTCCTAGAAAATGCACATTTAAGTATTTAATTGAAATGATTAGATTAATAAATGGTGTACTAAAGAAGGTATTAAAACACATATGATAACAGCAAGATAAACAAACTACCTCAAACCCTAAATTTTTAAATCACGTTTCTGGTAAAGTTCGCATAAACAACTATCTTTAACTAGTTTCTGTGATTGATGAAATATCTTTATAATGCTAATGAAAAACCAATACTTTGAAATAGTCCAAAACCAATAAACCAAATGCAAAATCAAAAGATACTCACCACTAGACTACCGAGGAATTCAAACAAAATTTATCTAACATAAAAATTGAACATCCAGAATTTAAAATAAACTGGATTGCTCGTCATAAAAGTTCATTTTCATTAAATGAAAGCGATTTTTCAATGATATTTCTAGTATTTCCCTATCAATCGATACACTCACTGCGATAGTTTCATAGTGACTGCATTTCTATTCACATCGGCGAATTTACAAAAGCAAAAGAGAATGGGAGAAGGGAAAATAAGTTGTAGTATAAAAAATATATATATATATATATATATATAAAATCATATTAAAACAAACATTGCACTTTTATCTGAATTTAAAATAGAAACGCAATGTTATGATAGAGAAACGAATAATAATAATTCTCAGTTCACCTGAGAGTGACAGAACCCATCTATCTACATAACTTGATATATTTACGTAGCGTATAGCAGTTTCAATCTAACGTTGCTTGAGACGAGATCAACATCCATTTGTTGAGGAATTAAATTGCATAAAAAAAGATGAATATTAATAGCTGATATTGATTCTTTTAAAAATAATAAAAATTATTTGAATGTGAATAATCGAGAAGTCAATAAACAATATCAATTATCAGTGAATTGAGTTAAAGTGAGAGCGTTTATCGCTGCTGTCAAATTCAAAATGCTGAACGAAATAATTTTAAGTGTTACGAGATTAAAATTTTTGCAATTTGATAAATCAAAATCATCGTCAAATGTTAGTTTGTTTTTAGTGAAATGACGGTAATATTAATTAAGATCGACATCGCTTGTGAATCTCCGAGAATTTTTTTTCTCATATCAGTTTCTAAACTAGAATCATTGATGAATAATAAAATTAAATCGGCAAATAGTCGCATTCGGTAATCCAATTATGTTGCTATAAAGTTGACGGTGAAAGGCAAATCATTAAAATTCAGCACATTCAATGTAATGAGCATACATTAGTGAGAACCATAAAATGTGAAAATTTTTGTGTTCAGAAAGATTTTTTGTTGTCATTAATAGTAAGTGATAACTAATCTAAACATTAACTAGTAATATCCGTGCTACTCATTATGTATAATGTTTTGTATTGGTGACTTAGGGGTTCCAATTTTAAAGTTGTGACTGAATTTCTATAAGTTGGAAAGTCTCAGGTTGTTTAGGCTTTCATTTGAGACTTTAAATCATGTTATTCCAACAGTTTTGCACCAATTTGTTTAAATTAATGCATAAGGCAAAGGTTTATTCAAAACAACCTGGATCCAGGAAAAAGAGGCTATCCTAGATAGATAGAATTAGATAAAGGATTCGTTATACACGAAAAGGCACTGCGAAGCTATCCTGGTAAAAGCAATAAAGTTGTAGATCCCAAATAAAAGTACTTTCTTGTAAATTCCAAATTAATCCTGATATTTCCATTATGCTCGTAAATCAGTGTGACCTATAAAATTTCAAAAATATTGACTTTGATCGAGGCTGTCGATCAGACTTTATGTTTTTTAAGAACTGCTCTCTAGTTTTTGAATCGTCTCAGTTGTTCCTCTAGAAAACGTTTTCAATTATTCATAATTATATTCTTTAGCTATCCTATATCTCATACATGACTTAAACTAGCTCTAGTAAAACAAATATGATGCACCAGCAACAGCTTATAATGATCAATTTCCGTCAATTTCTTTAATTCCTACTGTCAACTTTCGTTTAATGACACTTAAAATCCAATTTCTTTGTGCAAAATGCATCTCATCACACATGCGAGTTAAGCTTACTTAAACTTAGACTCAGAGATTACAGAATAACTGGAAAGTATTTATAAACAAGTTGATTAAATGATAATAAAGCTTTCAAGATAGAAAGGTTCAAGAGTATTTCTCGTGCGAAACAGAAGTGCAAGGAATGAACTTCAAATAGAGTAATACGCATGAGATTAATGCTTGAGTACTGACTTAGCTGATCTATAATTTTATTAATTATGTAGCACTTCAAGGGTTACAGTCAATTTCACAGAAAAAAGAGATTTTTTTAAATATAAGAAAAATTTACATAGGACGGAATCAAGCTTTCCTGATTCTGCTGTTGTCAAGCTTCAAATCGTTTGAAGTTTGACGGAGATAAACAAAATTACGAATTGAATTTTATATCTTGTGTAGATAACTACTGAGCAAATATTCAAATATTTCTAAAAATATAATGGATTATATTCAGCTCTTTATAGAAAACTTGACAAATACAGCAATTTTTCATGAAAACAGATGCTTTCACAAACTCTTGAAACGCTGAATAAATTATTATTTTTTTTTTCAAAAATTTTAAAAATGCTGCAGTCAAAAAAAAGATATTTTTTGAACGAACCTTTTACAACCTGAATTTTAAGAGTTGCGTATGCCTTTTTAAGCCAAAACTCTTTTTGAGTTCTGCCTAGTGTATTTTCAATGCCTAACATACTCTATTTGAGAAGTTGTTGAACTTTTTGCATTAGATGCAACTAGAAAACCTTGATTTGACAGAAAACAGCAAAACTTTCGATGTGAATTATGTGCTGTAGCTTCACGTAGTTCACGGGGATTCGTCTTAGTAATGGCCAATAAAATAACAAATTTAATTTGTGCAATAAACATTTTATTAATATTTATTTTCGATGAGCAAATTTGAATAATATCTATGCATCCACAGATCACAGACATGCATTTGATACACCTACGTATGCATATATAGCAATTCTCCATTAGCGGCTGTTTTGGTTTCTCTCATGTTGTGTAAACATCGCAAAAAATATTTGTCAACTTTATGCGTGTGTCAGGGAGAAATATACATATATGCACAACATTTCACTAAAATTTCCCATAAATCAAGTGTTTTATGGTTTTTGGTAGTACGTAATCTACTCGTGGTATAGTGAAGGCTAATGTAAATACGCAGAAACCTGTGTGTCAGAAAGTGGATTTAAAATATTTCTATAGATGAATTGGAAATTCCGGTTACTTTTGATCACATGATTTTTATTTTTAAGAGAGAAAAACGCTCTGGCAATAAATAAGAATTCCCAGTCATTAAGATGCCAAAAGATATAACTCATTGAGAAATAGAAAATAAATATTATGAAGGGATTGATAAAATGACTTAAATTCAACAGATGTAGGATGGGTGGTCTAAGATTTTGTGACAGTTGCAATAAAAGGTTTTTTCTGTGTTACGTAATATGTGAATTGCCAGCCTTTGAGCAGTAAATCACACCCTAAAGTGAATAACTCTCTAAATGTCCTAGAAGTCCACTATTACCTGCTCTATCAGTAATCCATCATTGCAAGCTTTATGATTCACAACAAAAACCCAATTTAATCACAAACAAATCCGAAAATCAACTTCCAAAGTCCAAAACAACATTATGGAACCCCTACGACTTGCGATAATGAGCACGAGAATAACCAGCAAATGTTATGGAATCAGTATAATGAGTCATTTTGTTGAAAGTATTATTTTTCTGTTTGAGCATTGAACATTTTTGACAATTGAGCTGAAAAGTTATTTTTTTATTTTTTATTTTACTTTAGTAGATTAGAAATGTTTTAATCTTTGTTCGTGTTTCTGTTTTGCCCGAAATAAATAAAAACAATAATAATAATAATGCTTCCGAATCCTATCCTAGTTGACGTTTAGTTGGATAGAACATAAAATTTTGTTGAGTTTTAAAGCGAGAATTTTATTTGTTAACAAAATAAAGCAGCAACAGAACTAATTTTTATTAGTTTTTCTTTTATTTTGAGTCTATTGTTTTGAGCACATAATCGAGTTATTTTTGTGACTAAAATAAATAATGCTTGATTATTTGAAAGTTCCATTAACAATGTCAATTTTGCAGGGCTTAAATCGCGTCGATTCGATGGGATCACTGGCACACCGTACTTTAACAACTTTTATAGAGAATGATGATTTCGGAAACTTTAAAGCATTCCTTGACGCCCATCAAATCCAAGTTGATGATCGCGATGAGAATGGAACTACCGTACTTATGATATGCTCAACGAAGGGTCTCATACATTATGTTCGAGAATTAATAAGTCATGGATCGGATCCTAATCTACAGGATTTAGACAATTGGACAGCATTATTATGTGCCGCAAAGGGAGGTCATTTCGAGATAGTTGAGACACTTCTTGATAATGGTGCCGACATTGAGCATCGTGATATGGGAAATTGGACAGCATTGATGTGGGCTACATATAAAGGTCATGTGAATATTGTACGATTTCTTCTTGAACATAATGCTGATATTAATGCCAATGGAAATTATCACATTTCCCCTTTATTGTGGGCTTGTGGTCGAGGCTATACTGAAATTGTTCAAATGCTGGTACAGCGTGGAGCTAAAGTGAATGTCGGTGGTATGTAATTATGTATATAATGTACACTTATAATTTTATTCTTATCATCTAACCTATTTTAATATTTATGAATTACACTCAATTATTTTTCTATTCTCTATAATTTACCGAAAAATAATCAACAATGATAGATAAATACGGAACAACAGCACTCGTATGGGCTTGTAGAAAAGGAAATGCGGAAATTGTTGATACTCTATTGAAGGCAAATGCGAATGTCGATACAGCGGGAATGTATTCATGGACGGCACTTCTCGTGGCTGCGAGCGCTGGTCATCAAGATTGTGTCGCATTATTATTGGAAAGGAAACCGAATGTTAATGCTATAGATAAGGATGGACAGACCGCATTAGCAATAGCTTGTGAGTAAAGTTGGAAAATCGATATAAGTGTCATTTTTGGGAGATTTTAATGGAATTTCTTGGGGTCAATAGTTCTTCTTAGCCCACAAAACTTTCATGACACATGATCCCCACACCCAGCTCTTGACCTAGACATTAAATAATAAAAAGTCCAATAAAAATAGATGCACGCTCATCGATATAGCATTACCGTTTTTGCTATTAATACAACATTCTCATGCGTCTCAATTTCCATGTTAAATGTAGCTAAATGAACGATTTGTTGTGATTTAGAGACAATTACCATAATCTTGTTACAATGTCTCATTCATTCATGGAAAAATAACACTATTTTTAGAAATGACAATTTTTCGGAAAATTATACACTAATCGTGGGCGGTTAATGGGTTTTTCGGTATAATGAATGATTAATGGATTAAATGGAACGTGTTTTGTATGGTCATAATAATATTGATAAAGTTAATAAGAGTAATCGACTTTTATAGATTTTTAATGGATATTCGTTGGGATCCTAGGATTTTAATTTTGAAATATTAATATTTGAGTTTCAAAAATAACAGCAATAAAATATGATTTGATTTAAGCTTCAATATGACAAATACCGTCCATCCACTCAAATCAGAAACCAAAGTCTTAATCGCATTTATCCAAAAGAGAAAACACTTTAAAAGCCTTGATAAATATAAATATTTATCAACCTTTCATTGAAGCATAAAACCAGATAGATCTAGGTCTCGAGTCTTTAATGCACACAAAATCATTGAAATCTCTTTATCCCCTTTGCAATAAAATATTGAAATCTCTCAATACACAAACAAATTTAGCATAACAAACACATAATTTACTTTGTATCATTATTTCATTCTAATCGATTAGGCAAAGAAGGCTTTCAAGAAATAGCATCGTCATTGATATCAGCTGGAGCATATCTTAATTCACAGGATCGAAATGGTAATAATTTCTTGGATTCCTTTTTATTTCAATATTAATTAATTATTTCTCTGTCTTTATGCTTTAAAATTGATTATAGGTGATACACCGCTTATTGGTGCTGTTAAAATAGGCCATCGTGGAATTGTTGAGGCATTATTAAAACGACATGTTGATATTGATTTACAAGGAAAAGACAAGAAAACCGCACTTTATACAGCAGTTGAGAAGGGTCATGTTACAATCGTTAAACTTTTATTGAGCACTAATCCTGATATAGAATTATCAAATAAAGACTCTGAAACGCCATTAAGTCGAGCCGTACGCAATAGAAATTTGGAAATTGTAAATATGATGCTTGAGAAGCGTGCAAAAGTTGGTGCTGTGGATCGTCGTGGTGATACATGTCTGCACATTGCAATGAGAGCTCGCTCAAAAGCTATTGTAGAAGCATTATTGAGAAATCCGAAAAATAGTCAATTATTATATCGTGCTAATAAAGTAGGTGAAACACCTTATGCATTAGATGCTTTGCATCAAAAGACCATTTTGGGTCAAGTTTTTGGAGCTAGGAAATTAAATACACACGAAGATGCTGAAGGAATGCTCGGATATGGACTCTATTCTTCAGCATTGGCGGATGTTCTGTCTGAACCAACATTAACTACGGTAAGATTTATTTTTTAATCCGATAGATTTAAGTTTTATTTTTACATTTTATTTAAAATTTATTTTGATCTTAAATTTCAAATATATTTCAACCGTTCTATTTTAAATATTATTTAATTGTTATTTTCAAATTGGAACATATAATCTCGGGTGTTTTATGTGAACACATTTAAACCTCAAATCACCTAATAAATCTTAAATCCCTTTATATTTTTCATTCATCTCTAATACAGCCAATAACTGTTGGATTATTCGCAAAATGGGGAAGTGGAAAGAGCTTTTTACTAACAAAGCTTCGAGAGGAAATGACTTGCTTTAGTCGACAATGGTCGGAGCCACAAATAAAAGCAACGTGGATAATTGTTTTGATTTCAATTCATTTGGCATTATTTCTGGGCATAATTGTTGCATTATCAACATGGTCGGTGATTTTTGGTATCGCAACTGGATCGTTGTTACTTGTCTTGATGTATTCGTTATCATTGCTTTTGAAATTCATAAATCGACGATATAGTTTCGATTGGTCGTACAATCTGCATCATTCGTTTGTGAAAAAGATAGGAAAATTCCGTTTGATATTACAAGTAGCATTTTGTCATCCCACAGGCAGTCTCCATTCGACCCAAACAAGTGCAATTCAAACAATGCCAGTACGATTTCATTTTGCAGAAATAAACGGAGCGGCACCAACGGGCGAGACTGCATTAGGATATATGCTATCTTCATTATTTACAGCAATTGAAAATTATTATGGCTCAATTCCGACACGTTTATATAGATCATTTAGACCAAAACCACTAAAACCATCATCAAATTGGAGATTTCGGAAAATGTGTTGCATACCAATCTTTTTATTATTTGAAATATTCATTTTCGCCTCAATTGCGGGCATCGCATTGCTTATCATGTGGTTCATTAATACAGATAGTGAGTCGAAGAAGAGCATTGAAATATCATTATATGTTATCGCAGGCATTCTCGTTGCCGGTGCCTTTTTCAATTTAAATGCATGGGCAAAGGCATTGAATACAATTTTCTTCTCGCAAGGGCGCTTTTTGAAGCAAATAATGAAATCAAATGATGGCTTAACAGCCCTTAGTGGTGAAGTAATGATGATGGCTGATATGGTGAGGTGTTTAGACTCATTTACGGGACAACAAAGTCGTCTCGTCGGTGTTATCGATACATTAGATGTTGTCGACATAGACAGAATTTTGAGTTTACTTAATGGCATTCAAACATTACTCATGACTCCAAATCGTCCATTTGTGCTTTTATTAGCTGTTGATCCACATGTTGTGGCGAAAGCTGTCGAACAAAATAGTAAACGATTATTTACGGAAGGCGGTATTGGAGGACATGACTTTTTAAGGAATCTCGTACATTTACCTGTATATCTACAAAACTCGGGACTAAGAAAAGTTCAGAGAGCACAAACGACTGCAATGCAATATAAAAGAATCATATCGGATGCATACGATGATCCTAATATGGGAATATCGTATTCAGCATCAAATCGACGATTGTCAAATGCATCAGAAATAATGGCGAGTACGGAGAAGTTGAGAGGAATTTCGAGAGGATCAAAGAAATTAAAGTTATCAGAATCAATTGCCAGTTCCATAGGATCAAATATGCATAAAATTGGTGGAGGTCAATTTGAATTTTCAAAAGTCATGTTAACAGACGATTATTTTAGTGATGTTAATCCTCGTAGCATGCGAAGGCTTATGAATGTGATTTATATAACCGTACGCTTATTGAAAGCATTTCAAATCGATTTTAGTTGGTATCGATTGGGCTCATGGATAAATTTAACAGAACAATGGCCATTGAGAGCATCAATGATTATTCTTGAGGATGACTTGAATGGCGATAATTTGGATGAAATGGCATCATTACAATCAGTCTATGAAAAGTAGGTTAATTATTATTATTTTTATTGCTCGACTAAATCTTAATTATATTGTTATATCCTTTTTGCAGAGTTCGTCCGAAATTGTCTTGTTTGCGTGAGGCAGCACCATTATTAGATTTGGACCGTGACGAGAGGAAATTAGACGCATTTCTTCAGCTTCATAAATCAGATTTGCAAGTGTCTGACCTGAGAATCTTTTTGCCTTTTACTATCAATTTAGACCCGTACTTAAGGAAAGTTTTGAAAGGTAAGCAACTCGTTATTGATATTAAAGATTCAGAAAAATTCAAAATTTAACGGTTTTGTAAAATTTGAAGTTGTGAACGAAAACAAATTTTGAATTTTACAAAACCGTTAAAATTCAAATTTGAAAAATTCGTCAAAAATTATAAGTTTGATTTTGCAGAGGATCAACAAGCAATGGAGGAGGATGAAGGAATCGTGGTTCCGTTAATGAAGTCAAATTCATCAGTTACACCACAAATGCCTAATGTTTACAATCGTAGTCATAACACATACTATCCACAACAAAATCCATTTATTCCACCTGTATATTCTACAAGCCTCAACAGCACCCCAATGGCACTAATGAATTACTTTAATGCAACTCATCGGCAGCCATTGCCAACACATTTAGAGCATCCAATTTTAGAGAACGCATATGTTCAGCCACAACAGCAACAACAACAACTTAATGTTGATATGGTAACTAATTTAATAACATATTATCTATTTTATATACAAAATTGATGATATTGCTTCGTAAAAGCTATTCATTACCATCATTATTACTATTTTCAGGATATTTCTCAAATTAAGTTATCGAAATTGAGCTGTGATGATTTAATACAGCTATTAGGGCAAATTAATGAATTGAAAGGAACGATTGAAAGCCTTTCAGTCAATTTAAAAGAGAATGCAATATCTGGAAAGGTCTTGATGTATTGTGATCTTAATGAATTGAAATTGGTAAGTTTGAACATCTATAAAGACTTTCATGATATGAGCTTTAAATTTAAATGCACCAGATGGATTAATTGGAAAATTCATGATAAAATGCATTCGAAATTTATTGTTCATCAACTCACTGAGCAGCCTCAGAGTCCATAATTGTATTTTAATGATCAATTATTTTCACAATAGGTACTTGGCTTGAATTTCGGTCATTGGGAAACATTCAAGTACTTCATAATGAGCTTACGCGATGGAGAAAATTCATCAACGACAACAAAGAGCTCAATTGTAACATTTAAAACTGATTCAAAGGATGTAAATGATGGAGCTGGTCCTTCAGTGCAAGTTCCCCAATTAAGTCGTACTAAGCAGAAGAGCGTTATCGAAAAACAGGTAATTAATTTGTCATTTTTACCCATGCCTTGCTTGTTACTAATAAATCACAATATGAACCATAACAATATACTAAAATTATAATATTCATTCCAAATTTTTTTTTATCTTCAAACTTTTTCAAAAAAAAAAATCATTCATTAAAAAACATATTTTTTTGTGTACAATAAATTAATATGGAAAAATATATAAAACAACAGAACCGAACAAATTATCATCTTGATAATGACTTGTTGCAGGTAACAAAAGTGAAACAATACGTGCATAAAATTTGTTACATTTTGTGTTTTTTAATTTACTGCTCTGCTTGTTTATTAATTGTGGAAAAATCATTTTCATAAGTTTTTATGATGATTTTAATATTTGTATTACTGTTCTTTTCCTTTGTAAAATATCTTTTATATCTCTTTATTCCTTGCATGGATTTTTGTCAGGGTTGTGGGAAAGTTTAAGCGTTAAATTTTTATTTCGTTTAAAAAACAAATTTTGAACTTAAAAAGCTGTTAAATTTGAAATTCAAAACGTTTATTGGACAAATCCGTTAAATTTGAATTTCAACGCTTTTCTAGAATTTGAATTTTAAAAGTTCATCAATCTCCAAAGTCCTTCATTTTTGCTGTTATAATTCCTGTAAAGCTGTAAAAACGATTTTCCTGAAAACTGACGAAATTTCCTAACCACTTCCCACATTATCTTAATTTGAGCTGTTATAATTCCTTTTAACTTATTGTTCTTTACATACATGTTGTTATTTATTTTTATGGCATCATAAAATTTGTCTTACAATGTTGACTCATAAAGATTTTTCTTTCTCAATTCTCATTACTTATTCATACAGGTTACTCTGGAACAAGAGATGATTTCCGGTGCATTGTCGACATTAAATGAGGAAGCATTTGAGGATGTAACATCAAATCAAAATCCTATATCATCAAATGGATCAACAGGTGAGCTTATTCTACAACAGAATTATTTGGCACCAATATCAGAAGAATATAGCTCACCAACACCATCACGAAGTTATGACAGCTTCTTTGATGATGCTAATCAGTTTGACATTGTTAATAACAGCAGTAATAATAATAATAATAATAATGAAACAACTGTCATCATTATGCCCAATTATTCTCAAAATATTGATGACACACGCTTATAAAGAAACAAGAAAGTTTTAACTATAATTTTTCTTCCTTTCAAGAGTAGATTCTTTTTGATTGGATGCCATATAAACTTACTCTGTTCTTTCTCTATAGTTTTATTATTTTTTTGTCAAAAGAATTCCATTTTTCATAGTTTTTATTGCTTTACTCTTTACTAAGTGTTCTACTTAAAGACAAGAAAGTTTAAAATATTCTTAAAGTTTATTGTCATCTTTGATGGACTAATTGTATTTTTTTTTGTGCATATTCCCATTTTGATAATGTCCTTATTCACTTTGACTGGATTTTTGATGCTGCAATGTGTGATAAGAAACTAATTCGATTAAGTGTTGTAGACAAGAGTAGCTTTAATAGTTTTAACTTTAGTATTTTAATGTTGACTAATTTTCAAATAAAACTGTTGTTACCAAAAATTAGATTTAAATGAACATTAAAAAACTGACAAAATGAGGCTAATAGGAAAAGTAATAATTTATAATTTAAATGTTAATCGAACTGTGTTAAAAAGAACTGAATTTTGATAAGTTTGAAGTTCAAAAATCTGTTATTTTTTTAAATTTTGACCATTAAAGGTTCAAAAATTGATAAAAATTCAAACTTCAAAAAGACCGTTAAAAAATTTTGAACCTTAACTTTTGACAATTCTGTAGGGCGATTCCATGGGTAAATGGAACTGAAAATTTTTGGTTCAAAAACTTTTTTAGCTTTTTCTGCTTAAATATACATATTTCAACATATCTTTTCACCAAATAAGACTTATTATTCATCAATTCATGTATTATTAGCATTTAATCGTCTTAATTATGCTGCATTTTGACAAAAATATGTAATATGTTTTGCAATAATCGGTTGAAAGTTGACCGATTAAGTGGTGTTTTCCCCAATTTTCTCCTTAATTACAGTAGGAAGACATACATATAAGATATTGTTATAAAGCACAGGCGATTTCACGTGTGTTTATCATAGATTTGTAACACAACAATGGATATTCAAAGAAATATTGATAAAAATTTAAAAATCAATTTTTTGTAAAGTTGACCGATTAAGTTTGGTTTTTTTAAAATATCTTTTGTCAGACAGATTTAACTAAAAGATTATGCACTAAAATACATAAATACCATAATAATAAATAAAATAAATCTTAAATATGGCGTTAAATGAAGTTAATTAAGGAAATATTTACAAAAAATTGAGTTGAGAAAAAAAAATTTACTCATGGAATCGCCCTGTAGTTCAAAAATTAATCAAAAAAATCATAAAAATTTTTTAAATGAATATATTCCAAATAAAATCTCAAATCCAATTTGCTGATCGCTATCAAAATGGGAAAATATAAAATGCGCCTTGATGTCACCTGATGAAAAAAAGTACAACGGTGACTAAATTTCTGTTACATATCTCTTTGTCTACATTATTTTGAGAATGGATATAAGTTTTATTTTTACTCTATTCAGACTGATTTTTTTTTGTTTCTCTGTTTCACGAAGAATGTTCGTTATTTTTTTATTATTAATTTTAAAACTATTTTCTGTCTCAAATCTTGACGATAAATGCTTTAAATCTCAACATAAGAAAACTTTTGTGATTCACAATGTGACATAATGGTATAAAAGTTTCTCTTTACTCTTTGTATTCTTTCTAAACTCACCAAGTATCTAGTTTAATTTTATATTTTTAATTCTTCTTGCTCTTCGACAAAGCATGAAGCTCTAGCAAGTGTACTTTAAATTGCAGTGATCATATAATAGAATAAGTAGTTTAAAAATGGCTAGTAAAATAAAGAACTTATGTACCTTATTGTGGTATTTTTCTTTCTTTCTTTCCACTATTACTAAAAGTTACTATATCAATTTAGAGGATGAAGATGGGTCAAAGAACGGTTAATTAAAATTGTTTTAAAGCATTCTTGTACTTAATATCAATTACTTATTGCACACAATCGCAGTCTTCTCGTTCAACTTTTTGAGTTTTACTCACAATCATGTGTTTAATGTTTCTATGAAAATTGTTTTCATTTTGAGCTTAAAATTGGCTCTGAAAATTACTTTTTAAATTGTTATAATATTACTATTATTTTGTGTGAGTGACAAAAGTTGCTGTTGTTATGGTTCAGTGGCGTAATTACTTTAATGAGAATATTTTGTTGTTAAGGATATGGAAGGAAATTTTGATGTGCTGAGTACATTGTATTGATATACGAAGCCTGAATCAGGAAATTGTGTAGAGTTGCTATCCCTTATTCGTATTCATAGACTCAATAGAGGATAATCAAGTTTTGATCAGTTCTGCACCCTCGGTCCGATTCAAACTCCTCCAACAAAGTATTACATCTGTTAAATATCGGAAAAATTAAATTATCTCAAAAACTTGTAAACATTTCAAAATAATTACACGAGCAAGACACTTTTAAACTCGAAAAAAAAAATAATGTTCAGCAACATACACAATAAAATCCTTTTTGTAATTGGATAGCCCGAGGCGTGCGTTTAACTAAATAATTAATTAATTTTAATTAACCGTTGTATAATTTAACTTTGTCCTCGAATAAATACCAAAAAAAGCTATAATAAAATGGAAAAATTTATCATGTATCTCAAATTACATACAATTATTATATTTACCATTGTAGTCTTTATTTTGATTGTCGAGAGATTTTTGTCTTTAATTTTTTTTTTATTTTCATCCGAGTTGAAAGAATTAATGAAAATATAAAACAAAAATTGTATTTGGCATTGTATTTTTAGTACTAAAGTAATAATAATAATAATAATAATAATAATAAAAATGAAAGTGCAATAACAAATCTCTTTTGATGGATCTAATAATTTTGTGGTTCATTCGTTCTCGCTTCTTTTTTTTTTTTTTGAGTACAAATAATTCTTTTTATGGTTCTTTGTGTTTATTTATTTTTCCTCTCTATTTTATGCCATTTTTCATATTTTACTTTTCTTTATTTTTTATTACTAACATTTCCACAAAACATTATTTACACACATTTTTTAACACTCAAACATATTCCATCTCTCTTTCTTTTTTATTTTTCACATTATTCACATACCGACACACATATACGATATCAAAATGAACAGGCATCATGTCATCAAATTCACCAATAGGTCAGAAGAAGGCAATTTTGAGGCATCAGAATAGCGTAAAGAGTGAGAAGGGCGGGAAGCGTGTATCACTTGAGGTTGTTGATGAAAAGCCATCTCGAATGAGTATGTATATCCTTTTTATTTTTTGCATAATCATGAATTTTTTTTTTCGTTTTTGAGAGCATTTCTGGATGTAAAAAGGCCGTTTTTTGAACCTCACTTTTTTTTAACATTTTTTTAAACCTTCAATTAATTGAATTAAACCTTCAAGTTTTCAATTATTTTGTTGCAGCTATTTTTCAAAAAAAAATTTTGAACCCCAATTTTCAAACATTTTTTTGAACCTTAATTTTCAAATATTTTTTTGAACCTTAATTTTCAAATATTTTTTGCAGTTATTTTTCAAAAAAAAATTTGAATCTTAAATGTGTAACATTTTTTTGAACCTTATTTTTCAAATATTCTGTGACAGTTATTTTTCAAAAAATTTTTTAAACCTCAATTTTCAAACATTTTTTTTGAACCTTAATTTTCAAATATTTTGTAATCGTTATTTTCTGACTGTTATTTTAAAAGCTTGCCATCCAGAAAAAAATGCGCTCTCGACACCAAAAAATGTCTCCCCATCTCAATAATCGGAACCTTTTTCTTTATTAACTCATTTTTATTTTCCATCCTTTTCATTGACATATTCTTATTAGGTCGTCAATCATCAATGATGAAAAGTGATAAGTTGTATAGCATGGGATCATCGTTTGATGAACGTAGTGATGATGAATCAAGTTATGAATTCAAAGTGCCAGTGTCACGTAATAACAGTAGCAAAAATTTGGCTGTCGAAAGTATTCCATTGGTGTCAAAATGATTTATTTAAAATTTTAAGGATAGAATGAAATGTATTTTACCAATTTTAACTGTACATTGAGTGACAAACAAAGGAGTGATGGCGTATTTTTGCAATGGATTTAAATGTTGTGGATTAAAAGATACTGGTAGATAGTTATGTACTTAAATAATAAAGTAGAAGCACATGAGTGAATTTAGAACAGTAAATTGAGACAATAATGTTGTAAAACTATTCATAAAGGAATACAGGACATGAATCATACGTAGATAGCTTATAAAATGCTAATTCAGGTATGCAAATATTTTAGATAGGACAAATATGTCAATTGAATAATTAAAAGGAAACTCAGCTGCTCAAATCCATGCAGGAATACGCCTCAGAACAACAATATTTATTTTGAATTTCTTAAAACAATTTTTAAGCTTTCACTTTTCGAATTTTTAATTAAATATAAACAACAACAAAACAAATCTTAATCGAATTAACATCCATAAGTAAATGGTTTGTAATTTGTAGTCTTTAAATCTCTTTTACATAGATCTTAATTAAATCGAATACACAAAAAAATAAATAAACAAAAAAGAACAAGAAGAAGAAAATTTCATTATTATTTCCCATTATAGGAGGAGCCTGAAATGTAAATGATGAAATGATAGAAGTTGAAAGGCAGAGAAAGTTTTGTGTGAATCACTTTCAATTTCGAAAGCAATTTGTACAAAAAGTATGGAAATTGTTGAAGGTAAAAGCGCATTTTCTTCGTGGGGAATGAGAAAATTAAGGTAAGATTGTCTGTTCAAAAGCTTTAAACCGAATGATGATATCTACATTGAAAAATAACTGCTAAAGAATATTTGAAAACCAACGTTGCAAAAATATTTGAATAATAACGACCAAAAATATTTTGAACCGCAAATATTTGAATTTTTTTGGAACGTTAAAAACATTTGAACAAAAAGCTTTTAAGCATCAGTCAGACAAAATTGTATTTCGCTCATTTAAAACATTCAGTCTGAAAAAATGAGGAGGAAATTCATTTATGGCAAAAATAGGAATCCATTTTTCATCCTCATCGGAACTTGGTATGGGATGTTGAATGTGAAAAAAAAAAATAATTTCCATAAAAACCAATAGCCAATTTTTTTTCCTCTTCCTTTTTCACCATTAATTAAATTACTTTGCCATATTTTTGTTGTTTTCCTTTTTCCTGTTAGTCTGCCTACTGTATTTGTGAATGTATGTTTTTTTTATATTTCAGCATTTAATGTGATTTATGTTACAGGGCAGAAATGGTTCATCATCATCATTCCTGTATTCAATTCCTCTTTCCTTTCATGTCGGATGAAGCATTTAAAAAGGTTTTTTAAATTTTATGGGTTTTTTGTTTTTCTGTGCATTTTTATTCTGAATTTTCTATAGAAATTTTTGAGATTCTTCTATATTCGGAACTGATTTGCATTGATAATTACGGAAGGTAGAATATTAATTATGAATAGATAAGAATTTTCAATTTTGTATGGCATATAACTCATCAAAAACTCTAGGAAGTATGAAATTTGCAGATGTTGAAGCCTTTTGTATGTTAATTAATATTTTTGCGATGAGTATAGCTTAATTAAGTGCTTGAATAATTTAAAATGTATGATTTTATTCTGATCTACATGAAAATATGAAAAAGAAGCTTAAAGAGCTTCCAGTCTTCGTAAACTATCGACCACCTGAAGAAGCTCCAATTAACAAAATCTTTAAGTCTCATTTTGAAGATGGAAAGAGAATGTGCGGACGACCAAATATTTCCTGGAAGGAAGCTGTTGATAGAGATAGCATAGCATTTGGTATTAGCTATGGCAGAGTCAGAGTCTTTTTCAGACGACAACTAAGCGAGGCTATGGATCACAATTGATCTGTAAAGCCAGAAGATTTTTTTAAAAACCGAGTCTAAAATTCAATTTTAAGTCATTCTTCCATGACTCAATAGAGCTGTCATTAATGATGTCAAATCATAACAAAACCCCCAAAATCTAGTCCACTTGATGTCCACCAGCTCTTAAATCATTAAATTTCCACCACAACAAACAAAATCTCTAAAATTCCAACTCATTTTCAATTTTATTCGATTAAGCAACACACCAATAATGTTAAACATGCAGACCACGCTGTGAAAAAAGAATCTATCTTGTTGAAATTTATAAATGAATACATGCCAATAAAAAAAGGAATTCTTTTCTCACAGACTTTTCATCCATGAACATTTAAAACAATTATGGGCGACCCAACTGTGAATTTATTAGAGAAAAATTCACCAAGCAATGGGAAAATATTGGCTTGTTCAACACAAATGAAGTGTGAGAAATGAAAAGGAAAGAGCAGTTAAAAAAATTGTTGTGGCTAAGAACTCTGAACTTTATGTAAATTTAATTTCCATCTTTTTTCCTATTATTCTTTCTGCTTTGTTAAGGGTGCCAAAAATATTTTTTACTCACTAAAACCCGAGTAGTGCATGAGTTTAATGGACGTTGAATGGTTGTCATCATGTGAAAAAGGTCTTCAATTGTTATTGATCTGAACACTGAATCTTAACACCCCCGAATCCCAAAATGCCTAGCATTTTGCCATTTAAATTTATTTCTTTGTTCAAACTGACCCCCCCCCCCCCTCCTTCTCGCTACAAAATTATCAGTGGGGGGGGGTTGGTGAGTTTTTCGTTTAACGAATCCGAAGAAGAGAGTAAAAACATTTAATTTATCTCAAGGAAACCGAAAACATTACGACAGAAGTAAAACACACCCCTCCTTTCTGAACCTAATAGCAACCAAATGACAGACTCTTCCATCATGTGCAACTCGGAAAATGAATGGATCATTGAAAAATAAATATTGAGATAGAATTCATGCAGGAACTAACCCTTAAATTCCCATAGCGGTTTGTAAAGAAAAACCCCGAAAAACTTTCTCATTTTATTTAAAATTAATAGATAAAGTGTTAAAAAATGGCAAATTTAAAAATTCATACAACATTCTCGTTTGTTTAGTATGTCGTACATATGATGACAAGCTATATCAACATAAGCAGCTCTATAATCATAAAATATATGTGAGTGTCAACTGCCGACCAAAGAGCCAAGCGGTTGACAGCATAAAAACAAAAAAAAAGTATACATGGCTATGTGTGCTATATAGAGTCATAAACAAAAATGGTTTTATGCTGCTTCAATGTGCGTGTTCTTTTATGAGCCACTTTAATATCATGTTTTTTATTGCAGATAGGAACAAAATATAATGACATATATATGTTGTGGTAAGGATGGCGAAAGAAAAAGAAATTTTTTTTAGAATATAAACCGAATCATGCTTGTAATCATAGCCATATTTCTTATATCTTAATGAAGAGGAAATTTTCTTTCCTTTCTTCTTTTGCACATTTTTCTTTAACCGTGAGTGTTTATGGCTTATTAGTACGCGAGTGGTTGGATTACTTAGTGATGTTGCGGATTTTTATAGTGTGTGATGGGTTTTTGGTGGAATTTTAATGACTTTTTGCTTTTTGAGGGTGAAATTTCTTCTAATTTCTTTACAGTTTAATCTTTGCCACTTTTTTCTATAGCTTTATACTAAATTTAATCAAGAATTATAAGTTTAAAGCTGAAATTTTCAGGAAATAAAACTTAAGGTGTAGTGAATTTGAAAATGGCAGACGGAAACGTGAGAATTCTTAAAATCGTGGAATAATAATTGTTAATTAATGTAATTTGACTTCAATTTTACTGAAGCTTAACATTGCCATCTTTTTGCTTTGTTTTATTTATGAATTTGGATGTAATTATCAGTATTTACTTATAAATTCCGAAAATAAAACTTTAAGTGAGAATTTTCTTCTTTCACAATTTAAAAATTAAAAAACGGTTACAACGAAAATTGACACTGCGCTGATTTCAATACCCGAACAGCTCAATAATTTCATACTTTAAGTAGATTGTTTCTTAAACCTTAGTTTTTCCATCTCTTCCTTATTTTTTATCCCTCTCATATGCTTTCCATTTTCATATCTCTTTTTACGAGCTATGACAGATTTAATAATGTTGTTTTAAGGTGCTTATGAAACACAAAGCTTTTTCTTACATTTTCTTTTCTTTTTCGTCTTTCAATTCTCACACCATTCGTACGCACATATAAGTACACATGATAACATGCACCCCCTTATTATTGTTATTGTTGTTATAACGAGCTAAGACTTCATTGAAATTCAATAAAGGAACGGAATACAGATTGCCACGTTATTAAAATGCTCGCAGAAAATGTTGGAATAACGAGCATCAGCAGCAGCAATAGTACAAGTAAGAAGGGATGAATGAATGGTAAGAAGTAATAATACACACAACAACAGAAAGAAAGTAGCACAAGGCAATGGAAATTACACACAAGATATAATGGCAATGTCAGTGCGTGTAGGAGATGGAAGAATGGCTTGGATGGATTGTTGTGTAGCTAATATGATTATGATATACACGCATTTCCATTATAAAGACATAAAATAAGAAACAACAAACATCACGGCCACTTTTGTTCTTATTCAGCTTCCTTTATGGCATTGGAAGTAAATAAGAAGAATCAGGTTTAGTTGTAGATGTGACTTTGAGGAACAAAAAAACCATAAATAAATGTTACGATTTCTGTGTTTGTCGCAAGATATTGTCTTTCTGTTGTTTGTTACTTTGTGGCTGTTCACCCTTCACATTTCCCTCAGCTAGTTCCGTTCACTTTCCATCTTTATCGAAATAATAAATGATAAAGTCATTTCATGCAAATGCCTTTCCATTTAATTCGTTTTTTCTGCCGACTGTATTTCCTTATAATGGGTAGATTAGATGAGACGTCAGTCACTACATCCAGTATGTCTTACTGCCTCATTTTAATTTTCATATTTTTCCATTGCTGTTGTCAATGTTATTTGTTGTTGTTTTTTGTCTGACTGAACTTGATATAGTCATGGAATGGGAAGGGAAATGAGGGAAAGTTATTGTCTATGTTTAGCATTTATATGATTTCACATTCCACTAACTGCTTATGATAGTTTCAGCATCGCATGTCGCTTTCATTGTCACAACTTGTTTCTCCATCCAATCCTCATCATGTTGCTCCCATCATAAAAATCAGCTTCTCGTCAGTGAAAGTTTTTTTTTGTGCTCAAGGAATCTGGAAAGTGATTCGCAATGAACAAGAATGAAGAAAATTTTTATGGCACCATGAGTGTTGCTGATTGTTAAATGCAGCAGCAACAAAGAAGAAAGTTTTCATGTAAAAGTGGAACTGCATAAGTAGCTGCTAATTTTCCAGCAAACTTTTCTACCCTTTTTGACACAAAAGGCATCAAATTTAAATTTTTTTAAGTTTATGCAGCATAAAAAATCCTGTGACGAGAAATTGCAAACAATTGACACAAATTTGTCGTCAGTCAGCGAAAATTTAAATTTATGGAAATTTTACACTTCTAGTTGCTCTACAAAATCTTACATCAGCACCTTCTCTTATATTGCTGATGCTGATGCTTTCAAGTCTCATATTGATATCTGCATCGACCATAATTCATCACACAGAAAGTAACAACAGTAGCAATAATAATCTCTGTCACATTTTTCATTCAGCTCCTGTAATAAATCATAAATCTGCACTGATAGATACTTGAGCATTATTAATGATATGCATTCACTTTATGAGCTTTATGCAAATGAAATTTTCTTCATCCTATCTTTCTCCATTTTCCATTTTTGTGTCACATTTATTACTTTGTCTAACTCTTTTGAATTATTTTGTAAGCATTTTTCCTTCATTTTGGTATTTCATGATTTATCTTCGATTAGATGTTGCAGTTTGGGTGGGCTGGTCATATGAGATGAAGGAGCTAGAATTGCATTACTAAAACTTTTTCAGCTTTTGGAACATTAGTCATCATTTTGAGACTTAGAAGCACACTAGAACAGAGTTGCGATCTGTTATATCTGTGGACAGATTTGTGGGCCTGTTAACAGGTAAGTGACGTATGTCTGTGACTGATCGCAACTCTGTACTAGAGTATAAAACAGTTTGAATTGACAATGTGATGGTTATAGAACTAAAAGTGCCTTTCCTTTTAAATGTTTTAATAAGGTTTACAAAAGAGTAACTCAAATTCTTTACGGATATAAACAGCATGACTTGAACTTGCGATTTTTGGTTGGTTCTATTAAGCATTTGACCATTTGACTTTTTGAGTAACTATAGAGTTATCTATTTATATCCATTACTGATCAGCGATTCAGCTCACGGGTTTATAGAGAGAAATTACAGGTGCTCATGAACAAATCAGTCAAAGAGCATACTCAACAATATTGTAGTGAGCTCTCGAGCCCCATACTCAGCATGTTATTTTTCTTTAAGACGTAAGGTTGTAAAACAATTTCAGATTCTTAGCTCTCAAAATGCGCCATGAACTGATTTACCTAGAATTAGAGAATTTTATGCTAATCCATTCTTTTTATATTCCTGGAAAACTTCATGCTATATAAAATATTTTAGCAAGAAAGCTTTCTCATGTCATACATCACATTCAATTGTGAAAAAAAAATAAATATTATTAAGAATAAGAAACAGAAGTAGAAAAAGAAATGAGTGAGTTATAAAATGAGATGAACACTTTCATCTCCCCTTCCATGCTATTATAGCTGCTGCAAAGTAGTATAAAACTCCATTATCCATTTCATAACATGATGAAGCGTGTGTGTTAGAAACGAGATAATCCTCGCGAAATATTTTTACCCTTCAAACAATTCAAATGACACTCTCGTTTCCGCTAGAATGTTTCCAACGCAAAAAATGGCAATGGCAATAGCGTGTAGCGAGAGAGGATGAGTAAAAGCACATAAAAATT